TTTTTTTTTCGGAGAGAGCGTAGCCAAACAATTTCGTCTATAGGGTGATCGTTACATTCAAGTGTGAGAATATTTTGCTGCCAGTACCTCGATCTTTCCTTCCAGCATAAAATATACAGTTTTGTTTATGTCGCATGTACTCTGTATTGGAATCCTGAAATATTGAAGTTAACAAGCCGCTCATGCCGTTGTCCCTTGCCAAGCAAATTTTTTCGATTTCGACCTCGACGCACCTTAAAATGACAGACAGAGGCCTTTGTGGCAGACATCGATGCGAGGCATCAAAGGCGAGGCCTAGCGCGTTCATTCTCTTTCATTCATTCAACCGCCGACTTTTGTATTGTTATACTTTCGCGCTTCCTAAGAAAAGCAAAAAGGTCCCTTGATCGCCAGTTAACGCAGAGGAGCTTGATATCGACAAAGATCTTTGTTTGTGTACGGATGATGGGTTCTTTGTCTTACAACTCAGATTCCAAGTTGCTGTCCTCCTTGGTCTGTTGAACGTATGCAAAGTGAGAAAGTTATTACTTGAAGGAAAAATTGAATGAATTGAATGAATAAATAGGAAAATGAATACATATATTTCAGTAATTAGGTTTAATTCTTTTTCTCATCTGATAGTTTGGCTATGGCTACAAAGGAGCTACTTTTCATCGTGTGATAAGCAATTTTATGATACAAGGTGAGCTGAAACACCTGCAGTTTCCTCAGTCCTTATCTCTCAATATTGTTGATGAATCTTTGCTCGTCGTTAAAGTCATCTCGCAGGCGCTCTTTGGGTTGTCACGCAACGCTGCTGTACTTTGGAGGGAACAATTACTCTTTTCAAAGTCGATCACTTCTCTTTTTTTGAAGGGGTGGGTGGGTAAAGTAAATTATCACTTATAAGGGAAGCAGAGGGGGACGGGGCCTGTTTCCGTTCCTGAAAATTCATGCATCGTGAGTATATTACACAGTTTATCACGTGTCACGAATTTAAAAGAGAAAACATCAAATCTCACTTTAACTTGCCTTTATGTAAAATTCACGCGACACGTATTTACTTTGGGCTTAATCAAGCGTCACGAATAAATCCTTTGCCACTCTCAGTTGTACAAAAATGTTATTATTAATATTATTATTATTATCATTGCTATTGATTTTATTAATATTTTACTTTCAAAATCAAAGCTAGTTTTCTAGTTTTCTAGAACCACCTTAACTTACTAGCCAGTTATAGGCGCAATCAAAACTGAAAAGGATGAATTGAATATTTCTAAACCCAATGGACTTCTAGACCTAGAGACACGGTTAAAAAAAGACCTCTATTGCTTTCCCTCTCTCTCTCTCATGTATCTTGTTATGATGTAACAAACCTCTTCTTTGTTCATGTCACATGACGCATGGGTGCATCAGTCACGCATCTACATGTAGCCACCTTCTCTCAATTTTGCTTACGTTAAGTGACTTACTTGGCTTACCAGTTACGGCAGTAGTCAAAACCTACAGTGACGACTTAAAATACTCAATCAAGACGTGTCATCCGAGCCGTTCCATGTGGTGGTCCATTTTGGAAGATTAACACCGAGATTTCACAGTTACGCCGGCCCCGTGACGTGTTGGATTGAGTCCGTGCGAATTGTTATGGCAACTGGCCTGAGAAACAGTAACATTTCTCTGGGTGTCATTTCGTTTCCAGTATGTCTTGTCCTCATCTCGGCCGAGTGGTACTTTGTACTAATATGATTGACACGAAAATCTTTTACAGATTATTATTTACGCGCACTTTGTTTTGGATTAAAATGGTTGCCACGGTAACCCAGGTAAGCCTCTTGACTCTGAAAAATATGTTATCATGAATCCCTACCTTGTCGGTTTTTCCTGAGCGTACTTATTTGTTATTCTGTTGTGCTGTTACAGGAGGAGACTTCTCCAACAGAGACGGATCTGGATGTAAGTCAATTAACTTGAGCCTTGTAACAAACCTCAGTCGAATTCTAGAAAATTTGAAAAGTAGCACGTCATAAATATTCTAGGTAAAGTCGAAAAGGACAATGGCCTTGTACATGGATGCTTTTGAAAGCTGGTCTCTTGCAGCTGCAGTGTGTTTAAATACTTTAAACATCAGTCAAGGAAGCTATTGTCCTGGTTGCCATACGAAATTCTGAGTTAATTCAGGATTAAACTGTCAACAAAGCTACTAATCAATCAATCAATAAAACGAGTGATTGATAGATTGACCCATCGTTCAGTCAACCAGTCGGTTTGTAAGTCAATGTGTCAGTTAATCATCCAATAGCCTGTTTTTCTGTTTGTGTGTCCATCAGTCAGTCAGTAAGTCAGCCTGTCAGTCAATCAGTCAGCCAGTCAGCCAGTCAGCCAGTCAGCCAGTCTGTCAATCAAACTTTAATCATACAATCGGACCTCAAGAGTCGTAGGTTTTCCACAGAGTAAACAGAGTTTGCATGTGTAGTATTTTAACTTTTGAATTTTGATGTTTTCAGCTAAGAGCATCTATGGCAAGTACTTTGATGACGAGAATTTTATCCTGAAGCATTATGGGCCGGGTTGGGTGTGTATGGCGAACGCCGGCAAAGACACCAACGGCTCACAATTTTACATCACAACTATTAGGACGTCGTGGCTGGATGGCAAGCACACGTGTTTTGGAAAAGTTCTGCAAGGAATGGTAAGTTTATCTTTATAATTTTGCTGACCGCGCGCTTTTGGTCACAAACTTGATACCAAGACAAAATACAAAGTACGCATGACAGCATACAGATGGATCAATCATATGGAGATAAGAGCGTTAAGATTCTAAGTTCAGAGGTTGACTAATAGAGAGATTTAATTCAATTTCTAAGGTTTTCGTCTTTTGAGGTTAAAGAGGTTAAACATCAGGGTTGAAGAGTAAAACTTTCGATACGAGGTCTTTAGTTAGCCTTTTATAATACTTTTTTGTGCTATCCCAGCTTATTTAGGGTTTAAGTGTCTTAAGGAAAACGAAAGGAAATGAAATGACTGAATCAATGAATGAAAGTTTGCACCCCCTTCCTCCATCAAAAAATGCTGGGATCAGCCTTCACTGTGGCATAAGGTGGGAACGTAGGGGCATTATATTCATATAACATCTTTCTTACTCAAGCGGGATCTTTGAACTCACCATTAGGTTTCCTTGGGATGACTGTTCTATTTGCTTGGTGTTTACTCAATGTGAACACATTGATTAATTTACACAAGGTTGCGGAAATTTTTCTGAAAGGGCTTTCTTGTCTCCTGACTCGCTGTATTTTCTCCAGCATGAGATAAATATTAGTATACTTAGAAGAACGCGTTCGCACATTTCCCTGGTGTCAGATTTATCAAAAAAATTTTACATACCGATTGTTGGTAATGGATAATCCTCCGCTCTCTCCTAATAGAAAGTTGTCAAACACATTGAAGGACTCAATACTGACGAAAAAGATCATCCAGATCAGACGGTGGTCATTTCTGATTCTGGTCTCGAGGAAGGTTTCAACTGGCCTTTTACAGTTTCCAAGACGGGTGTGACTGTGTAGTGGGGCTGTTCAGTGTTTCATGGTTTGCATTTAGAAATTTCAGGTTTTTTAGCCTATTTTTAAGAAAGTGGCGCATGTATCAGCTACGTAAAAGTATAGAGGTGAGAGACATTCACGTCTCGGCTCGAAAAATTAAAAGAGACACCGTAACACCATGTATTTCTGAAAGCTTAATAAAATGTTCCACAACATCCTATTACCAGGAAAACTTCACACTTCCTTTAGTTTAACTTATCTTGGTTTGTTCTTAAAAAGGATAGGACGAAAATCTTAGTGAAGAAACTATTTTCATCGGAAAAAAAATGAAAAAAAAAAAAAAAGAAAAATTGAAATTAAAACTAATGAATTTATGCCCAGAATATCGGTTGAAGCTTTATCTGACCATAATGATTTTAGCTGTAACTTACAAAAATCTTTAATGGTTTAATTTTGGATTGCGAGTTTATCTTACGAGACTATAAGGATTGTGATTTACCAGTAATATCACTTTTTTAACCCTAGTTTCGTGTCTGCTGTCCTTGACTTCGATCTAGTTCTGTTGAAAAATTAGATTAGTCACAAGTAGTTTATTATGGGTGCTTCAGAGGGAGAGACAGTAGAGACTAAGGGTACCGGGCTGGGGGAACACCTGTTTGTAGGGGTTAAAAACCGAGAGACCTGTCGTCGCTAATGCTGAGATTGCTGTCAACAAAAGATATGTCGCCTGATACTTTTCACCAGCGAACTGACTGTTAAAAATACCCCTTCATGTTACCTTGACAGAACCTGTCACACGTGTCATTAAAAATTAATACTTTTTATTCTTATCTCTGCCTCTTTGTCGTTTGCTTCTTAAAAGGCGAGAGCATTCGATTTTGTAGTTAGTTTTCAACCATGATTTTGCGAGGGCTATTGATCTATGTGCTTTTCAATGCTGTAAAAGCCGAGTCTGAGACGACGGTAACTCGCAAAGTGTTTTTCGATGTTTCCGAGGGAGGACAACCTATAGGAAGAATTGTACTTGGTTTATTTGGGAACACAGCTCCTAAAACCGTCACCAATTTTGTATCTCTCGCTGGAAATGAGGTTTGTTCAAAAACGATATTTTTAAAATATTTTATTATGAAGTTACTTCCGTCAGTAGTTAACATTCGTGCAGGGTTGGATATATTTTCTTTCCATCGTCAGTTGCATAGAAATATTATCGTCGACTAAAGCGATCAGGCACGGAACCCTTGCAGTGAATGACAGCAACATGATCATGTAATACCTTTATATTTGATAACTGAATATCATAATGCGAGCCAAGTAGAGTTTTAATTCAATAATATAAAGCTTAAAAAAAATTTTTTTTCCTAGGGTAACATAACTCTCTAAACAATCTTTATTCTGTGTTTTGAAATAAGTTGTTGACGTTATGTGATGTTTATGAAATAAGTAAGACACTATGAGCGCTTTGATATTGTCAAAAACCTCTCTTTTTTTGCATTGATAAACCCATGTTTAGTTTATGAAGCAATAGACTACATTTTATATCGGTTTAACGGTGTAGTGACCCACGCGAGATGTTGGGAGAATACGAGATTCGACTAGTGATTTACAAACTTTTCGTTTTAGCGTTTAAGCGTCAAAGCGTTTAATTACTTGGTTGCATACAAAATATCTTTTCGCGACGTTAATCAATGGTATGTTTTGTCGTGCGCTTTCAGGCGATTTTGTTTCGTTATACTAGAGCCAAACTAATTGGCTTTAACAATCAGAACTAATGTAAATTTACGACCCTGAAACACTTGCTGGTTCACAAATCACACTTGTTTCCACGGAAGACTATTTCAAAACACACAAACTCAAATGTCTCGTGCACATGGACCCTAGAAACGCACATTACTGTCAGTCAACACCTAGCAACTTATGTAACGCGATTTACGGTACAATAAACGAACAAAACACAAAACTGGAAGCGGGAGGCACAACAAATGTCAACATCAAAAGGAGGTATCAAGGGTTCAAAATGAATTAAGCAACTTCAGGCGCAAGAAAACGCCGATGTTTAGGTATTATGGGCTGTTGTAGAGCGAGTTATGTCAACCAATTAAAGAGAGCAGTGAAGAAAAGGGTTACTTCCGGTACTCAATTCCAAACTGCTTTGGTATTCAAGAATTAACTTTACTATATAAACTTTCAACTTTATTTTCAGTATGGTTATGGCTACAAGGGCAGTACTTTCCACCGAGTGATTAAAAACTTTATGATCCAAGGTTTGTCAACACATTTGCAATCAGAAAAGTGTCGAGATTCGGCAACAATGTCTATTTCTTCTATAATTGATGGCAGAATATCTGTCTTGATGAATAACTTTTTAAAGTTAAGTTGTAAAGTCCTCGATAATTGAGAATTAAGAGAGAAATGTTTAACCAAAAGTTCGAAGCACCTTTTTTTTCTTTTTTTTAATTTGAAATTAGTGGGAGAATGCGTTCAAAAATTGAAGATGGTTACATTTTACGGTAAACAAACCATAACTGGGACAACTGACTCAAACACTTACATGGTAAACTATCAGACTCGATCCCAGTCCTTCTAGAGAGGTTTTGAAGAGAGCTCATAGCATCAAGAGATGGATACATTTTTTTAGTTTATTCAAACCTTTAAGCGCACCCTGCAATTATCACCAGAATATTCCTCTCTAGTGTTAAATTGCTTTTAAACATCACATACTGATTTGTGATTAGCGGTCGTTGGTGACCTCTGTCACAAGAGTATCGTTTAGTTGAATGAAAACTTCTGTCGATACACGTGGGAAAGTGTTTTCGGACTTGTGCTAACATAAGAGAGAGCATGCGTTAAATTCCTTGTGACATGAACAAAGAAGAGACTGATCTTTCACGGTGTCCTTTTCACAGAATTGAAGACTTCTGATCTAAAATCTTCACTTCCATTAAGCTATTAAAAAAAAGATCAACGAAGAGATCATCAATAAATCTCTGTCATGCTTTTCCCTTAAAGTAACACTTTGTCAAATTGTCGCTTGAAATCCGCATCAAAAAACTATCCAGGAACATCTGATAGATGTTCAATTAATGACGACATCCGAGAGTCCCCATAATTGTTTTGCTTCTTTTTTCTACCAGGGGGAGATTTCACTAAGGGCGATGGCACAGGAGGTAGGTAAAAATTCCTACTCGCTGATGATCCGTTCCTTGCTGATGAACGGATTGTTTGACTTGTCAACATATGTATACTGACCTGAAATTCGTAATCTACGCCAGTGGGTCGTTTTCAGTTCACGTAATACGAACACATATTGGATTCTCCACTCTGAGTTGAAAGCCCTCACCCTCGATTCTCCTTCTCCCGATTTTGTTTCATGCTTGAGATAAAATACTGTCTCTAACCCATTCAAAATGTGAAAATGATGAAAATGGACCAAAGACGAAGCGTTATGGCATATGACTTAGTAGGTCTTACCCCCCCTCTCTAAGACAGCTGGATAAATAATTGAGGTCTCTGGAATACCAATAACTGGCAATTTAAAACTCGAGAAACCCCTCTCCTTTTCAAGTAAATCTTACAAGAGGAGGGTAACCGTTTCGGACAGACATTGCGGCGTATAGATTCCTCCCGGCAAAAGGCGGAGGGAGAGAGTGAAGATACAAATAGACACTAAGTTATTTTCTATCTGAAGGAAACCGAGTCAGTAAAAACTCAGCACGGTAATAATTCATGTTTTCTTTTCATCCAGGATATAGTATCTACGGAGACAACTTTAATGACGAGAACTTTGTTCTAAAGCATTATGGTCCCGGCTGGCTATGTATGGCGAACGCTGGCAAAGATACAAATGGATCACAATTTTACATCACCACTATCCAGACACCCTGGTTAGATGGCAGTCATACTTGCTTCGGAAAGGTCTTGGAAGGAATGGTAATCATAATTTCATGTTTCCTCTTGTTATCAAATGTCAAGTTCCCCTAAATTCATTTAGTGCTCCAATGAACCTTATTATTTTGCGTCAGAAGGCATTTCCTTTTGTTAATTTCAAAACTTTCTTGGTCCTTTTTTTTTTTTGCAGGATGTAGTAAAGAAAATCGAAGGCGTTCAAACGGGCCAAAACGATAGGCCAGTTCAGAAAGTAGAGATTACACAGAGCGGCGTGATTGATGTACCGACGCCATTTGAAGTCGCTAAGGAAGGAGTTAATGTTTAAAAACTTTTTTTATTGGTAATTGTGAATTGATTGATGTTGTTACAAAATTAAAGGACGATCCGTTTTCTTTATAGCCTGACTGCATTTCCTCTATTCGTCCATAGTTTATGGAAGAGTTTTTTTTTTTAAAGAATCATCCCACGTTAATTCCAGTAAGTGCTATGTCGTAAATCTGTAAAGGGAATCTCGTTATAGAAAATGACTGGTCAGGTTCTCTTGGACAGACAGAATCGCTAAAAAAATGCTACTGAACATAATTTGTTATGAAAATTTATTTTACCCAAAATGATGATTTAAAAATGATTTCCGGAAAATACGGCAAAATTAAAAAAAGTCACATGAAAGTATTCTTAATCACCTTCAAATTGAAAAAGGACTGAACTTAGAAGTAATGGAATCTAAGCGTTTGAGTTAATTTCACAAAAATCATTCTCATGTAAAAAAAAGGCGCTAACTGAGAAATAAGCCCAACGAGTGTTGAGGAGTGCTCCTAAAGTAAGATGTCATCCTGTGATAGCCACATGATCTCTTCGCCTTGTTTCAACATGACTGACTTGGGGTACTGAAATCCGCTGACCACAAGTTTTTGCAAGAAAATATCACCTGACGTCGACATCATTTCAAACTTCATTGCTTCTTTGTCTATGACAGAGCATTGCAAAGTGCCTATGGCAAATGGAGTGTAAAACGGAATTTTGTAAGGGCAAAGGAATTTAGGACTAAATGTTAGTGTAGCATTTGGCGCTGAGAAGTACTGGCCCGAGATCGCAAAAGGGATGTGCCACAGTACCATGTGGAAAGTGTAGTGCGAGGTACACCATGGGAGACCATCAAGACCGTACCCAGACCCTGAATAGAGACCGTGAAAATCCCATTGGTCGTTAAGCTCGGAACGAACGTGGTCTATAGCTTTCTGTGCTTGAAGTGAGGCATCCTGCGGGTCAACACCTGGATTTTAACCAAAACAAATTTGATTTACATAGAGGAAACAACACCAAGTATTAAGTTACATTTTTGTTAGAACTCTGTCACTTTGATAAGTGATAATCATTAGTGTCATAACACCTGTCCCCTGTTTTAGGTAAGAAAGTGATCAAAACTGAAACAGTGATAATAATTATACGTTTTTCTCAAAAATGGACACATCGGAACCTCCCTGATTATGGCTATGGAAGAGGTCATAGGTAATGCAATCTGGTCAGATCTCTTAGGCACAGATATTTGGAAACTTCGAGATTTTGTTTGTGGATTTCATGTAAAAACACACACACAAGCATTGGTAATCGGATAACATTTCAGAGATAAAGCGCAGAAGTTAAGTTTAGCAACAGATCAGTCCGCTTGGCAGGCGTGCACTCCCCTATTTATTTTCACTGATTAGTTTCTGGTAAAGACGTCGATTCTGAACCCAAAACAACCACATCCCCCGTAAATACAGACAATAGCCATCTGGCGCGAAAATGTGCACGGTTATTTGTCGGTGGACATTAATCTGTTCCAAGATGTGAACAGTTTTTCCGAAAATGAAGCTCGAGGAAAACTGTGAGAGTCGATATATCTCACAGGAACAATAATATCCTTTACACGATCATATTTTCGCACCACATGGAGGCTATTGTGTTTATTATATTTCAAATAGTTTTGAAACGAGCAGGAAAGTGCTGACAAACCGCTTATTGTTTGCTGCGTGAGATACTCACTTTTCAGTGTTTCTGCTACGACTTAAGGAACAAACAGACATGTCCCTTTTTCCGTGACAACCGCCACACGCTCTCATATCTTGAATTACACTTTAACGAAGATTTTTCTTAATGGAAGCAAGGTTTGGAAAATGAGAAATGTCATTTGGGAATATTACCGGATATTGGACCCTAACCTTACCTAGGTGAATCTGCAGAGTGGTCCAGTCAGGACTGCCGCCAACCCAAATTGACTCGCGTATAGCTACATGTTTGTTTAAGTCACTCGGTGAGATGTCTTGCGGACACGAGCCCACGCTCTTGTTAGTGGGGTGGCCAGTAAACATCACTCGCAGACCATATGGAGTGTCGTTAATTTCAAGTTCCTTGTTCAAATGCAATTTTAGCCTAAACAAAGTTTAACAAAGTTAAGCATTTCCAACCAAGCAGTAGGCTGAATATTGTATAACGAAACTTTTACCACAAAATTCCCGGCTACGCTACCCTTATATCTGGGTATGGTTGTGCAGGATAAACCATGTGTTAAATTACAACACAACACATACCTAACAAGTTCCACAACCTACCTTCTTGGATCATCTAAGTGTCCAAGACCTAAAGTGTAGGCCCAAACTTGCGCGTATAGTGAATCACTCATCAGCCATGAAGGCGATCCAAGCTCTTTGTCCCACCAAGCATGATAGTAACCATCTTCTTCACTCCAAAGTTCTTCCGAGATAACATATTTTGCAAACTCCATGGCAATCGTAGCTTCCTTCAATACGTTCGAGTCTTGCATGATTCTACCTAATTCCTGTGCTGCCCGCAGCGAAAGCACATACATAAAACTGTTGAACACATTGTGATCGTAAAGGTTTAGAGCCTGTATATCGTATGTGCACTGCTGTTTATAGGGTAACCCAGTACCGTTTGTGCCTTTGTAAATCAGCCAATCAAGTGCATTTACGACGTGCGGCCATAAATCCCTTAAGAATTGACTATCGTTGGTCCACAAGTAGATGTGATATGTTTCTATGATGAATACTGTTGTCACGTCCCCCATTATCCGCTGGTTTGGAGGCCCGCTAAGAAGAGAAAAGCTAAATTCAAGTTCGGGCAAAAGGCCACAAAACGCTTCACTTGAAATACTTCTATCGCTTTTTGACAATGCGTTAATGTTAACAGTGCTAAAGGAAGAAGACGTTGGATTTTTCCTTCCTTGATATTCCTGTGTTGTCTACCTTTAAAGATTAATTTTATAACTATAGGAACATCAACACACTGCAAACTACAAATCGCGGAATACCTGAGCCTTGTTCGCAGAAAGTCGCTGTCAGAGTCGCAGCGTGTGCTAGCCAGCAACTTCAGAACATTTGATAAAATGTGATGCTGAAAAATCAGCCACACCGTGCTCATACTTACCTGTCCATTTTTCTGGTTGGCGAATAACAACCCATAACTAGTGTTTCCACAATATGACCGTCCTCACTTTGGTACTTCGCCCATGCTCGCATCACTTTTTTGACCAAGTCGGGATAAAAAAGAACGTAAGGTATTTCTCGCTGAAAGTCATTATGGACGGAATCAATATCAATGCAGTCTAGAGCCTCAAATTGACGCCATCTTCCATCACGGAGATACAGCCCCGAGCGCCAGAAACTCAAACCATTCACAAGAACATCTTGTAACCACTCGGGCAGGGTCTGGACCGATTCCTTGGTGGTGTCAATCATCATTGACGAGTGCCAGTAAGAAATGGACTGCAGAGTCGAAGCTAGGTCACTTGAAACAAGTAAAGCTGCTTCCTCGCTGGATTTGAAGATGTTACTGTAGTAATTACCAACGATTTCCACTGAAAAAAAAGGGTGAATTAAAAAATGATAGCATAATTCGGTAAAACACATTTTGGAATCACTGCACACCTGTGAAATCTCTGTTCGGATAATACCATCCTAAGACCATCGTCAGTGTCTCTTCGTCACCAGGCCCTACAGTAACATTAATAGCCGTGGCTCCATGAAATCCACCACCAAATGATTTAGCTGTTGATTGCAGATAACCATGTGTACTAAACTGTTTCCAGATTTGACCAAAACTATCACTGACCATGAATGAAGGGCTATGCGATTTCTCAGTCACAATGGTTGTATTTCCACTCTGAGGGTAGTTCCCAGGCCTATTGAGTGTCAGCATTGAGTCATGAGCTTTCCACGTATTCTTTTGACCAGAAGTAAAGCCCGGCTTCCAGTAGTGAGGGAAAGTTTTATTAAAGAGTAAACATGTTTTGTTCTTTGTTTCTGTTTGCCATGAGAAGCATTTAGGATCACTGGCACAAGCCTTAGAACAAATAGTGGAATTAACTGTCGACATTTGTATATATTTGTATGATTCCCCTTGTCTAGCTGTGTCTGTTTGAATTCCTAACGGTAGGTTAAACATTAATGAAACATTGACAGTTTTCTCTGTTGGGTTATTGATGCGAAATGTAAACGCCACGGCGGGGGTGGCTGACGTCTTGGAATCACGTGGTTTTAAAGCCGAATAGGCAAAAAGGTCCAGACCAACGTCCCCAAACTGTTCATCTCTTACGGTGAGCTTGGAGACTGGGAATGAGCCAGAATAACCCATGGAAGCAACACCTGTCGGAGTAGAGAAAAAATGAAGTCAGAAGAGGACGAGTCTGATCTGACAAAGAGCAATGGGGGAAACCACGGTGACGGAATTGCACTCATTTTTATGCATTTTGATTGGGTGTCTTAAACCAGTTTTGTCCAAACGGCCAATCAAGAGAAAAAGAAAATATCAAACAGCCGATGAGAATTTCAACTTGAATTGATAAAAGTGAACTGCTTTGAGCGCGGGAAAGCACAAGAGACTAAGCCACTATTCGTTTTAGTTTTGCAATCTAGTACTAATCTCAGGGCCGAGCAGAGCAAACACGAACACAACTTGTATTATTTTTGACAATTACTTGCTGCCAAGCAACACTGATTTTATAATTTTTATTGTTTTCGAATGACGGTAGCTTACAGATGCTGGATTAACCCTTTAAACCCTAAGAGTGACGAGCATCAAATTTCTCCATACAATATCACACCTAAATCACACGTTAAGGTCATGAGAATAAAGGAAATGATCACCAAAGAAAGATGCTTTTGATTGGTAAACAAATTCTCCCTGTTAGCGCCCTAGGAAATGTATAAAGAACAGTATGGAGAATATGCATACTGATTTTAGAGTGTAAAGGGTGTTTGAGCCTAATCTGCTGTACCTTAACCGAATGCACGACATACATTCTGATCCCAAAGCCTTAGTTCAACATTGTAAACCTCCAAGATTACATTCGGAACTTTGATTGAAATAGCTATTCACATGGCCTTGGATTCTCGATAACGTCGTGTTCATGTCAACGCATCGTAGGCAGACATTCAGTTACCTGGATAGCCCTTGGGAGGGTGAGTACGCAACAGCGCTGCTTTACTTGAGGTACCTGTCTGCACGCGGACACCAAAAACGGCTAGATCCACGGCCTCCTGACTCAGTTTCGCTGAACCTGCAGGAGTCTGGTTCTCGATCGTCCACTCGTGGATTGAACCATCTGCTCGGAGCTCAAATGATCCCGTTCCTTGAAACGTAGAAATCAAGTATGGTGATAGATATTACACTGACGGTTTGCACAGGCATAACAACGCACGACCGAATTGATTTCACGTTCACGTGCCAAACGAGACGGACTGCGAGGCAAAGACTGTGGGGCCTGATGATGTCAAACGACTTTGAAGGTTTTTTTTTCTCAAGTTTCGTATGATATAACTTCAAGGTCTGACTTACCCAGGCCTCCTAGTGGAACAGCACTACGCATACCCATTGGAGGTGACCGCTGCATTTTTGGATCGCCAGGGTTTTGAAACAAGTAGCTTCTTAGTCCCAGTGTATCCCAGCCAAATCGAATAGTAGAAACGTTTTCTGGTTCAGTATATAACACACAGAACTGCTGCAAGCCAAAACTCTGATTGGCGTAAACAAACGAAGGACCATTGCGGAACTGAAGGGCGTTGAGATATGGGACAAGATCATCTGTCTTTCCTGTAAAAAAAATATAAGAACAGCGCTGTGCTGCTGAGAAGTCCCAGTTCAATTTGCGCATGGTTGTCAATATGCTTACGGGTGGTATTCCATAACGTTTTTGAAAACATCCTTTAGATGCTGCGTACCCAGTAACAAGGGACACTCGAGATGCGTGACACGGTGCGATGCACCTCTTTTCGGCTGAGCTGCGCGCTTTGAGTATGACGAGAAACAATTCTCCTGTCCATTTTCCCATTTTGTTTGTTTAACTAGGAACCGGTACAAGCTACTGGTCTCTGAGGCTTACTAAGAGGATTTCAGTTTTGAGTCAGAGATATAGGATGTTAGTCGAGGGCCACATCAACCTTTTGGATTTGATAATCACTGAAAATGATTATCGAAAAATAGAACGCTAAGATCTCCACACGGAAAAAGGAAAAGAGTTTTGCATTCAAATCCAGGTGTCAAGAAATAATTATTAAGATTTTCGCCTTAAAAAATTTTAAATGGCTGGGACCGAAAGAAAAAATTGCACCAACCACCCCCTACCCTCACCCTCGACAATCCAACGCTTTGCCTCGCCGTAATCCTACGGTGATAGCGTCATTTTGCAGCGTAATAGTTAACCTTTAACTCCCAAGATCTAACTGTTCATTTTTCCCTCTAGCTACTACACATTTCTTTGTAAATTAGTTACGAGAATTTGGTGTTAGATCAAGATAACAACTACCTGATAACTTTGAGTATTCTTATTACCTGCTCACTGGATTATGTATGGATATTATGGGGAGAAGTTACTTGTTAATCACTTCTGGGAGTTAAAGGTTAAATGAAAAACAGATCAATGGGAATTCAAGTTGGCTTACATTTATGTACAGTAAAATAAATATTAAAAGACAAACGACGAAATAAATAGAGAGGGTGTAATCAAAGTAAATGGTCGTATGAAAAGGGTCACAAGAAAGATTTAGATCGACTACACAACAGCAAATAAGCAAGCTTCTAGATACCCCTTCAACTGAACTAGCCCAAAATTCTTCTCTCCTGCAAAAACCGAAATGTGTCGGTGAGTGTTCGAATGAGGAAGAATGCAGTTATCACGGTAACACTGTTCCCGAGATCCCGGTGGTCGGGCTACAGTGTGTTTGATAACGGAAACGAAGCTTCAGAGGTTACGGAAAGGCGCCTCTTGTCCATTTCGGTTACCGAGGTTTCATTTTCAATATGAATCATAAATAACCAATTGCTGCCAAGCAAGCCACTAAGGTTACACGATATAATAAAAGCCTTAAATTTGCTGGGACTCATCAAACTATGCATCGAGTTGCGTCACAATTCGAACCGTGAACTATGCACTGAAAGCGTTCTAAGTAGTGCAATCGAAAACGTTATAACAAGGGCAAACACCAGCAGTATGTTTATCCAGGGTTTTTGAGACCGGTGGTGGATCGTTGGGACCGGTTGTTTACATTCGCAGATTTTCGATATCTTTTCCCATTGCTTGCTTCCATTATTTTCATGAAAGTAACAAGAGGAAAAGCTCGGTCATCCTTTTCAGTTTCATCGCTGTAAAGTTATAAGTATTTTTTCGTTTTCGATGAATGTCCGTCTTCGCAGTCTATGGTAATGAGCGTCTACGTTTGCTCAAATTAAACTCGCGGTGCTTCACTCGAGATTTATATTATTATCAACGTCGGCCGTTAAGACCTAAACTTTCAAAAGCGATCAAAGGGAACTTTGTTTGTCTATACATGAAAGGATGGTTTGTGGATCATAATTTAGGATTTTTGAGTAGCTAGCAGGTGAGATTGTGTGAAAATACCTGCAGTATTTACCAAGCATGATAGTCACGGAATGACCACGAATAAATACAAGCGATCTAAATGATTTGTTCTGCCTTTGTATGTTGTGGTGTGTGCATCGAAAGCAAAACAACATTCACATGTGTTCTAGAGAATGAAGATAATCTCCTATTTCATACTGACAAGGAAGAGTGATAATGTAAAATCGTACCTGCAAAAATCGTCCCGACCTGGCAAAGAAGGAGAGCGAAGAGCACCGACATCTTTGAAAATAGTCTGGAAACAGCATGTGACCCACAGCGTCACCGTAGCGGAAGTGATTTGATTAATATGCAATGGGAGGTCAGATTGCAGTCAAGTAAATCGAAACACGTACTTTTCACTGGATCAAAATTATAATTCTAATTCAGTATGCAAAATACCACAACTTTCGTGTGATATAGGTCAAGAAAACTGGCTCTGTTACTAAGATCTTGCGTGACTTAACTTTTTCTCCTGTTAATTCGGAAACTATTAAGGGTCTGTTTACATGAAGGTGGGGGACCCCAGGTAGGTGACGTAACCCGCCTAGCCATGGTCGAAAAATAAAACGAGTTTACATTCAGTCTTACAACCCCGAAGTGATGAGGTGAGGTTTCTTGAGGTTGTTGTTGTGCTTGAAATTAGGGACTCTGAGCAAAGGCGTTCCAAGCTCACGTCTCGAGAAAGACGAAAGATAAATTTCTCGGACGCGTATGTATTTAGTCATGAAAGCATCACGTGTTGTGTTATGCGGTGTTAGGTTACGCGAGGAACCGTTGACTCAATAATACGTTATCAGGAAGAGTTCGAAATATGGTCGATTTACAACGCTAAATGTTCCGAAATGTGAACATTTTACACTCCTTGTGTGTCCGTTGCGGTCTCCGGCGATTTCTGTCATGAGATGGCTAGGAAATGTACAAAGTTTTAAAACAAACGTGTTTCGCTTTAGAGCTTTTTGCCATGAAAGCGACCCCGGCTAGGCGGGTTACCCCACCTTGAGACGTTTACATGGCAAATTGTCACCCCGACTGACAGGGTTACCCTACCTGGTAGACCGGGCAACCCGCCTAAGCGGGTCACCCCACCTATCATGTAAACGTGATCAAGGTTAAAATAAGAAATTATATGGACAGGCGGGTTACCTCGCTTACAGGGGTCCCCCACCTCCATGTAAGCAGGCCCTAAGATGAAAGAAGGCAAGATTGGTTACAGATATCTCGGCACACGGTCTGGAAAACTGCGCGGTCATCGAGAGAAGGTTAAAATTGAAAGATCGCGCCTTGTTCATATTAGACTACGAGGAGTTCCTCCTTTTCGGCGATGTCCGTCGGGCGAGTGGAAAAAAAAATCACCGGAAAAAATTAATCCAAAGTCAAATAAGCTGAACTTCCTCTCAACTGTGGTTGAAATTTCAGCTCAGTGATTGAGCAGAATTATTACTTTCTTTAATATGGGCCAAGAGGAAGAATTTGAGCGGTGCCCAAGGCATATGAAATTACCCGTTACACAACACCGTCCTAGCATGAATATCAAGAACGAAAATAAAATAAACCTTAATTCTTTCGTTTGAACTTTAGCTCTCGCACCAGCTCTTCGTCGATCGTCCACTCCGCGCTCGTCATGTGGAAAAGAGACCTCACTGCAATTCTTGCCTCTTATTAGTTTACTTCAAGCAGATGGCTCGTTTTTGTTTTATTTTATTTTAGTTCGCTTCTAGGGATGCCGGCTCGTCAGTTATTCTCGTTGAAAATCGATGTTTGTCTTGTTCATACCTTTAGCCTTGTTTTTTTGAGGACAATCCATAACTCGAAAGATATTTCCAACCAAACTAAATCGGTAGCTTAACCCTTTAACTCCCAGAAGTGATCAACATGTAAATTCTCCTCACAACATCCATACATTATCCAACAAACAGGTGATGATAATACTTAAACTTATCTGGTAGAAGTTAGTCGTCTCGATCTAACATCAAATTCTCCTGACTAATTTACAAGTAAATGTCTAGCCACTAGAAGAGTGAATTTGCAATCAGATCTTGGGGGTTAAAGGGTTAATAATAACCTGAACTTCATTATTCTTATCTAGGCTGTAACAGCTTCTGAACAAGACTTAAAAACACAGAAAATCTGAAAGCGCACATTTTTTATGGAATTTTTTTCCAACAAGACTGATCCAAGGAGGCTAAAATTTTGAAGCCCAAATATTCTGATTTTAAGTTACAGGCCAGTTTTAAACGCACTTCAGACGCAGTTTAATGAGGTTAAATACAAATAACGTGTGAAAAAAGTTATTCTTTTCTTTTTCTTGAACAGTTCGGTATCGGCTCTGCATTTTTCCATGGTCCTACACGGAAAAACAATCATCCAGCGATAACTGATAAAAATCAAAGCCGCGAGACTTCTCGCCTTCAATTCTCCACAAGTTTATTTTTTTGTGTGTTAAATTCTGCTCTAGCGGATTACCAACTCAATAGCTCAAGTGCTGCAGAGTTAAAGAGTGGAGAAGCTTTTTTTTTTCTCTGAGTATGAAAGAGCACCTTCCCTGTTATAAAATGAAAAAAGGGGGAGGTTTTGAACTTATGACTTCATACAACACTTTTTTTTGCAAAGCATCACCACCATTTTCCCTCTCCCCATTCTCAAGGATAAGCAGTAAGGGTTGGACTCGACTCATTCTTCATCCGGGTCATTATCATTTGTATGAACCTCGTTGGGCTCACTTGAAAACAGCATATAACACAAGTTTGATAGGACAGTGATAACGGTGAACATAAATGAGCAAATGTGAATCAAAACCACCATTTCTTCAGATTTCTTTCGCTCCATTGAAGAACGGTTTGCACTAGGGACAAATGAACAACAAACAGTGAATGAAAAGCACGTTACACTAGAGGCTTGAGAGACAGGAATTCCTGCACGAGTTGCTACAACGAATATTATTTTCCCCTGCAAAGACGTTACTCTAGTTTTTCACTAAGTGCTATTTTTAATCTGTTAAAAAAGAAATATGGAAACAAAGAAACGTAGATCAACGTATCCTCCCCCCCTCCCCTACCAAAAAGGGATAGGTTAACATTTATACATGTTTAAGATGATATACAACTTCACTTTTATTGAAGCCTGGTTATTACAAGTGAAAGAAGATGATATTCAGTTAATGACGCAGGCATACGCGGAGGAAAAGAACTCCGATTGCTACTAATAGGGGTCATATTACGACCTTCTCGACTCATAGCAGGCTACGCTTTTGATGGTGACAAATTATACCTCCTGCATTCTGCTAGGATAGGAATGTTGAATGTGATGCTTTTGCGCAATGATGATGTAAATGAAGATGTTAAATTTTAAGCCTGGTTGTTCAAGTGAAGGAAGATGTTATACGACACTCGCAAACTCTCAGAATAGGAAAAATGTTCGTGAAAATTCGTGCTTGTGTATTCATGCTGGTTCGCGAATGAGATCCTTTCAGTTTTCATACACAGAGATTTTCCTTTCCAAGATACTCTTTTTAATGTCAGCGGAGAAATGCAGTTCGAAACTTTCGAATTGCATTTCTCCCTTGACAGTCAATTTTAAACAGCAGTAATAATCAATGGTTAAACTGTGTATACCTGATAGGGTTTAACAAAACTGAATATTAAAATAGTTACCTCATGGGCGATCGGTACTAGTGTGGCCGTGATACTTATGCGTTTAAATATCCTTCCTCGTGGCGAAAGCCTGGAACTAAAAGATGCCAACTTGAAAATTTTGAAAATAACCATGAGAAATTTTAATGAAAGTTTCTCTTTAAACGGCATTAATACAATTGATCTGTAAATTACCTGATTCAGAGTTGATTATGATGAAACGAGATTTTTTTAATGCATTGTAGATCACTATATCGAGCAAAAGGCGTAAAGCACGAAAACTAAATTCATTAGTATGCAAAATCCTGAATTTGTGCTTGTGAAGCCGTAATTGAAAAACATGCAAATGTGAAATAGGAAAATTACCCTCTGACCCTTTGTTTTTCTTTGACTGACAGTGTTGGTGTGCGTGAAGATAATTCTTGCTATTTAGTTTCCGAGCAAACATGTAAAATTGTAGCTTTGAACGACAATCAGAGGCTGTGAAGTGAATGATGACACCACTGGGAAATAAAATAAAAAGCCAGAGACACTTTAAAAGTAGATGGACCGACAATCAGGGGCGTTTTGATTAAAAAAGATTCATTAGAAGTCTCTTTTGAACTGCAGTGTGGTGTCCACTGCCTGGTTAGTGGTATTTATGTGGTCTCCTCGACAAACAACGCGGGCAACAAAGAAATAGAAAGCTCAATCTGTGGGTTTGTGCTGCAGTTCACAAACATCATTGTTAAATGGAAATAAGCCGTCGTCGGCGTTGTTAGCACAAGTCTATTTTCCTTTCTTAACAAAGTCCAAAATTTTACACGGAAATGAACCTTACGACCCAAACAGACCATGGAAATGAACATACAATGAACGACACCTATTCTAAGGTTTATGGAAATGCGGTGACGGAAGTAGAAACTAAACCGGGAAAAGTTCAATGTCAGAGAAACATCCAAATGCCAAAAAAAAAACAAAGCGGTTTACTTGCCATTGTCATAAATTTTCTCGATTTTAATCACTGATTTAATGAAGGATCGGAAAAGTTTCGTCATTTATTATTCACAAAACTCAACATTAAAAAAAAAAAACCTGTTTTGTTGGTTCAGAGCCAACTTAATTTCCCATAAAGATACGTTGGCTCAGAGCCTAAAAACTTCAATGCGAGTTTCTCATTGCATTCATTAACTCCTAAAATAAAGTCGATAGATCGCCTCCAGTAGACTAAATGTGACAATAATACGTATCGTGGAACAAAAAACTAGATTCATTAACTTATTCATGTAAACGCCCCTGCACATCTCTTCCTCCAAAAAAAATTCCCTCCAAATACTGTGCATGTTTAAGGTCACCAATAAAAGACCTGCTTAAGGTTAAATCGAGGAAGACCTCAAGTCGATAGATAATACTAGCATGTGTTTACAGAGTATTTTCGTTAGTTGGCGAAGAGAAAAGGAGTCCATTATCCCTTCGCTCTGACGAAAGGCTAACACTCGAAACGTCAGCCTTAGAACTCTACGGTGGCCAAATTACATCATCAACTCAGTTGATAAAACCTAATTATCTTATAATATCTTCCACTGACGTAACACCACAGTTTCTTCAGAAACCTACCCCCTTTATTCATTATCCACGTAGTTAACACAGCTTATATCAACAAGTGGTGCAAATCATTTTCTGAAAGGAATGGGAAGAGTGTGAACATTCGAATTTTTTGGTTCGGATTTGATTTTTTACGATATTTTCTGAGAAACTGTTTCGCCTTATTCGATGGCTCCTTATTTTATTGGTTAACAATATAGCATTCTCTATAAAAAGCAAACAGCCCATTCCTAATCCTCTATTGAGCCGATGAGGATAGTGGCTAGTCATACAAGGCTGCATGAAGCTCTGCAACTCGCTTCAAGAATGGAATGTGATTGGCTTGTAACTTGAGGTGATTGCTGACTTCCTGCCATTGGAGACCGCGGGCGTTAATACCAGTCTTGAATAAGAAAAACAGTCTGTCTTTAGTGCGAGTAGGGGTAACAAAATTGCCAGCTAAATATGAAAGGTCAAACAAACGCGCAAAAACCGCGGTGAAGACGCTGCAATAAACGTTTAGGTATGCACGTGTTGAGTAACTTTTCCATACAGTTTCCAAATGTTGGTTAATAAGTAAAATACGTGAAACCTAGGCCTTCGATTACGTTTTGCTTAAAGGTCAAGGTCTTACTCTTCTCAACTACAATATGACTGGAAGAGATCTGAGCATGATATTGCGATTCGTTTTAATATGGGGCTCCGCTAGGTCACTGTAGCGGAGACATGGAACAAATTGTTATAACCTTATTAAATACCTACCTTAAAATGAACGCTGTCCAAAATGAGTCCTGTATCATCATGGAAACTCACGGCTATTGTTTCCATCCAAGCATTGTCTGTGTTACGCGGATCATCCACATATCCTTTGTAAACCTTCGGAGACGGGTCATTCGAGTATCACAGCAAACAATCGAGTTGTAAAACACAAGTATTCCAATAATAACTCTAAATCTCATTTTCAAACACACGGTTTAACGACAACCTAAGTGTAGCTCAGGTTTGACTCCAGCCACCGCAGTTTACATTATGCTGGTTGTACTGTGGATCCTGCATTGCATATCTCTTATCCGGACAGAGAAGACGATGACAGATTTTTATATAATAATTCCCATGAAGAAATTCAGTCACTAAGATTTAAGCAATTTGAAAAAGAATCTGGTTGCCTTCTATACTGTCCTCGACCTGTTTGATTCAAGGCTTTTTAAATTGTAAGAACACCTCAGTGGGACCAACAAGAGTAGATCAAAGCGAAGGCGTGATAGGGAAATTAGATCCACTTACCGGAATACCGTTGGAAAAAAGTTGCTCAAGACGTTCAGACATTAGTTGCTTTTCGTCTTCACTCGCACTTGGAGAACAGAGAGTCTCAGCGGAAAATTCATTACGAAGGTAGGTTGGAAACGTCTCTTCGGCCTCAACAGTTCCCTGTAAAATACATTCATCCGTGAGAAGTACGGTCTATGAAGAAGTGGGTCCTCAGTAAAGCGGGACTTAAAAAATTCGCGTTAAATTAGCATGATACTACAGAGACAGAGGAGATAAGAAGGGGTTTTGATACAATAAAAGCCAGTTACGGGCAGTCTACCGCCGCCTATAAGATCTCTGTAAGACCTCCATGAGACCACCGTCTGTTTATGCAGCGAACAGATGTCGTGTTTTGTTTTCGCCCTTACAGCTCCCTTTCTGGACAAAGCCGCCCAATGTACCATCGGCAGTTGCTTAGGGAAAAGTTTACTGATAGCCTGATTTAAGCCGACTAGACCCCGATGTACCATCTAGAGTTTCAAAAGCGCAAACTTTAACGCAGAGACTGATTACAGAACCGCAATTCTCAGTTGTAAATAGAACATTTTTGAATGAGAGGTTGGGGTCCCTTGGGTTTCTCAGACGTGGCCCATTTTATCTCCGATGGGAAAGGAATGGAATAGATCAAATCATGATGAGAAAAAGGGGCAGGCAGAGAATTTGCCGTAATTACGAACCCCTGGTAACGCCCATTCCAAGGTGTCGCGTAATTGAACTGCGACAAATTCCATAACACATTTGCCGAAACGTTCAACAACTGCTCCATCTTGAGTCCTCTTCCACCTATTAGGAAACAAAAAAGGTTAAGAATTTCAGTGTTTAGTTTATACAGAAACATGCAGACTCAGCTTCAGAACAGTCAGACAATTATTCTAATAATTAATTATACAATAATTAATCAATTATTGGCAATCAGCGATCAATGAAGGCAATAGAACGACTAAAAATTCTGGAACGAAATCTTTGTATTCAGCCCTTCAGCGATAGCAAGCATGTCCTTGTGAAGATATTACGTGAGCCTGACGAAACAGAATTTCGCATAGTTCAGGTATCTGTCGGGCAGTACATTAATTCCCTCGCTAAAAATAGAAAAGTTATTCCGTATGACAACTTTAAAAATGCATCGGAGAGTTAATGCAATTTTATCCGCTGGTATGATAAAATTTGTTTTCATTACTTCTCTAAGCAAAGGCTTAAAAACAAATGTGAATATGTAAGACCTTACAAAGCTTTGCCTTTCTTCTACAAAGTATTCATTACCTGAATATTAAAGAACAGTGACAAGGGATGAATTTTACCTGGTAATAACTGGGTCAGCAAAATGATTTGGTCCCCAGCGGCCAAGAAGACCTCTCGCGGCAATTCCCGTTCGACCCATTGGATTTCTAGCAAAGACAGTTGGTATTCAAAAGAAAATTCAACGTCAATTTGCCCAAAGCCATAAACTGTTGCATAAAGCGCAACATTTAGCACAGAACTTTCAATACAAAAGAATATGGCATTTAGGGGCTTAAACGAAGATTGTTATGTGGCCGGTTCAATTCAAGGAGAAATGTCTAAAAGGAGAAAACAACAGGAAACCTCTATGACCCACCGTGGAATACCGTTGACAACTTCGTAAATTTTCATGTAGCTTCTTCGATCAACTCCTTTTCCAACGTCATTGAAATTCAGCTCTACATGTTGATAAGCAGGTCTAAAAGATCACAAAAAGTAATCAGGTTTGTAGGATCAGATGTGAAATGCAAGTTTCTTTTAGCTTCAACATACGGAGAAGTTCCATCATAACCAGTCCGCTCATGGATCTTTTTCTCTTATCTTCCAAAGAGCAAGTGCAGAATGACAATTTTGTTCAAGTTCTCGCGCGCTCCCTTCGCACTTGGTCGCTTGTCAACCATAGAGAAGCGAAACTGCTGTAAACAGACCAGTCATTACAGACGCATGTTGTTTCAAAGATACTAAGCATTCTCTATATTGACCACTTTTGATAGCGAAGTACATGTTAGATGTATTTATGTATTTTTTTCCCCACTGACGAACAGTTTTCGTTTTACTAGAAGAGATATAACCAGAACTAATTTAAATCCTCCAAAACTCCAATTGTTTAGGGGATCGCAAAAGTCAAGCGCTCGACTTCAAGTTGTTGTGACCTTTTCACATATAAGAGCCAATGTTGCCATATGGACCAGAAGCTGGTTGTGCAAGGAAGCGGAATTCAAGTATTTCCTTTAACTTACTCCAAAAGATCAACGTCGGCCCACTCCGGAGTTTGAATCACATCAAGCGCAGTGTACACTGGCGGAGCATAGCCTGGGAACGGCATCTAAATGAAAATCACTTCAAGTTAAACTCCCTTTGAATTATACCATTATCTTTGCACCATTATACTTGCAACATTGTATTCAGGTTTAGTAGCATGCTTTATCGTGGTACAAATAAAATTACTTATCACTGAGCTTGTAAGGTTCAAAACTTCAATGAGAAGAGCAATAGCTCGTCTCCTACGTGCATTTCTTAACCATCCCCGGCAAAATAAAAACATACAATCACCAAATTTTTTGTGTCCTGAGAACTGGAACTAGGCAACTCATATTTCACATTCTGTTTGGAACTCAACAGCACTCACAGAGTGTCAGACTGAAGTTGAGGCGAGGAGCCGTTAGACACGTTAATTACATCTAGTGAAAGCTAGTGGAAAATTTTTCCATCTTTTTTCAGAGCAAAAATAGAAACAAAAACAACTGTGTTACCTGCCAATCAACAAGGAAGTCTGGTACTGGGTAACGTTGTTGGTCGCTCAATGGATAAGGTGATTGCCTCGCTCTCACGTGCAGTCCCAGTTCTCTGGCTGCTGCGAACGCATCTCTGTATAGTACGTTATCAGGAAGTGTATTTGACCGCTTGCGGGTTTTGCCTTTAGCGGCGGCTTGTGCTAAAAATTAAATCAGACTGAGTAGCTCAAATGTTCTCTGATTGTTCACTTCCTGGGATTCAAAACCAATTTATCCAATGGCTGACTTCTCTTGGAAAGCTGTCCAATGGGTAGCCGGTAATTTTAACTACCGGCTATGGTTTAAAAACCATAATATTCAATTTGACCGTAAGTTAATCTGTGGTGTATTTCAATAATTTCACATGAAAAATTCTGAGACGAGATCACAACAACCTCTGTAAGTGAATTATATGTTAGCTAAGCTGTTGTAGAATTCCAGCGAATTTTAATTTAAAACCACTGTATTGATATCACATATAGCAAAGCTTTTCTACTGTAATGAAAAGCGATAAATAAATAGAAAATAACTAAGTGCTTCCAGAACATACCTTGAGTTTGGACTGTTCCCTCACTGTCTGCACGTTTCAGCGGTATCCGAGATGAAACTTGCGCGAAAGGAACATGCGCTTCCATTTTGCCTTTTTCCGCTTTTCCGCCACTGCCCTTAGACACCTCATCCAGCGAAGGTAAAGTGACACTTCTTTTAAATTTACGGATTGCTTTCTCAAGGCTGCTCCGGTGCCAGTTGCTTTTTGATAATTGACGGTACCAAGATGGATAAGGATTGCTGTTTGGAAGTTTATGTCTGAAGTACATAGGTGTAGGACGGAGACTTGAGCTTGCTTGCTGTCGGTGTACATACGCTGGAACACTCATCATACGGCTGAACATTCTTTTAGGGCCAACTCTGGGTGAAAATTCATCCTGATCCCTGTACTCAATGTTCAACGAGCTGGTCTCCGACATGGCATCTTCACGCTCCTCCGCAGGGGAGGGCAGAGGACCATTAACGTTCGCAAGCATATCCAGAATTTGTATAGTGTACTCTTCCATTCTTGTTAAGCGTTCGTCGATGCTCGTGACTTTTTTTGAAATTTGTTGGGCTTTTGTTTCATTTTCCCGGGTTGTCTCTCTCATGTGATTATTGATGGATTCAACCCTGAGCGATAAACATTAAGCACGATAAGAATGAACCATTTTTGATCCAAGATCCAATTTTTGGATCGGAAAAGTGACAAGAAATCATGGCCGAACGGTAGAAAAATCTGACTACGAAATGAGCAACAAGAAATCAAACAGGACTTATAGTAATAAGGCAAGATATACTGTCAGGCACAGTTACCTAAATCCAATGACTCTCACTCTTTCTTCTGGTGTAGCATGGAACAGCGTGTCCTTTTGTTGTAAATAGCTTTCAGCGCATTGTTCTTCAAACAACATCAGTTTATGTACATCTTGCCTCTCCAGAAAAAGCTCTACAATATGGAAACAAGACGAAACGGCGAGAGTTAAGGAAACAAATCATGTTCGTAAAAGAAGGAGTAAGTAGTGGTCTACTTCTAACAGGGTGCTTTTCCAATGAGTGGCGTCTAACCAAATAATGAGGTAATCATAATAACCGATGAGAACTTTATACTTAAGGGGGCTAAAATGTGGGAAAATGCAAATAACCAAAAAGAAAGTTTTTTATAGCCTTTTTTAGAAAAACAGTTGTATCCAGAGTCACTAAGGCGCCTTCCTCAATCATAAATTGTCATGTAAGTTTGGCCAGGTTTTGGAGGATCGTGTATTATACATTGTATTGGAAGTCGCTGGTAAGGGGCTCATTTCAATCTCAACTCCATCGAGATAATTCTCTCCTTTTTCTCTCCAGCTTTTTCTTCTTCTTCCGTGAATGTTATCTATAAATCTTTTTACACTAAGCAAGAGAATCTTTCTATATTTGGTCACTCACTTAGTTTTTTGTCTGCCCTTTTCCGTTTCAGTTTGCTTTTCTTGACACAACACCGCGGTCTACAGCAAGCTTTGTAAATGAGATACAGATGATTGATGATAATAAACGGAGGCACCAACACAGGTCTATGCGTATACTCCATGATCAGCTGATACCGCTGGAATTTCCAGATCTGGTTTGAGTTGGCTTGAACATAGGAAAACGTGTTGCTAACAAAACAAATAAGATTCACAACCATAGTAGATGAAAGTCACTTCCATTTCGAAACATTCCCATAAAAACACATCGTTAAAGAATTAAAATGCCCGCGTTAGTTTAACCGATTGCGGTCTATTATTCTTACTTAAGATATCGCGAAGATAAAATTAGTGAAACGCTAGGTGGATGTACCTATAAATTGTAATCACCTTTCTCAAGAGTTTTCTTTGGGTAACTTTCAATACACTGAGCGGATAGGGATAGTGTATGCAGTGGTCAGTAGAAGAATATTCAGGACCCTGTCTACTGAACGCTTGAAAGATAATGATCATAAAATATAGGCAATCAGAAAAATGTTGAACCACGTAGAAAAGTAGGTAACATGAAGCAAATTGTTTAAAGAAAGACAAAAATTTCAAATAAAAATTCCATGTTGACCGCCACATTTCGACTAGTTACATTTGTACAATTCCTAGTACAACTCTGTCATGATATTGGTTTGTTATCCACAGCCGAGACGGTCACTTTACAAGATGCGTAATCTCAGCCATTCTTGACAATCTAACGCTTCGAGCCAGCTCTCAGGCTACTTAAAATGATAACACATAACATCAGCAGGTTAGGACACACAGAGGTAGGACACACTTGGACTCCATGTGGTTAATAGTACCCCACCTCAAAAAGTACCAATGAGCCCCTGTTTCTGTGACTTACTTGAAAATGGCAATGAGGAGATTGAGCAGTAGAATATTGGCGACCAACAGATACAGCGCCATAATAACAGTGACGAGCGTTCCACCAAATTCATCAAAACGAGGTGTGTTGAACGCTGTGCTGTTTTGACCCTCTACAAAAACAAAAACAAAAACAAAAAGGAAATACAATGAAAAGCAACACACGACGACCGCCTTAATTACCAGTAGCTGATGAAATCTGTTGAAAGATGACGGGGCAAGTATGTAGACCAGCTTTCCAGAAAAGTACACAAACTTGTACACTAATAGGTACGAAACAAATCTTTTCAAAGCCTGTCAACCGGCACTGAACACTCACGTTGAAGACGGAACCAATTGTTTTTTAGTTCAGGGCTACTCTCACCTCGATGATCGGCAATAAACATCAAAGGACTTCCCACAATTGTGGTATTACAGAGATGGCAAACAAATAACTCTCAAAAATTGGGTTTACAATCGCTGCATAGTAATAAGCGTTTTTGCCTTGCTCTCAAGGTATGGCTTCGTAACTCAGCTGGTAGTAGCACCCATCTAGTATATAGGGGCATGGGTTTGAATCCCATCAAGTCAATGTTTTTCAGGCCTTTTTTTTTTTTGCAATTCATAAAATCGCACTCCACCTGCGAGGATCATTCCCTTGCTTGGTTTTTCATCTGACATCTATTTTTCTTCTGCGTCCTTTGTTTTAATAGGAAATACAAACAAAGGTAACATACCATGGCTGGCATCTTCGATGAACAGTTCGCCATAGACTTGGAAGTAAGGTCTGAAGAAGACTTTGGGAATGAGGTTCCAAGAACCTGATTCGTAGGGAAACAAGATGGCTTGTTGCGCCACACCATACGCCATCAGGAACACCACCATGATAAGCAGAAAATACGTCATGTCGATTGTCTGAACAAAAACAAAACCATTGGTTTAGTCAAGTTATAGTCAGCCCGCCATTATGGGGAACTAACACTGGCAAGTTACTTCAGATGTCATTCCAAATGGTGAGAAGTTGTTTTTTCTTTTCATCCGTGGTTTAAGTAATTTCAGTATTACTGAGAGCGCCCTTATTCTTCCTATCAGTGTTGGAAAATGATGAAAATACTGTGCAAGGCAGAGATTGTTTCCATCATAGGTTCTAAGTTCTCGTATTCACATAATAGTGATGTGCTTCTCGGTAGCTCTGAATCTCACTCTTCCTCCAAGCTTGTCAATACCCAATATATTTATTCATTTGTTATTCCACCATGCCATATTTGATTTGTACTATATGCTTGTAATTATTACAATGGCTTACCTGTAGACTTGCTAAAATTACCAAGTACACCCCACAATAAGTAATTTACTTTTTTAATATCCTAAAACAATTTTTTTATTTTCCTTTTTTCAATACAGCCTGAGAGCCACACATGTACCATTGAGTTATGCGTACCATTCGACCAATCATGACGACGTACGGTCCCAGCACTTTGCTAAACGAGAAAATGTCGAGAACCCGGATGATCCACAACATGATATCGAGGCAGTAAAGAATGTGACCTATTTTGAGAGTTTCTGGGTTCAAGCGAAAACCAGCAGCAACAAAGAATAACAGAATGGCACAACCGTCACACAAATTCCATTTGCAGGAACCCCATTCTTTAAATTTCTTGAGTAGACTCTTAGACTCCGAATGAAGCACCTGTTGATGATTAAAGGAAAGAAAGATGTGAGTAAATCACCCTTTAAGAACGGTGTCAAATTGGCTGCTTGCCCGCTTTTTGAAATGTTAGGAAAAATCTTCGATATAATTTAGCGTCAACAGTTATAAGGGATTGCTTTGGTTTAACATTGCAACGTCCTCCAGTGAAAGATGAACCTTCTAAAATCTGCCGCGCTCTCAATGCGTGGCTTCGTAGCCCAAATGTGTTCAGGACTCTTTTCTGCAATTGTTTAAATTGTAGTTCACCATCTGGGATCATTTCTTTGTTTGATAAATTAACTAAGAGTGATAAATTACCCAAGCCCAATATGGCTGGTCTAAAGAAAATTTTCTAGGAAAAGAAAAGTTTTTGTAGATCTATGAGTGCTATAATATAAACCTAAAAAACGATCACGCGAGGAACTTTCAAAAGAGGCGGAACACCGAACAATGCAAACATGTCAAACGTTGGATGTAATGGGGAAAATAAATGAAAAAGGTTACATTCGTACAAACCTGTCTAACTTCCTCTGTAAACAATGTAAATACAAATATGATGAGGATGATTTCTTGGGGAGGGGGGGTCACAGGAAGACGAACTAAAATAACGTAACAGAACAAAATCAGGAACATGAAGTAGACAATCTGCAACAAGAAAATAACGCGTGCAATTAGCGTACATGAAGATATACAGTCGCCTCCTTCCCTCCCCCATTAAAAAAGTACTAGTCAGTCAAGATAACTTGGTTTGATCAACTGAGCCGATGAAGTAAATTGGCCACCGCTAAGAGAACATTCGCTCTGACGAAGGGCTAACGCTTTAAACGTAAGCTTCAGAATCTCTTTACAGTGGCCAATTTACATTATCATGTCTCTTGATAAAACCAAATTATCTCGTAATCCCCCCTACCGACGCAGCACCACAGTTTCTTAAGAACCGGTCCTTACCCTACCCCCTTCAAACGTAAATTGATTAATTAAGTCAACCTAAGAATCGTTTTCAGAGACGAAGGAGAGAGAGTTTTGACCTTCACAACCCTCGTCTGAGCTTGTTATGCAACAAACCGTACACGATGTATGATGCATCCAAACAACAACCCCGAAGACAAAGAGGGAAGGCAATGCGTAAGAAAAGCTCCGACCTCTTGTCGGCCACCATGTTGTCCTCCCGAGAAAAGCAAACTATATAACCCGGTGGTACAGGATCAAAGCTTAATTATTCTACCTCTTATTGTTTGGCAAATTTCAAAAGTAACCTACGCACCACATTTCCCCAAAATTTGGTGATGGGCGCCCGATAAAAATCGAACAGCTTCCGTCCTAAACTGGGATCTACCATGGGACTCTCAGACGCATCCATCCATCGCTTTTTCACACTCAGAGAGTCCGTGCTTTCTGTACGGCTGGAGGGCGAGAATGATCTATTTAACGGGAATTACAAGAATTGTCCATGTAAGTTTGATGAGCAGTGCCCTTTTATTTCTGTGTAAAAAGGAAGTTATCTCAAGTTTAAGTTTAAAAGGAAGTTATCTCAATTACAATTAATTTGCCCACATGTATCGAACTTACTGCAAACACTTGTATGGTCATTAGATTCTCAAGGTAAACGAAAGATAACAATGAATGAAAATAGTAACGCCTCTGAAACATTTTTCCTTTTTTTTTTTTTTTAACGCAAGAATTGTGTGAATCAGGAATTCAAAAGAAATAAAAAAACCCATATGTGAATAACATATTAACGGTGGGTTAAGTTACCAGCGCATGAAACAAAGTGACACTGGAAACCATGCGACACAATGTCAATACTCGGAAAAAAAACTTGCTCGCTACCAGCTAAATAGACACCTTAGCGGCAAACAAATTACGAAAAAGACTAAAAGATGTTAATAATTCAAACGCCATGCGGGAATCACTATTATAACAAACCCAGCAAGCAGACAATAAAGTGGAAGAACATTTTCACAGCCGACTGAATTACAAAATGATTCCTATTCGAAGTGTTTTGTACTTCATTGTCGCGGCTGTTTTTGTCCTCGCGGCTACCAACGCTAAGGAAGTTTCGGTAGTGTGGTCTAGAGAGGGCGAATACTTTGCTAATGGAAACAAAGCGCTGATTCTTAATGCGGGGGATAAGCTTGCAATCATCTGCCCCAACAGTGATGTCTCGAATGGACGAATGCCTCACAATATTATGTTCGAGAATGTGTGGCGAGTTGGCTCAACAGGATATAATCTCTGTGACGCGTCAGTAGACGGCAAGCTTCTGCTCAAATGCAAAGATCCTGAGCAAATCAAGAAGGTTGTTTTAGACGAGCTCTATGCGCAACTCGGAAGAACATATTATCTAATTTCGACCTCAAATGGACTTTTGTCTTCCCTTGACAACAAAAAAGGAGGGCATTGTGAGACGCAAAATTTGAAATTGACTGTGTACGTTCAGTGAATTATTGTCGGATGAAAGTATACAAAGCTCAAGAGGAAGTAACCATGACTTTATTTAACATCCAAGTCATGATGAATAACGGATTTCTGTCAATCTTCTCTTTAACAGTATGCTAATGACGATCATGGGAACACAGAGAAAACTAGACAGCGAACTGCATGTAGAAAACATGGAAGCGTTTTTCCATTATTATCAAGATTTTCTTGTGTCTAGAACAGAAGATCGGGACCTGTTACTTCTGCAAACAAGCCGTAGTAAGGCGAGATTCATTCTCGATTAGAAATAAAACGGGACAAGTGACATCATCACAGATTTGCTGCCTCTAAATGAAAGTATTCTCATGTAGCACGTTAGTGTGATAAAATTCATTGAATTGACAAACTCAAAATATAGAATGATATTCATAATGATTTAATTTAACATGAAGAGACCACTTCCCCAATGGGGCTTTTCACGGCTAAAATAAACAAACTGAAACAAACATTGTCAATAAACATAGCGCTGAAAATCCCAACTTGCCACAGACAGACCAGTTGACTGTATATAAAGTGTAGCCAAGGATTTGAACGCAGGGTGGAGGACTTGAACCCGGGACCTCAGACTAGTGCTTTACCTATTACTTTTGACATTTAAGCGAAAATCGTTCCATTTCGTAATCCCCTATAAAGCTATTATCAGATATTACTGTGGATTTCAGAGACCCCAGGAAGGCACTATGATGACACTATTACCACCAAACAAGATGGCCTCCTTTTGTAAACAAAGAGACAAAGAAAGAAACGAAATTATTTAAGAGGAGAATTTCCATGACAGTGTTTACCTGAGATGCACTTGTGAATCTGTTTTGGAGAAGCGTGCTGCGGTGTCTCCGTTAGATTTTTCTTCATTCCCAGTCTCCTCTTCGCCTTTCTCGGTTTGCCCTTGTTCGTGTTCTTCGAATGTGATTGGCATTTGACACAGTTCTTTCTTACTTTTAAACTCTAAGAATGCAATTGTAGGTGGAATCAGGACGCCCAGAACGGTCTGCAAGTAAAAAAAACTGCACTTTCAACATATAAAGACTCAAAATCTACAAACTTGAACCACAGTGACCCATTTTCTCAAATATTCTTTACATAGCTAGTATAGCAAGATCCTACAATAAGCGCTCTCTTTGTGATTGGTCTAAGAAACTCGCGCCAACTTCTAGCGCCTCATGCAGTTTTTCCAATGAGGTCTCTTTTGTTCTTTGCAACATTTTCCTTGGTTCTGATTGACCTCTATGATTAGCTTAGTTTTAAGTGTACGAGACTTAATCTAAATACCCTTTGCCATCATCCTGTGGTTGCTTATCAAAATTAAAATTAAAAGAATAGAGCAATTTCAATTGAGTGTCGAAAGTAATCCGAGATTGCACTGGTTTTGCTTTACTTCGCTCTGGGATTGGGTCAGAATATTCGCACCACTTTCTCCACCAATCAGATGCAAAACTAAAACCAATCACGACTAGGTGGTTCGCGTTTTCCCGCGCTTTATGCAATTTGGTTGTTTTTATGTTGAGTTCTAACAGGCTCTGAAAGGTATTTTCCAGTTTCTTCTTATCGGCTGTTATAATTTCTTTGGTTTTACGACGTTAAGTGGAAAAGCATTCTTCAACAAGTTTTTTTGGACTATATTTATTTAATTGGCAATTCCATTCGCCCTTGTATACAGGGATTAGACCTATTTGGGTTAGGATAGCTCGTTGTCCTTCTATCATCTCAAAGTTAACTTATATACATGCAATGATATTTTATGATAAGTATGGCTTTGGTTAAACAGTTAGAGAACCTTGCTAATAACACTGGCTTTATCGCAGTCATAAAAGAAGGATGGTACCGTATAACAACTTCTACCTTGACTGAACACCATTCGCTCATTTTCATGGCTCCCATCCAGATCTCAGTTAGCAGGGTTTGACAACATGGGTGAGCAACGAACTCCTCGTGTCCTGTAGCAACAGCAAGTGACAGACAGCACTGGTCTCCCCAGTTGTCCAAGTTGTAAGTCAACAACTGCTGTGCCACGTCTTCATTTGAGCGATAACACTCATCAAGTAAACCCAAAGCAATACCCAGAAACTCACTAAAAAAAAGTATGATCAGCCATAAGATTATGAGCACAAGATATCTATCTATTCATCACTGAACAGTTACGAGTTTACCGTTTTCTCCTTCAAAATAATCACTAGACAGATGAAGTTTTTAAGGCCCGATTTACGATATCAGTAATAGGGGAACATCGCTAAGCACGAAAAATTACTAACTTTGGTTTTCATGTTCAAATCTCTCCAATCTAAGGACAAAAACACATGACTAAGAATATAACATTAAGTCTTTATTCATGTAGTCTATGTAAAGGAAAATATATTGATTTAAGTTCGAACTGGAAAAATTAGGTTTTGTTTAGTTTGGTCATAAGAACTCATTCAAAATAGTCCATGGGTGTTTCAGTCTCTCTCAAAGTCATAGTAAAGCATTATCATTGATGGTTTACTTAAAAAGCATGTACACATACCGTGAATGAGTTTCGAGTTCCTCTGTTATATCTGCCTTCAATTCCTCTTTTGCCATCTCCTCTGCGAGAGCCTTAAATAATTTGCCTGCCACAAGGGCCTTGGCAAGGTTCTCATCACCTCTTTCCCACAAAAATAGTGCCATTTTGTGGAGATTAGAGAGTACTGCCCATATTAAGAGCTCGTTGTACGGTAACTTGAACCCTGCGCCAAAGTAGCTTTCGTCTGCGGTTGACATAAACATTTTCATATTCGCCATTCCTATACCCTGGAAAATAAGACAATTTTGAGTATTAGTTCAAGGCCTGGGAAAAATAACCCAAGAGTTTGTCCAATGTCAAGCGTCAGTGATAAAGGTGTGTGTAAGCTGACGGAAATTTACTGAAGTCGTCTACTTCCCAACTCATGATGAGTACGAAGTTTATCTGATCAAGGGCCAGACACATATACACCAAGGCGCTTGACTTTACGAGGGCCACTGGAAGCTGATTGCCATAAGCGTGCTGGCCTCGAGATCCGTTTTAACCGAACGTACTTCAACTTCAAAGGTTTGTAGGCATACTTGTTGAATGTACACAATGAAATCAATTTAGGGTTTTCTCGACTTCGAAGAAGTCTTTACCAAAAAAGAAATCCGCGTTTTGAGGATCGATGCGACGAACCTGATTGAAATTCTATAATTTGCAGTTTAAATACGTCTACCTTCTTGATCGATCCATATTCTTTGTGATGGTGAACAAAGCTGATTCCCAACAGCCGTTCAGTGACACTTGCTAAGTCTCCCAGTTTGAAGGATTTAAGAGCCTGCAGTACAGTAAAGATCAGTATAATCGTGAATTGCAAAACTCATCAGAGATTTCATGAGAATGTTTAGCCACAAAAACGTGAAGAAATTTTAAAGCACCCTGTGATACCTTTTTCCCTCCAAAGAGTCGATAAAGTGTGAAGCTCTTTGTTGCCCTCTGTTGAATAAAAAAAGATGGATCCCCGATCAAATCAAGGCATTCGATAATCAGCCAAAAACAACTTATGTCTCATGATGTGGAAATTCAACAAATATAATAAAAGAGTGCAAGAAATTAACGTACAACTCTGTAAAGTTCCTCCAGACGGCGAGCAGTGAGGAACGACGACATACTAACACCATTCTCCAAGAGAAGATCAACGAAGTCAACACGGTCCTTCACCAAAGCCTCAAACATGGCGCTCTCCAATACCGAAATCTGACGGAATGCAGAAAAACAAATTGTCACCGATGAGGAATTTTTAACTGTAGCCACAAAAACTTTGGCAATCATAGCCATAACAAAGATCCTAAGTTAGAATGGAGAGCTCGTTGGCGATGTTAATTTTGTAAATTCACCACAAGATTCTTCAATAAAATTACTAAATAGCTGTAAAGATAACTCTTGCAAGAACACTGGAAAACTGAGGGAGTTGTCCTAACGTAAACAAACTAAGGTTTACCAACGAGCTCATGGGAATCAGGCGGGTGAGGATGAGGTGAGAGAGTATCGTTTAAAGCGTTTAAAGTCCCTAATGGTTTCAACAGGATGCACAAGAGATTTTCTTCAAACCTCCCATTTACGATCCTCCTTGAAGATTTCGCACTTAGCGATGTCAGCTCTGTTCCATATAAGAGCCAGACTCAGCTGGTGGGACGGCGAAGCACTGTGACCTTGAAAGTGAATGTAATGGATTAGACTTGCCAAGATCATCTCTAGAGGAAGCTTTTATTCACAGCTAAACAATCAAAAGATGCAAGTAGTCTATCGCAGTGGCGGTGAAATCATAATTCGGTTGAGGCAACCACGAATTAACTTATGAAATCTAAATTAGAAACAACTCTAATTGTGGGTAGACGAATCAAATATATGTCAGCCCTCGTAAGTCAGATTCACCGTAAACATTCAACTATTTTCTTCAGTTGACCATCTCCGAGAGAATTTCCCACTAGATGATAATATATTCATTAGGTGGCTAGTCCTGAGATTCTTGCTTTATATCCAAACGAAGGCCCCTTAAAATGGATGATTTCCTGATTCTCATTGCATTTTTTTTCACAGTTCAATCAAAAAGAGGAAAATAGGCATGGATCTACCTATGACGAATTACCGTTTAAAAGTGCTCTCAAAATTGCTCGGTCAATATCCATCCCATCTTCGTTCACACTGAAAATTGTGATCTAAAAAAGATCGTTAGTAGATGAAAATGAGGTAATCGGGGGATCAGGAACTGATTTGATGCCAGTAAGAAGACCACAGCAACTACAGACGGTGGAATGTCAGGCCGGCTCTCAGCTACACGTTAGGATTCTGGTCGCGATTTTACTTTTCACCTTTGAGGCTCAGCGATCTGATGTCAAAATCTAAAACTTCTCAGAAACCTGAACTATAGTCTTTGGTATTCTCACTTAGTTATGACCTCTGCACATAACAGGTAGGGGAATGGGGCCAATGGGGAAAAAGAACTGGATAAGAAAAATTAAGCAAAAACGGACATACGTATCTCTTGTTTCCTACACATCTCAGGACATTTTCGTAGATCTTCAGACATTCTTCCTCGTCACATTCAGGGAAAGCTTTTTCTATTTTGACAAACAGTTGATGATGTTCCACAACATCCACCATTTCCTGAAGGTCTCCATCACTGTGAAAAAAAGTCAAGACTGCTAACTTTATACTGCATTTACTTGATAGAAGAGCAGATTAAAGAGGGGAAAAGACATATAGTCGCTAACAGCAACATTTCAAGCGTGTTTCACTCTTCCACTAATAAAATTTATTCGTGTAAGTGTTCTCCCATATTTTTCCCTCTAGCAAACGTTTCACCAAATGTCACTTGTTGGTTAGAGGGAAGCATATCCACCTTTTTCTTATCACCCCACGAGTCTCCTTAAAAAACTCTCCCAACACCTTGAGTAAAACGACGTCACTTTTGTGAATATTATGTCTTCCCCTATATAATTGAAAGTCAAGTTCGTGTGTCCTTAATTGACAATGTCTAATCCCTGCTCCACGATAGTCCTATAAAACTGAATACAGTATTACTATAGAGAAATCAATCGAGAGTCGAGAGCTATCCATATTACTGGTTTGCTGAACTTTACTCTTTGATTAGTCAGATGCGAGCTAAACCCGATTGCAACTTGTTCACCAGTAACTTTTTCCGCGATTGAGCCAAATTATCGAATTAAAGCTCCATACTTTATCCGTCTCTGTTCTGACTAGAGTTCGATTACTTAATTTGGTGCTGGCTCTACAGCTCTCAGTGGGAAACCGTTCTCTATGTTGTTTATTATTGGGTGACTTAAAAGGTAACATTCTTAACTTTGTTCACAAACGGCTGCGTTCGTTTGTTCAGTGCAGCCCATAGTAAACCTAAACATTCACTCACCAGCTACTCTGAGAAATGAAGCGATGAGCATACGCTAAGATGTCTGCCGCCCTGCCACTTCCTTCGGCAACAACCACTGGTACAGCAGGACTCCTTCCAACAGATTCTAAGACTGTGCGAATGGTGTTGGGGCCTCCCTCTAGAACGAGCAGTACCACAGGTACACCATGCGTTCGCTCTATGAACAGAAAAAAACATTCCAGAAATAAGTTTGTCTGGAACTATTGACAGGAATAACGCTTGTTAACTCTTAGATCCCTAAGAATGATTAGCATCTAATTTCTCTTTACAATATTACCTCTGAATCACACATTAAAAGAATACAGGAAACGATCACCAGCAAAAGAAGCTCCTGATTGTTGAACAATTTCCCTTTTTGAGCATCTCAGGAAATGTATAGAGAACGATATGGAGAATATCCGCTCTGATGTTAGGGTGTAAAGGGTTAAGGATTTCTATTATACGGGCGTCGTTAATGTATTCTGCCTTCAAATTTTTTTTTCGTTTTATTTTTCGACGATCAAATGAGATACAAAGTCTTCTCCAGCCCATTTTCACCATTTGTTAGGTTTTTTTTAGCGATAAAAAAAACAAACAAAAATATAAGGCTCCGGGATCAGAGTCTAGTGCAAGCGAAGAAGAATAAATTGTATTTACAACAGCTGAAAAACACTATGTAATTAAAGTCCCCTCGCTTTGCATGCTACTGTAGCTTAAGATCAATATTTGTTATAGATCTCTGTTCACTTAGGAGTAAACTTGATAAGCAATGTGCCTTCACAAATCTGAATCTTAACCATCTCGTCGCTTAAGCAATGGGGACCTCGAGTAAAAAAGAGAGAAGACGGCAGCGAGAACGCTGAGAAACAAAAAGTTTCATGAGCAGGACAATAGCTCTGAACGCACACTAAAAAAACCTAATTAATTTCCTAACTGTCCCAAACAAAACAAAGAGAGATCACCAAATTTCGAGTGGTCTGGGAACGAGAATACCCGACGGAAAATTAATCACTCTTGTGTTTGGGATTCAATGTTGCCTCTCTTCATTATGCATGAGATGAGATCTAGTGCTGTGAGAAAAAGGTAAACAGAAAGATAAATTCCCAAAATTTAAAGACAATTTTAAGTACAATTTTTAACTCGACGTTTTTCATAAGCGTAACAGTCGTGACTGCCTAAGATCCCGAATCTATCATGGAACGTCCCACATATACAATAGAATTGGGGCAAGGATTGACGATGACCAAAATACTTAAGAACAGCAAAATGACAATAATCCGTTTTTTACCACACGATTTCTCCATCTGTTTTCGTGAGATACAGTTCTCAAGACTTGCGCGAAAAGAAATCTCTCCTCCAAATTTATTGATCGTGCCATCATCAACTAAAATAAAATGTGTGTGGTTGTTATCCAGGCATGCGCCTTGTGACATCTTACTGGATGTCATCTGATAAGACACCACATCCTGAAAAAAAAAAAGTTTCAAGATCGTTGAATAATGAGCAGAGCTTCTATTGATTGAAATCATATGATTCAAGGAGATGACTAATAGAAAGTTCATCTGTAATAAGCAGAGGACCAAGAGGAAATCTGAGAACTCACCCTGACAACTCTTTCGACATCGCTAATCGTAATACACATGAAATTAACCTACTCTCGTTTAAAATGAATTAAATTTTTTTTGAAAACTTTAAAAAGTTATCATTTCCTACTCTCCCGCCAAATTGTCATTATTATTATTACTACTATTATTATTATAACTATTATTCCTAGAGCTCTGATAGTTTTTTATTAACGTTTTATAGCATTTGTAGTACGGTTAGCGATACACTGGGGATGAAGGAAAGTCGATGAAAAGTTCCCACGAAAGGGGCTTAATTGGATTTGGATCAATGTCAGTAACGGAGCAACTTTGCTCCTAACCCTCTCCTAACCCAACAATAACCCTTGCTTGTCGTCAGTTGACTTTTGCTGGGTTAGGGGAAGGGTAGGTGCGCAGTTGCCCAGATAGTGACATTGATCCAAAGATTTTCGAATATTGCTTCGCTGAATTGTTAGCTAAGAATCCACCTGATTACCGACGAGAATTTTTCTGTGATCCACAATTCCCCAGGTCGCTATGCCAATCAAATGAACTTGCTGGGTATTGTCCTTCAGTTGGGCACCACGTGACATAACTGTGTTACCTCGCACAGCCTCCCCAACGTGACGCATCACACCTGTGTTCGTGCCACCAGTCATAATCCAGGCTCCTGTGGTTTGCGCGGCCTGTGAAGACAAGGCAAAAATACCAACTGAAATGAAAGTAAAACACTGGAAAACACCTAGGTGTTATATTTTTTCTCGGCATGCTCGGTCTCGTCACTACTAAAACATGCCGCGATTCATTTATAGTTTTTCCCTCCCTGCTATCAGTTTCACTGAAAGGTTTGCATGTTTAACCAAAGCAACAAAGAAAACTCAGACGAATTGAGTCGCTGTTCTGCGGGTCGACTCCAAAAGTTCTCTGTTTCAAACACAGATGGCAGAGTAGAAATTGAGAGTTTTTAGGGGTCTTTTTCGTTTGCTACAGATACAGAATATATCAAAACATCTCTTGTGTAAACGAATCAGTTCTCAATGTACCTTAAGAAGGCCTTGTCGCAGCACTTGCTTCAGTCTCGGATGAAGCACAAAATTCTTTGCGCCCCCAGTCACTGAGATAAGAAGCTTGGGAAGCTCCAGCTTCCATTCCTTACAGAGAAGGCGCAGAGCCATTTCAGGATCTGTGTCCTGAGATACACGGATATACTGGTCAAAGAAAAGACAAAAGAAAAGAGAATGTTGTAAATTAGTAGGCAGGACGCTCGTTAGTTATGTACCTAATATATGCGCCTAGTTCGTGAATGATAACCGTGTGGCTTATCCTGCCCGGCAGTCTTTTTTCCGCTTTCTTTAACCAAATCAGAATGATCACATGCTTACTAGGAGAGCAAATCACGCAAAATCATGAAGGGAGAAAAACACGGCTCCTTCTTAGTTCATGCTGCCCGCTGCTCGCGCTGCTGCCCTTTGTCTGATGCCAACTGCCCGCCCATGGCCGTAAGTAGGTTGTTTGCAGCTCAGTTGATAGCACATCCAGCTGCGACATCGTAACTAGCTTAGAGTTCAGATCTTCCCGAGGAAATCAAAGTTTTTCTTTGTATCAATTTTCCTTTTCCATATTGTCCTTTAAAAGGCATTCTAAAATAGTAAGATTGGAGTGAGAATGAAGCTTTCAACCACTGTTAAAATTAAAATTTTTTTTTGAAATTGCAGGATATCGCTGCTCAACGGCATCACCAGGGTCGTAACGAATGATTAACATCTTCATCTATTTTTAGGAAAAAAGAAAGTACCAGTATAAAAATGTCCCTCACTGGCGGGCTGCAATTATAGAAATTCCTAAAAAGAAACCCGTAAATACTTAGGCCTCGAAGTGATTCAAATCGTGCGATTTCTTTAATCGCAGCTCCCGCGAAAAATAATCAATTTACTTGAAAGTAATCCGCAGGTCGAAATAGGATTTATTTTATTTAATCGTGAAAGAAAAGACAACGTTTGTAAGATCAACTGTTTCCTTACCTTGGCTCGGCTGACTTGTCCGGCTCCTTGAAATTCTAGTTCTCCATAGGCATTGGTTGGTTTGGTGATAGTATGTTTAGATACCTGCCATTTGTCTCCTGCTTTACCAGTCGACAGCAATGCTTCACCGTTATGGTGCTGCTTCAAGCGCCCACAACAGCATCTGGATGAGAAACCGAAGAAAACGAGTGAGATCAATAGAGGACAGCGGCAGCTAGCCTAATGCATGGTAAGCGCGCTGGACGTTATAAAAGTTACCGAATTCTGCAATAGATTACCGATTGTAAAATAACTTTGGACCTTTTGTAGCCGGTAAAACTCTTTATTTGGTGATTATTTCATCACCTCTCATTTGACTGAGAGGTGATGTTGCAAGGAGAAATTAGAAGCTGGTCACTGTTATGGGTCAAAGCGTGAAGGTCATGGGAATATGAGGCGGGGCATCAGGGCCTATTAGAAACCGCAGAACCGTAGAAAATTATCATTCAAAACCGAAAAACCCCCAAAAAATTCGATCAAAACCAAAATCCGCTTGCAAAACTGTCCAAACCGATACATTTTCAAATCCCAGTTATTAAAAGAAGCGTGAAACCCCTAAGGATCCCTACGATATTTCAATTGGTTTGTCACGTATTCCTCTCAATAATCAGTGGAGGCGCGTAATTGCCGATCAGATCGAAGAGAAACCGGAACCTAAATAGGACAAATAGGAAAATCCGAAAACCGCAACGGATATCAAATCCGAAAACCCGTTAGTATTTTTTGCGAGAGCCGAAAACCACATGCTGAAACACGATAAATCCGCAAACCGTAATAAACTCCAAAACCTAAAAACGGAAGTTTTTTAGCACAAAAACCGATCCAAAAAATAGCCAAAACCGCAAAACCGAAAATCCCAATGGCCCCCTTCAATAAGGAGAACGATCGCAAACTAAAGAAGCCAGTACTTAATATTGTCAAACAAATTCTCCTTGTCAACACCCCAGGAGAAGTACAGTAAACAGTATGCAGAATATGCGCAATGATGTTTAGGTGTAAAGGCTTGATTATATCTGCATGCGTGACACCTGAATACGCACGACTGTTCTCCTCTAGAGCGGTTTTCAGCGTTTGACTGTCACCATGCAAGTGAATTATTACAAAAGAATGCGTCATGGCGGGAGAAAGCGGAGTGCGCACAGACACAATAGGATTGAGTTCTCTAACCCCCTAAGCCTTAAAATCAATATGCAAGTTTTCCATACTGTTCTCTACACTAACAAAGAGCATTTAGCTACAAATTGAGAGCTTCTAGAGTTTTAGATAATTTCTTTTATTCTCTTGACCTTAATGTTTGATTTAGGGCTGATATTGTAGGGAGAAATGAGGTGCTTATCACTCTTTGGGGTCTCGTCTTCGACTTCCGTTGCTACAAGTCTTGTTGCTACAATGGATTTAAAATTCTGACCGATCTGATAATTTCTCAGTTATTATTTTTCTGTTGCATTTAACCTGTGCTTACCTATAATCATTTTGAGTGGACGGAATAAACCAATGGCAGGTTCTTTTCCTGAAAGTTCTGTAAATCCATGATGCTTTGGCTTCTGGTGTGTTTGACTACAAGACGTGGTAAGAAATATTAGTCGACTGGCCAGACACATACACAAATAACAATATCTTGTTTCAATAGAATATTAAAATGCACTTTCAACTTAAGCTTATTCGAGGAAATTGTCACTCGACGCGACTACCTCTGGAGGAAATTTTTAGACAGATTAATTTTGTTACCACCTGTTAAAATTATTCTTCTACATCCACCTACCGGCTTTCCGTCGATGTTTTCATTTTCGTCGTCCGAACTGATGAGGTTACTCCTGCTTGAATTAACCTCTTTCATCTTCGACGACGTCAAATGTCGTGATTACGGCTAACAATTAAAATTCACGAAAACGAAAAGTTAGAAGCCGTAAGGTGAGATGTTTTCATTGATTTCCCCAAACCACAAGTCACTCACTGCCAAGGATCTTTCATGGAAAGAACTGAATCGGAATTCTTGAATCACTCGGAATACGGAATATCGCACCAGGTGACAGCTTTGCATCACACTTAAGGAATCACTGACAACTGATCTAAAGTCATTAATTTGAAGTTTCCTACGACAGTTCCAGTTTCAAAATTAAATTATTCATTATGACATTCTTGCTCTTATCCGTCGCAAAGTTCACAGCACAGGTGGTGAAGTTCCTAAAGTAGGTTTACCTTTGGCTGATGTGTTTGTTTGCGGAACACTGTTGCATGACTCGAGAAGCACGTGCTTTTTTTACGTATTGACGTGTCAATTATTTATAACATGGCTATTGTGTGACACGGTCTGACACACTTGAAAGATCCCAAGATACTCTGATCATCGTTCAAAAGGCGAGCGACGTAAGAGCCTAAGAGCAACGGGGAATTTATCAAACGCAAACGCAACAGAATGGGAGCTAAAAAAAAAAAAACAAAGAAAACAATACAATGAGACGACTGTGAAGAGACCTGTCCGGGGAGGATTATACATTTTGTTTATTGACAAAGCCTTGAGGTCAGGATGGAAACGGTGGCCTAAACATTATTTGGAGTCAGACTAGAGACAAAATTGCCTTCGCTTCGTCTTTGTCAAACTACACGAAAGAATTTGTTTTGTTTCTAAGACTTAACACGGTAGTATTTGTGCGACTCCATGAACCGTGTGGCGTACGATTACCTCTGTGGAAGATTTGACCTTGTGTAAATCAAGGCTGCATCAAAATTATGAATATGAAAGGTAATCAAAGAAAATAATCCAATGAATACCATCACATGATCTAAAAGGAGACAAAAAAACATCTAGTCGAATGAGGTCTTCTGATTAAAAAAGTTGCCCGTTAACTTTTTTCGCTTTCCAAAAAGAAAAAAAAGAAGCATAGTCTAGAAGTCGCTAACAGTTGTCATCTAAGCAGCGAGAAAGCCGAAAATCCAAGGTGGGAAAGTTAGGCCTGTATTGCCCAGTAGAGTAGCCAATCAGACCATAGAATTCACTTCATCTTAACCACTCGAGGAATCTTCTTAATAATCTAATAAGCTATGCACTAAGGTCAAGCCAGGTCAGATCGATCATTAGGCCGAAGTTGAAGTCTTTTAGGCCAATACTTAGACAGGAATTAATGCATTCACTTCCCGGCTTATCAGTGCCAACATTTTATTTACAGTGTTGCTCTTCGTCTCGGCAGATTTTGCGAACAATTGTCACAAGAATGCTTTTATTTACCGAACAGTTGTGAATTAAAGTTCAGATTCTTAACAATTCTTCCTTGGAAAAAAGCCACATGCCCCACATCCTTTAATAGGCACCTTTTCTGGTCCTAAACATTCATTCTTACTTTTACATCTGCATATACGACGGCCATACCAAAAAACAACATCACTCTCAAAAGGCAGCGAGTCCTATCTTTCAAACCAGGGGTCACTTATACATTACACGCGCAGAAGTCCGCCGCAATTGTATTCTGGACTACCACGGCGTCCTTAGGTAAAGCATAAACAAAGATGCTTAATTGTGAACTGCCACTATATCGAGATGATCCGCAAAGTGGCTGGTACGAGGAGTTAGTCATGAGAGGCCTCTTCTCAGTCAATACATTCTCTATTCCTTACATCGCAGAGTTTTGTTTCTTAAGGTTTTGCACTTATTTTTCTTATCTTAGAGGGCAGTGCAAATGTGGTTGTTGTCCACTTTCTAAGTTTATGAACATTTTATATTACATGCCAAATAAATTGCAAGTTTTTTGATTAAGTTACACTGTCAGTCCAAACGTCATCTTGTTTGGACATCAAAAACAGTATGTTCACCGAAAAAGCCGTTAAAAACTCGGAGCTTCTCCGTCACTGATGACGATAAACATGATGTCTGACAGGTCTGTACTTGACGCCCATGCATCAATGAAAAACATGGGCCACTGTATCAAGTCCCACCAAGAAATGTTATTTATATTTTCCAGTTTTCGCCGGAGCGACGTTCTCTATATCTACTTCTCTCCATCTTCGCTATTGTCGCCGTCGTTCTCGCCTAACCCAGCAATTTCTTCTTCACTTCCGCCCAAGGCGCGCCAAAAAGCAATGGCCACCTGAAACCACAAAATAGAGAAATCAATAGCCAATATGCATAATCTACATACTGTTTTTTCTACATTTTCTAAGTTGATGACAAGGAGAATTAGTTCAACAATCAAGAGCTTCACTAAACACTGTAAGGGGTCAAAGTGTTAAGATATTTAGAAACAAGACTGTAGTGTATATTTACAAAAGACAAGACAGCAGATTGCAAAATTCGCAACTTACCTTCTCTGCGTAATCCTTTCTTTCGGTAGCTGGAAGAGACGATGCACGTTCTGTAAAGAAGATTTAAAATTGAAGTGGTTTACCAAGTCTGGTGGAACTTACTTTAATATTACAAAAGTTTTTAAATTTTCCTACCTTTCATGACCGCCAGTTTTTGAAATAATTCCTCAAAGGATTCATTGTCGTTTCCATCACTGGCGAGGCTGCTAAGCAATTCGAGATCATCAGTTGGCAGAGGGAAGACTGGAGAAATAGAAATTTTCATCTGAGTTACTTCACTGGCGTAAGGAATTAGACAAACCCTTTCATGCGGCACCAGTTTAGGGACAATCTCTTGAGAAATCTTTGGGACAAGGACATTTTCTTTAGTGACCATTTTTGGTTCATCGTATTTCTCGTAACGCTGTTGGCAATGATGAGCTTTGTTGTGTACGAAATCATGAGGTTTTAGGAACCTTTCCTTTCTTAACAGCGCTACATGTGCGTTTTAAGTCTTATTCATTTTCCAAGCTGTACTGTGCAAATCAACAACCGACATGAATCACCAAAGTTTGCATGGTATGAGAATGTAATCACCAACAGCATATCAGACAAGTATCTGTTTGGCGCACAACACTATCTTCACATGTTCCTCTAAACATGAATTCTTGCATAGTCACGGGAGGAAAACGCAATCTGTCATTCACAAAATTCTCAAGGAATATAAAGTATTACATAAAATTGTTTTTTCATTGACGTTTTCCGTGGCTTTGCCAGGCGTTTAGAATGCTACTTTTCGTAGCTCGATTGTATTCTTATCGGGAGCTTTCATTTTAATGTACTGGGATCAGTAAGTACACAAGCAAACTTTTTTTGCAAACCTGGTGGCCGCTCGGCTGCTGCAGCTTGGTTGCTGCTTAGTTTTTCGTCATCGCTGAGCACAGCCTTCGCTTGTTGCGTTCCTTCGGAACCTTTATGACTCCGTGGATTCTCTACAGAAAATTAAAGAAAAAAAAATTGAAAAGTTTGCCTTCTTGATGAGCGGGCAAGTGAGTTCTTCTAAAAGATTTGCTTCTGAATGTAAATCGTGTTGCGCAGTGGGTCCACATTACATATTGATCAGTACAACTTAAATCGAATTACACTTACTTCTGATTTCTTTTTGTTGCAATCATCTAAATTTGGATGGGTGACAAAGGAGACAACCATTTCCGCTGCCCAAGCTTATGATGGGCTTTAATTAGCCACTGATACTAATTTATTTTTGGTATGTGAAAAGTAAAAAGTACAGTGTATGTACATTCCCGCAGCCTATGCATATGATGGTCTTTAATCAGCTAGAAGAACAAGAACCTTTTGTGAGGACAGTCCTTTGTGGTATGGCAAAGTTAGTCCTGCGGCCGGGAAATTAATAGTCCTTTATCCTCCAGCGGGGCCTTATGCTGAAACAGTCCCCGACGCCGGGTATCGCTGGTTTTACTGATGCTTTGTCGAAAGTTGACTGCCTTATCATGTAATGAAGAACACCGCAGTTGCTAGCTCATGAAAGACCATCATGTGCATAGGCTGTGGGAATGGTTCCACACACACTGTACTGTTTACTTTTCACTTACCAAAAAAAAAATTAGTAACAGTGGCTAATTAAAGACCATCATCTGCTTAGGCAGCGGGAATGGTTGTCTCCTTTGTCACCCATCAAAAATGAATCGGTATCAGTAGCTGGTTAAAGACCATCACAGTGTTCGACACACATGCTGGAATTGTGCTTCACACTGTTCTGTTTCCTTTGTCGCTCATGGTAAAGTAAAATTAGTGTCAACATGACTAAGCTTAATGTAAGTGAACAAGCAAACGTTCCAAAATACTCTAGAACTTTACAGGTAACGCTTTCCTAGAAATTAAATCATTTTAACTTGAATGAACTATCCAAACACTTTAAAAGTTATCACCTAGTGCTTTGATAAGAACATGTTTCAAAAAAGTGTTTAATATATAACTAGCTGCCTTTTAGAAAAGGATGTTAAACTAAAAAATAAATTTTATGCAACCTCTGCACATCGGGCTTGGGAAAGACCTTAGGTTGATTTTTTTTATCATATGTTTTGATCTGGGTTCTGTATAAGCTTAGTAGTACAAACTGGAGATGCAGTGTTCTACACAGATTTTGAAGAAGTCAGCAAAAAATGTAAAGTAGCCAACGCTTGCAATCGAGCGTCCGACTAGGGGGGGTCCAGGGGCATGCATCACTGGGAACTGGCTGGGCTTCAACCTGGACATGATGATCAAGTTCAGATACTGCAGATATTCACTGTTGTCCTGTGCTTCAGGGGCCTGAAGGTCACTTGCAAAATCGACTTGAATACCAATGTCAATCTTTGCAGCTGGATGGTACAGACTGCCTTCATGATCTGATCCTTCAATCCTTGGCAGCTTCTTGAGTGATGTGAGATTTCTGAAGTTTGTCTTTCTCCAGACTTTGGTTACTTCTGTCAGCATTACCTTGCATTCTTCAGACTGGTGTGAAGGACCACTGAGTGAGATGCGTTAGAAACTGGCCATCGTGTCATTCTTGAGGCGACTTCTCAAAATTTACAAAATTGAAGTCTTTTTTTTAAATTATTTTTTATGCCTATTTATTTCATTCCAAGATAACTATGCAGAAACAGATGCGAAGAAACTGGGTCCGAATTTCAAAATAGCTCCTTTAGCAACTAGCAGTGAAATGCGACCTTATGAAATCTACCTTCTCTTTATGAGAATGTTAGCTTCTGAAAGCTATTAGAGTCGTCATAGACTTGAGAATCACCCCGGGATGAAGCTATCTTGAACAAACCAGCAAATATAACATCGCGCGATTGAACGGCTGATCGGTCGGCAAGCCCACGGTAATGAATGTAAATATAAAATTACCGATTTCTATGCGTTCTTTCGAAACAAAGAAGCTTGTTATTCTTCCTCTTGCCCTCTTTCCATCGTTTTGATTTTGCACTGATTTTTGCTTTGACATTTCTGATTGCAGAGAACTTTCTCGCTGGGTACGCCAAGTTGTTCGCTCCACGTACTCTCGCAAGATGGAATTTACGAAATACGCGTACAGAATCGGAACAGAATCGCGGCAAAAGTTGTAGTCTATGTAACAATAGATACTAGTTCGTAGTAGCCTCGTTTAAGTGTTTAAACTAAACGGACGGATGTTTGTAATAACAAGCCAGTTGATGTAACACTTGACGGCAGATATCAAAACGATTCCTTCTCAACTAAACAGGCCGTCGCCAACAGCTTTAAATCTGTTACGAACTTTTCTTGTGATTCACCTGGGTTACACGGCCAGTAAGTACCCAGTGGTCGAGTGGATGCAACCAATGGGCATGCGATGGCATCTCGACAACCGGAGCCACTTGTTCAGCCTAGTGGGTTACCTTGCAAGGCCCAACAACGCGATAAGGCAGAGTTGTTAAGAAGCCAGCTTATTTAAGGGATTATGTTACTGGGATGTAACCAGCGTCGAAGCTTTCTACGCTCCAGAAACTTTGAACAGTTGAACTCACTTACGTTGTTTGTTCGTTTTTTTTTCTTTTGTCTATCTTGTTTGTCTGTGTTTAATTTGTTTTTTTTTTGTTTTGTTGTTTTTTTAATAAGGAAATTTTCCTTATTAAAAGGAAAATAGTAGTAGCCTCGTTTGAGTGTTTAAACTAATAGGACGGAAGTTTGCAATAACAAGCCAGTTGATGTAACACTTGATGGCAGATATTAAAACGATTCCTTCTCAACTAAACAGTCTACAATTGACAGCTTTCGGCCAATGCACTTTTAACAATGCTACATCTCTGTCTTTGAGTAACTACAAGAACATTTTACGTTCTTATCTGTCTATAACACTACATAGATATTTATCGTTTCGTTCAGAAATAATAACATGTTCGCTTACTGTTTTCTAAGCGCAAATTCAAGCTACGCTCGAAAGTGTCTTACATAAGAAAAGAGAATCATTTTCTGTTGTTTTGTCTGACAAAAGTAGCCGGCGAAAACGCCGGCCGCCGGCGCTTCCGGACAACACTGGGAGATGTGTCCAGTTTCCTTTGACGTGTGCCACCTGATGTGATCATTCATATCGACCAGGGATTTTACATCTATTAGGTACAAGGTCTTATAAAAACACAAATCTATGTTTGTATTTTAGCTTTTTTTGACACCCATTGTGAATGATTTGTATTTTTCAGTCATCATGGCTAATGATTTTAAAATTATTGTCTTTGTAGATTTATGCAGTGAAGCAGATTATCTTTAATATGATTCTGTTGTGGAATAAATTAACTTTAACTTCCACAGTTTCATCAATTAAATGTTGACTAAATGGGCAGGATTGGAGGCTAGGTATTGTGTCCAGGCTTAAATATGGTAAATTCAATTGCAAGGTAATAATTTGCTGAATTCTAGTTTTTATAATTAATAAAATGGAAAAACAGAATGGTCCAGGAGTCATTTAACCCTCTACAACCTAACATCAGTATCCACATCCTCCATACTCCTCTCTGTACATTCCCTTTGGTATTGATCAGGATAATTTGTTTAAAATTAAACTTATTTGGTTGGTGATCATTTCCTTTATTCTTGTGGTCTTAGTAAATGATTCAGCAGTATTGTAAGGGGAACTTACATGCTGATCACTATCAGCATTTAAAGGGTTAAACGCTATAGTAATTTAGAACTGCTGAGAACATCTTAGTTTTTGCACATAAATTGTAGAGCACTTTTATTAGCTACTATGGAGTCTAGCTTTGACTACGGTTTAAATTTTCCTAAGTGTATAATTGTGAAAAAAAGACCACAATTCTTCATACCAACAAAGATGTCAGATTTTCAAAGAGATATACAATGTAAATATGCTGACTTCCTGACTTTCCCCTGATATTGAAGAATTCTCTTTTTCTCTGAATATTTGTGGTGGCAACCATGAAGGACTGAATCAATTATTTACAAAATATAAGACTATCACATGTTCTTAAAGATACCACAGTACTCTACCTCGCATTTTCATGTTTGGCCATTCTGCACATTGAAGAGCCTCAACAACTCTATCAATCCCAGTCTTCTCTTGAAAGTCATCTACAGTCAATCAATATAATTGTTAGTTTCTCTAGCATGAAGGTCATATTATAAAATGTACTCAAAATATTTGTAACTCAAATCAAAATGCCAAAATGCCAAACTGTTTCTTTTTTCAAAAAGAAAAAAGATTGCACCTCGGCCATCCAATTGTCAATTTTGTGCTGTGTGGTGGGGGGAGTGGGGGGAGAGGGGTATTACAAGATAATTTGGTGTTTATCAACTGAGCTAATGATGTAAATTGGCCATGGTGGAGATTTCTTACACTGATGTTTTAGGCATTGGTCCTTCATTACAGCAAACGATGAAGAACTAATGCTTGAAACAGCAGCTTAATACAAACTCGTTCCTTTGGCCAAATTACATTATCAACATGGTGATGAAACCGAATTACCTTTAAAAAATATCTGGCTTATTATGGAAAAGATACATTCACATTACCTTCTTCTTCTTCGGTTTCTTCTTCTTCAGAATTCATTTCAATAAATTCAAATGAGTTATTCAAACACCACTTAACTACCTCTGATTTAGCACTTTCTAAAAATTCAAACATAAAAAAGGCTGATCAGAGTGGTAGGAGCAGCTCTGATTTCAAAGGTAAAAAAAAGATTAATTTTACATAGACATTATAGATACAGCTGTAACAAGTTGTTCTCCACATGAACTAAGAGATCTGCTTTGTACATATGAATTTACTATGTTAGTTGAGGTTTTCAGCCTTTGGATCCAAATTGAAAGAAATTAATTTCTATAAATTGCACTGGCAAGGAAAGAAAAGAAAAAAAATGTAGATGATGATTAAACTACTGAAATAATACTGTACATGTACCTTTACTGCTGTTTCCTTTACCAGAGTCAAGTAGTAACAGTACAGATGGGTCCTGTGTCTCAACATACGAAAGCCATGATTTCACATTGTGAAAACTTGATTTCTGAAAGATTATAATGATATGCACTTAAGTTTGTTCATTTGTATTTCATTACTGTGGAAATAAATAGTACAAGAAAACTCATTCATAAGTTATCCCAATTCGTAAAGAGAGGTACATTGTACATGTAGGTTAGAAACATAATTAATTCTTTTCTTTGCCATTAAAAAGAGCATGCAAAGCTAACATGTCTACATATTGCCATGGCTGATTAATTACTGAAATTAGAGGGTTACCATTGTCCTAACAAGCTAAATTTCAAAGCTAGAACTATTGGGAAATCAACTATACAAATCCTGAGCTATAGTTTGCCTATAAAATAAAAATTAAAGCGCAAATGTCATCAGACGCTGCGTTTCTGACTTACCTCACTAAGATCGAACGCGATAATGACACTCTGGAAGTTCATGTTAGCAGCAAACTCACATTGAGGAGGAAGAGAGCTCACAGAAGAAGCACAAAGTTGCACATCTGCTGTATAATACTTATTTTCTATTTTCCATTGGTACGCAATCAAACTGCCATTTGAAAGCTCTTTTGGAGATGAAAATTCTGTCTTGCACATTTCTGTCGAAGGAGGAATGAGATATCATAGAGTTGAGAATGAAAATAATTGAGAGAAAACGTACATGTAATGAACACATTTCTAACTATTTTACTGAAAAGATAAAATTTTTCATATTTGATCGAAAGTTCGATCTCTTACCACGAATAATATCTTCAGAGGAGAGAAATGAACTACAGCTAACTACAAGCACTTGACCAACGTTATCCGCCATGTTGGACTTTAAATTTACATAAGGTCATATCTGATAACTGCATCCGCCGCTGGCTCAATCATATGAGTACTGCGTGTTCATCTGAGATATTTACAACATGGTTGCTTGGAGAAGGAGACGCTAAAAGTCAATCTTCCCTGAAATGGCGGCGTTTTGAACTTTATGAACGCTCAAAAATATCAACTGATCTGCTACATTTAAATCGTCATAACGAGGATGTTTTCTTTGACAGACATTCAGCAAGGACCCACTGATATCGGAGAAATTCTTGTGAAGGTAAGGAGTTTTTAAGTTTCTGCTTCGGCCTGCGAGGAAGTTTTTGCAGTAATCGTGTCGAAGTTTATGACTGTTTGGCTTTTCAGCGCTTTGTCTTCCCCGTCTCCCTTGATCAGGTTCTTGAACTCAACGAGAATCACAGAATTTACTAGTTTTCTGGGAATGATATATTATCCGGGCACGGTTGCAATAAAAGTTTATGTACACACAGCTTTATTAGTTGGTATTTACATTAATTTTGTACGTTTCAGAAGTTAACGTTAAGAAGAGCACTGTCTTTTTCCTCGTTACAAACTAAGAGATCAGGCATGGGTTTTAAAAAACATCAATCAGCAGTTAAATTCTATCGCTTAACTAAGTTCTAGACATTTATACTTACTAATTACTAACTAAAGCTTAACAAATTCATTATTTACCATTACGCGCGGTAATAATAAAACAGCTGAAATTGAAATTTTTAATTCAATGGAACCGACATGCAAACGAACAAACCTTTAAGTTTTCTGGTTCCTCACTGCAAAAACTGTCGCGATGTTTTTCTTTTTTCCATAATCCATAGCAATTGTGTTACGCAGTGTGATTAAATGAACGGACTTAAATTACACAACTTCATGCGTTAATTTGTTGTAAAATATTTGCAGCTCTGAATAGTGTTTATAAGAGAGAAGTGAATTGCTAAGAATGCTGTCAACCTTAATTGCTCTCCTAAAAAATGCCTTGTAAGTAGGATCTTGACCATATTTATTGGGAGGAAAACTTTGGCATGCTCATTTGTACTTTAACATCACTTATCATTGGTAAACCCTAACCCCCTTTCATGCTAGGGTTACACGGGGCATTAGCTATGAAGAAGAATTAAACTACTCTGTACAGACATAGTGATCAGAAATACATAACAATGAATACAAGGGCAACAATACAACAATAGTTACTTGATTTAGGGCTGTCAGTAACTTGGCTTTGACCAATCTCTTATCCAGTCTACAAGTGCAAATGGAATTTTATTAAATTTCATGATATCTTGAATATTTGAGGCTTTTATCAGCTCTGCAACAGTTGGCGCAATGCATTTCCATATAAGGTGACCCGGAATATGAGCTGATAATGGTAGTCGAGGGAACTAATCAGAACACTAGAAATGCAACATTTGGAGTTGAAAATTTAATAAGATATGTTATTGAGTTGGACTGTACTTGATATTTTATTTTCTTGTCACCTTGAAAAAAATAATTGCATTTTTGTGGTTCAGTATGTTGATCAATGTTTAATTGAAGGGGTTGTTCAAGTGAGTTATAAACCTTTTTTTTTTTCTTTCTAGTGGAGGTTGAAAAAAGGGTGATTTGTAGTTTATGAGGAACAAGTTCTAGCTCAATTAAGAGGAATTTCCCTTTTACCCTTACAAGTGAATAAAGTATCTAATTTCTCCCTACAGAGTAACACCTGCATCATGCATTGAGGTTAGGAGAGTAAAGGAAATGATCACTAGCAATAGTCTGTTAAACAAATTTTCCTCATCAGCACCTTTAGTTAGGAAACGTATTAAGAACATTCTGGAGAATAATACATACTGATTGTAAGGTATAGGTACAGCTGTTTGCCGTACATAACAAAGTAAGGGTTGTGTCTCAACTGTACAATGTGTGTTGTTTCTGATTATCCGTCAACATTGTTTCTTAGGTTCAAGATGATCTGCGACACCTCAAAGAGCAAATTATTTCACAAGGAGTCTCCACTGAAATTATTGATCTCAGGACACTTGAGAGTGCCATTGAAAGAACTGAACAAAGTGTCAGGGTAAGTTAATAACAACTACAACTACTATGACATGACTTAAGTTGTTGTTTCCCTATATTTCAGCTTTCTAATCTTTTTGTTTTATGACACCTACTTTAGTCTTAGTACATGTATTTGACGAATTCTGGTTTAGCTGATTTACACTTGTAAACATGCATGAATATTTAATATAACACACAGGTGTGTGTATTAAATTGAAGCGCTGTGTGGGTATTTACATGTGCAGTGTGTGGGAATTGCAGGCGTGTCAAGTGCATGTAATGCTGTGGTACTCATTAAAGATACTGTACACTAGCTTGTATGGACTCTATGGATGAATCATTACTATTTTTAATATAAAATGATTTTCATTATCTAATTTGTAGAGGGATATTAAAATTGTTATTTAATTTTTGATGCAGGATAAAGCTGAGCAGATCGTCCACTCCGCCAACAACCAAGTGCTAACTTTACCATCACTTGAAGGACCTGTTACTGGTTCAACAAAAAAAAAGCAGCAAGAAGCTGTAGGGTATGTCTGTTTTTGTTTTTATCAGATGAACATGGAAAATAATTATTGTACAATTGTTCAGTAATTGTGACCGTGAAAGGCAAAACAGATACTAATGGTTATCCGTTTGAAGGGGTAAACCATTCGTTATCTGTTCGTCATCTATTCAAGCGCCTAAAAAAATCCATTCAAAGTGTTCAACAAACCATTCGAATGGTTGTGACGTCTGTTTGAATGGTTTCGACATCTGTTCAAATGGTTTTTGCATCCGTTCACCAACTAGGAGTGTCCATTCGGAGAACTGCGGCATCCGTTCGAACAGTTTGAATTCTGTTCTGTTCATCCATTGGAAAGGAGAAAATTGCATTTTGTAGTTTAATTCTCTACAGATATTCAGTCTAGCGGTTGAAACATCCCGATCCACATCTATGTGACTAAATCGTGGGACAAATGATTAACTCAGCTGTCATATTAAACCACGATGACAACCACCTTTCATGAGTAGTTTCAGACAATGACTATAAACTTTATGTACTAAATAGGCAAACAGTTGCAAAAACGTCATTTCTAAGTCGTGAAAACCTTCACTGAATAAGAGAATTGCTCTAATTGGCAGAGGAAAATGGTGAGAACTACATGCATTCACTCCCGATTGATCCCATGACCATGCTTGCAACAACAGTACTACAATAATGCTATCAGCATTTTGCCATAGCAACTGTTGTTAGGACAATCAATGTTGTTTTACTAAAAAAATCATTGTTATTGCTTTTTTCATTTAAGGGATCAACGTATAGTAGCATTCAAGAGGAGCTCTTCACCAAGAAAAGAAAGGTTGGTTTAATTGTAATCTGTTAACACTTATCATGTTTTGTTCGACAGTTGATGTTTGCTTAGCTATGTAAACTGCATCTGGTACATGTACATCAACTTACAGTGTAATGGCATTGAATTTCATTTCTGTCTAATTCCAGTTTCAGGAGTCTTTTAGAACCAATAGCAATTGCAAAAGAAGGGAATAAACCAGGACCCAATGCCCCTGCTCCTGGGCAACAGGTGTGTACTCAAAGTTGCCTTTTGATAATCTGTTTCAAATTAATGATGATTAATAATTATTAACCATTTAACTTTCAGAAGCGATTAACATGCATGACAAACTTGATTCTCCCATAAATATCCAATCCCTCATGCATTATCCAGCAAACAAGATATGAGAATACTCAAACTTACAAGGTTAAATGTCATCTTGATCTAAGACCAAATTCTCCTAACTAATCTGCAAGGAAATGTGTAGCAGCTAGAAGCTAAGAGAGAATTAACAATGAGATCTAGGGAGTTAAAAGATCAAATGGGCCAGTTATTTTACAGGAGTTTTTTTCTGCGTTTATTTCACTGTATTGAGCAGTGTCACATTTTTAAGAATTGGTTGACAGAAATGTATCTTACAAAAATGTATCTTTATCATGTGAAATTAGGGTCAAGTACCTCTGAGCTGTACTGTACATACAGTTACATTACAAAATTTTTGTCAAAGACCAAGTTTTTCATAAAAGCACTATGCACCTTTTTGCAAAGAATTTTCTCTGCATGATTCTGAAATGTAACATGGCAAAAATTCTAGTGCTCAAAAATGATCTCAGACTGACCACCCCAAATTGTTCAAATGTGTAGTGATGCATCACTGATGTTTGCCATCATTTTTTTATAATTTCTTTTGCAGGCTAGAGATCTTAGAAGTTTAAAAATCATTAGTAATCCAGCTCATCCAGCAGCAAGGAACATCCTAAGTGAAAGATATGGTATTGCTCTTCCATATATTGTGGATAAACATGAACAACCAGCTCAGGTCTGTTAAAAGAAGTGGTAATAATAACAGTCCATGAAAAGTGGCACATTAGGTGCAGCAAAGTTTATACCAGTGATTTTCTTACTGCATTTTGAAGTCTCCTTTGATCTTTTATGGAACAGAACCAAGCATCAACCCAAAATCTTTTTGCTTTGTACTGCAGACACCAGAAGTTGTTAATGGTGACACCATCTATGGATCAAAAGATCATAAGTTAAAGAACTAATCAAAATCCATGCTCAATTGATTTAGCAGATTATTAATAATGGTAATAAGACTGAGTCCAATTTGGTCTGTAATCATACAGTCAGGTGATAAACAAAATCGGACTACTGCAAAGCGATAGTCCAATTTGTTAATAAAGAGTATGATTACAGGATAGAATTGGACAACACAAAGTGTTGTTACCAATTAATCAAAACAATGACTGAAACTGAGAAAGAAACTGGACATCAGTTATACATTTTCATTAAAAAAAAAAAAACAGTTTACTTAGCAAAATGCAGGACAACAGTGCTTTACACAGGCATGACATGTGAACTGTCCCTTTAACTGTCCTATTACACTGTCCAATTACAAGCATGATGTGTACACTATGATGATAACCAATTTTGTTCAAGAATTTTGGTATAGTTTTGATTAATACCAATAAAATCTTAACACTGCATGGTAAGGGCCTTAACTATTAGTGACTGTAGACTACATGCATAAATGGTAATTTGGTATGGTGAGCTTAGTTGATAATGTAAATTGGCCACAATAAAGAGCGAATGACAAAGAGCTAATGCTTGAAACATCACGTAACTTTGAAACTCTTTACAGTGGCCAATTTACATTATCAACCCAATTGATAATACCAAATTACATTGTTATACTCTCCCCTTGATGCATCACCACAAATTCTTTAGAAACTTTATAACCCTTTTTGTACATAAATAGCTTTAAATTGAAACCCTTTTTATGCAGTGTCATGGAGGAAGACTATCTGATAAATAATTATACATCATAATTATACCCTGAGTCTGTCAACTTTAAATTATTTGTAAGCAAGGCTTTTATTGGACTAATTACAGGTTCCTGGTAAAGTTGTCACAGGCTCAACTGTTGAACCAGTCAACACTCTACCTAGAGCCAATAGAGTGGATCCCTCGGTAAGTCAAAGTATCTCTTTCATATTAACTTTCTAAAAGTACTTCCAACACTCCATACTGATTTAGTGACTCATTCTCTTTGGCATCTGTAGTGTATGGAGTAGATGTAAAAATGAGATGTAACTTTTATAAAACGTGTTGTAGCTAATGAGCACATGTTAAAAGGAGAGAACAATGTTATGTTAAAGGCACAAGAAATTTGTAATTTGCATATAGCTGTCAGTGGCTTTTAGTGGTAATTGGGAGATAGTTGCATTGTGAGTTTATTTTTAATGGTTGTTAATAAATTGTCTTTTAACTGAATAACTGCTGCAACATTCTGTTTGAACTGATGGTGAAGATATGTGGGCCAAAATGCAGTGTGCAAAAATGACTCCAAGTTTCTACTTTTATCCTTGATCTATATTCCCTCAAATGTCTACTTTTTGTAACATGAGCTTTTGTGCTGACTGAAAGATTAAAACAATTATTGTAATTTTTGTAAGCTTAACTGAGAATTCCTTTGTTGTGTTCCCATCGACGTGAAATACACTGTAATCATATTCCTTATTGTAAAATAAAGAACCCAGCAAATTTGCTGCACTCCCATCATATGGCTTTGTAGCTTTTTTGTTAGTGTAATGTAGCACCCAACTAGACTTGGAGACATGCATTTGAACTTTATTGAAGCTACAGTAGTTACTGTAATTACAGTTCACCTGTGTCTGGATAACTATGACATTCATTTGCCATTATTTTTTTGTGTGTGTTTACAAATGTATGTGTAAACCTTAATCTCTTACTAAGTAGGATTTGTTGTACTTTTGTTTTAGCTTACCCCACCTCCAATTACAGAGGAAGATGCACAGAAGGGAATTCTGAGTCTAATAGAGCGTGGCCTCATACCAGTAAGAGTGTTCAGATAAGATTTGTATTATCCCATAATGTAAATCAAATCATATTTTAAACACTATAAGACAATGTCTTAAAGTGTTTACCTTATCTATCTGCACTTTATGCAGTGAAGTCTTACCACTGCATACCACATCTATAGAATTTTCTCTGTGTAACAGAATGTTCATGATAAACATATTAACCCTGTAACTCGCATGAGTGACCAAGAGAGAATTTCTCCTCACAATATTAATACAATATCAACCAGATAAGTGATGAGAATAAAGAAAATATCAATTTGGGGATAATTAGTTGATCCAATACTAAATTCTCTATACAAACATAAGTTAAAGTTGTGTTGTTGACAGTAGGGAGAATGACAAATTTGATCTGGGAGTTAAAGGGTTAAGGAAACTTAATGAGTACATTACAGTCATTGTGAAGGCCTTAAATAACATATAATTTATGATGCAGCAAAATTATCTTGCAATTCATTATATGCAGTTTGTCCATATTTACTAGAATCTAAGCCTCATAATCAAATCAATATAGTTATTATTTTTTGAGCATGTATCAACACACAACTGCAATAATTTATAATTCATTTCTTACCTTTAATCTCTGGACATATTACCCTGACTTGTAAATTAAAGCTTCGATTCAATTGTATGTTCAAAAACTACGGACAAATTGCATTGTATTTTGTACATAGGCTGAGTAACAGTTATTATATTGTTTTAAACTTTAGAGTGGCTAACTTTAGCAAACTGTTTCCTTTGACAGCCTGCAGCAGAACTCACACTCAAGCCTTCTCCAGTTAAACTTCATCAGGCTCCTGTGAGTGTTACTGATTCTTTGATTTTTGGAGCTATAGACCCCCAGCTTTCAAGAAAAAGAAAAAAATCAAATGGCACAACAAAAATATTACATGTGGTTGGAGACTAATTCTGGGTTAACCCTTGTACACCCTAACCCAGTATGTACAAATAATAAATATTCTAAATGCTGTTCTCTATATGCATTTGCTTTGGTTCTAGAATTTGTTTACTTGGTGATCATCTCCTTGATTCTTGTGACCCTACTGTGTAATTCATGGGTGATAACATAAAAGAGAAATTAGCTGCTAGTCACTCTGAGGGCGCACAGGGTCATCATGTTCCTGAAGAAAAAACCTCATACACTGTGCATTGATTTTTTATGTTTTCCATATTTTCTTCCATGTGAAAATAGTTAATGAGGGCTTAATTATTAATTCTTTTACTTGAATACAGCTCCACGAATCCCAACATCAGTTTTCAAGATATACTGCTCCTCCTCCAAAGGATTTTGTGGGAGGTAAATAAGTCTCAGTCTGGTTACTCTCTGAGAGTTTGATCACAATTAACTGTATCAAATATTCATTTTCAATTCTTTTTCCAGAATCACTCCAGTAACCCCTCTCATGGATGGTTTCAATTGGTTTTAAACCCCCCCCTCCCCATTGTGATTCATATTATTCTCTGGATATTTGCCTATGTATATGTAACCCTCCCTTTCTTACTTTGGAATTTCCAGCACTCTGTCCCACAGAGGGTATAGATATTTCTTGAATCACATTCTCTATTCTTGTAATGTACATTGTACAAATAAATTAATGATATGGCTCTTGTGTGGTCATAATTTTTTGGCTCTGCTCTAGACCTAGAGGTCTCACTGGTACTACAATGTACAATGTATAATGCATAATGTTTTATGCTAGATAAGTGTGTTACATCATGCAGCAAATGTGCACTCAACAAAGTATTTTACTGATGATGCCATTAAATGTGTTTTAAAGGGAACTGGATGATATTGTGTAGAGTGTACCTTGATCATTTTAAATGTTGATTTGCATTGTTTTTTACCATTGCAGTTGGGGGCTACAACCTGTCAGTTGTTAAGGTATGAGTGCAAACTGTAAATGTACGAGAATGAGCAGAAGACAAGTGAAATACTTTCAGGGGTTTTTTTTTTTGAGAAGTTTTATAGTAACTCAAATTTCTTAAACATAGTGAAGGGTGCCCGAAGAATTAGGCAATGAACTTCTGTAAAAAACCTATTAACTAGAAGAAATTTCATCAGAAAATTGAGACCAACTTAGTTAACTTAACAATATTTATCAGCTGCTGTCTGACAGTGTAGTAGATTATGATTTGCTTTTCAGTTGAGGGGACATGTGGGAAGCCTGGGGGAAGAGGGGAGGGAGGGGTTCAAAAGGGAGGGGAGTGGAAAGATTTTTGGCAGAAATGTATTGAGGGTTGGAAGCTGAAGAGGGATGCAAACATTTGTTAACCATTGATCTTTAATCATCAAGGTAGATATATTGGTGGCAGAGGAATTGGATGCTGTGAGCAGAATATTCTCAGCCCTTTGTTTTATTTTACTTCCAACCCCACCTCCTTCCCATCTAAGTCTGTATCACGTGTATTACTGCCAGGAGACAAAAAACTATTCTTAGATCATAATTTAGTTGATTTTAAATTTAGTGTGAATGATAATCTTGCTAACCTATTTAAGTTGGACAGAAGGTGATTAATTTTACTCTTACTTTTTTGCTTGACAGATGGATCCAGCAGGAGTGCAAGCTGCTCGACAGTCCTCCATTGGAGAAAAGAAGAGAAGAATAAGATCTCCAACAGAACAACAGCAGCCTGCTCCTGCCAGGGTATGTACTTGTATCACCATGTGTGGTAATCAAAGACAAAAGGAACTACTGTTCAGCCCTATTGGTAATAGGACTGGATGGATTACAGCTCAGTGAGTAATCAGGCAAGTGATTTCAAATTGGCAAAGTGCACAGCTCAAAGCTGATTTGAAATCACAAGCATGAGATACACTTGAGTTGTAAAACTCAAAGACTGATCACCAATTTTCGTCAATCACAAATGCACACTGGGAGAACCTTGTGCACAAGGGTTTTGTAAGGCAAACTTTCACCTGTTATTAATACATGTTTGGTTTCAGTGTGGATCTCTCAACCTGCTTCGCGAAGAAGTTTTTTTCATTTTGATTGGTTAGCATTGACTACATGTAGGTAATAAAGCTGATGGCTAAATGTGCTTAATTTTCATAGGCTGCTTGACTATCTGATTGGCAATATCTGTAATTGGAAAAGTGTGGTGAAATCAGACAGTTTGGACTTGAAAAAGTGAATGAAGCCACAAATAAGGGCTGTTGAAAACCAGGATTTTTTTCAAATTGAAAAGTAATGAAACAATGTGTTTTATTTAATAATGTAGGGCTGGACTCAGAACTCCAAAATGAAACCTCTTCCACTAAAAGCCATAGAGGCACCTAACATGGTAAGAAAATGATACTAAATCTTTGTGATTAATAACAGGGAATCTGGGCAGAGGTTAAGAATGATGGGAAGGGGAGAAGGGATGGTCTTTCTCTACCTTGCATTTATGGGCACAGGGGAAAATGACTAAGGACAGGTTTGGAGGCTCAGCCTCATGATTGAACCACCCTGTATGTACAAATGCAAAAAACACTTTACACTGACAGGATGGGAAGAGATGAAATATCTAAACCTTAGCCAATTCCTGGTGTTCAGTTAATAAATCAGAGCAAATAGTAAACGGTGCAATATATAGTAGCGGTTGTCCCAAAACGAAGGGGGCTGACCTGACACAAACTTTGCTGGTTTTTTTTTCTCTCCTCTGCATTTTTTTAACCTTTAACAATCGCGCTTCCTTTTCCTATTTGAACACTTAAACCAGGCTATCTAAAACTTGGCTTAAAGGAATTTTTTTCATCTTTTTCAAGTTTTATAACATGTTGCAAAGCAATGAAAAGGTTATTGATATATAAGCATCTCATTGTACACTTGGAAATATGAATTGTAACAGTACAATTGTATACGTTTGTGGAAGGGCTTCTTTTCATGTTGTTGCCATACGTCTTATTGAGGACTAAGATGATTGAGTGAGTCTCTTACCTACATGTATTCTGGATATTAAGGCTAGTTAAGTATACCCAGTGATCTTTGAATGTCTGTTTATCGTGTAGTGGCAGTTGTCTGCACAGGCGTAGTTAAACTGTAAATTACATGCTCTCTTTAATGTCTGTCAGATTCCTGTTCCTGCATCTACACCAGCGAATGAACTGAAAAGTGTTCACAAGTTTGTGATTCAGAATGGCAAGACGAGAGTTACTTCACAGGTGCAAAAGAATTGTTGTAATATTCTTTTTTATGGTGGAGGTCATCCATCAGATGACTGCCTATCAGGTGGTCATAGCCGTGTCTCTGTCACAAAGACCCGCTCTATAGTCCGGTGTATGGGCTTTCTGAGACGCAGGCTACCTGTACATTGCTCACATTGTGTAGCCGAAGTTGTGAACAAACATCTAGTTTCCTCTCGCACTTGGTTGGGAATGAGTAAGGAATATCTAGTCAAATATTTGTCTTTGTTAGCTTGTGCTGAATTGGTAGTGTTATCGAGTTTTGATACACACGGAGAACGTTTTTTTGAGGGGTTACATCTGCTGCTCATCCTTACTGCGCTCGATTTCACACTTGAGTAGCGCTCACACATTATTAAAATGGCGGTACTTAATCTGGCCTGTGCTCGTGGGTTATGCTGTCTTGTTTCGTGATCGTCGAGCACGGTGACTTACTTTCCATGCAGATTACGTATTGAAAACAGACTTCCAGGGGAAAATAGATCGATTATTAGAAATTGTATTTTTACTGTTCGTGAACGACGAGAAACTCTGCATATGTATTCAGGGAGTAGTTTTAGGTGGTGACGCAGCGATCAAACATTACTTACAGGATCTGTCAATTTCAAATTACTTTACTGAACGATATTAGCCCAGACAGGCAAATAGGCTCACGGTTTCAGGGATACAGAAACAATTTTTCAGTTCAGTTTTCGAACATTTCTCTCCCAATGACCATCCCAGGCACAAACTGGCACTGTGACTCCATCGCATCATGGCATTTTTGCTATGCCCTGTGCCAAGCTTGAAAACGAATCTGGATACTATTTCTTTTTCAGGAAACTCCCAATTGCGCGTAGCATTTTGAATTATCTCTATGCTTTTAAAGAGCCTGGTAACTTGATGATGCGGTCTGGAGAGACGCATAAAACTTTGCCGGCTGTAATGTTTCAAACCAAGAAATCCAGGCTTAAAGATACCCCACGTAACCTTTAAGTTTAATAGCAATGTGTATTTTATAATTGAATATACTTCTTACTATTTCCCTTTACAAAAAGTTTCACTAAAAATTAATTTTAAAAACTTGAGTAGATATTAACAGTATCCTGTGTATAAGTTGAGTTTTTTTTCCCATGATTTTGATAGGACTACCTGGATTTCAAACAACATTATTGCCTGTCTTGGGGAAGGTGAGTCCTCGCTGTTTTCTTTGGTCAACCCACTGTTAGAATGCTTTCAATGGAGTGTCATGAACCCATGATCAAAAGATTTGAACTGCTGATCGAAATTAGAGATGGAAAATGGGAATGGGAACAACAAACTCAACGCACCTGCAACTCCGGTTCGGGTAGTCGAACCCGGGTCAAAGCGATAGGAGGCAAGTGCCATCCCATTATTGAAACCCTTGGGGTAGACTTCATCATCGAAAATCGCTTATTGTCCAACTAATTAAGTGATTAAGTGCTCCAAGTAAGTTTAATTCATGTGGTTCTATTTATCATTCTTTTTCAGCATACTGACGTTAATTCTGAAGCTGGAAGAGCTTCTCACCAATTATTGCGTCCCGATTGCCTTCATAGATGGTGACAGGTAAGACGAAATTTCAAAGTCGTAGTCGTTATGGTACACATAAATGGTATTCCCTAGTTACTGCATATGTTTCTCTTTTAATTGATTGACTATTAGTTTAAATGAGGGGATCTTATGGTAAAAAATTGTCCTACAAAGGCAGCTTTATTCGTTCAATTTTCTTTTTCAGACTGGCTGATCTAGCACTAGTTTTTGAACTGGAACAAGATCCAACAGTCGAGGTCAGTATGTTGTTTCATATGAGCTGCATATGCCCTCGTACATGTAGCTTTGTTTTTCAAAGAATGTTATCAAATTGAACTTACCATAATGTAGATAAGAGGGAAGTCGTGGCCTTGAAACTAAAGGCATAAGGGGCATCAAAGTACGTAGAGTGATATCAAACCTATGAACTCCTTCAAGTAAAGTAAGGAAAATCATTTTTCCCCTTGCAGCATTTCCTAACGTGCATATTGAATGCGGATGATGTGGAAAAGATTATTAAAACGCCTGGCAGAAGATACCTTGGTCCGAAAGGCACAGAAATGGCAGCTATAAAAATACAGGTACCTTTTACTTTCCTTCAGTGTGTAACGCAGATAACAATATAAGCATGAAATATTCACAGTGTTCAACTTTAGGAGAACGCAACCAAATGCCGAATAGCCTGTGCCATCAACTCGAGATGTATTATCGTTGCTGGTGTTTGTTTCTTACTTGCAGGGTATGTTACTGCGTTCATGTCAACTGCCACATACACCTGTAGTTGTATGCTCTGCTTGTGTACCTGGCTATTTGTTATGTGGCGTCGGGCTGTGAATAACATTCCACTCAACGTTACCATCAATTGTGTTTTCTTTTTCGCAGTCCACATGGCGTAGGTACAAGGATCGCTCGGCTTACCTTCTATACCGGAAGCGGAAATGGGCGGCAGGTTAGAAATGTCACTCCAAAGTGAAAAGCCACTACTGATTATCGAGATAGACTTTTTCTCGATCAGTTGAACTTTTTTTTTATTTATGTTGTCCAGCGGAGTACTTTTTAGCAGTTACATGTAAATCCAAGTGCTTCTGACCTGTTGGAAGAGCCTGGGAAAAGAGAGCTAAATTAAGTTCTGATCAAATCGTGTTTTTGCTTTTCCAATACAGTGTAAGTGTCGTGTCTGTAGGTGATGCGAAAAAAGGGTCTTGTCACCTGAGAGAAAGAGAAATGTAGGCCGCGAAGTTTCCACAAGTTTAAGCTGCCAGCAGTCTGGATTTTGTTTCTGTGAGGCCTAGAAAGTTTCCTTCAAATTTGAGTTTAGAAAATCGCAGTTTGCGAGGGTAAATAAACACCAAAGGGGAAAAATGACCACCTTCGTTTGCGCTCTTGAAAATGTCAAAATATTTAAACTCTAATTTGATCTTCTTTCTTTTTCTGTTTTTCGAAGGTGTTATCGCAATATCGTGGATTATGAGCTGTAAAATATCCATGGTGCGAAAACAGCTTAAAGCGACCAGAAAATTACAGCTGAAAAGGTTCAAAGTACGCGCAAAGGTAAGTTTAAATTATTACATGCACCTTAATGGCTGTCAAAGACGCGGTGGCCAAGCGCTTAGTGCGCTGGACTGGGTCGAGAGGTCCGAGTTCAACACTTGGCCAGGTCAATGTGTTGTATAAAGGGGTAAGTTTCTAAAGAAACTGTGGTGCTGTAGTATAGCAGGTAATCAAGTGTTAACAACTGGGTCGAAAACGTAAATTAGCCACCTTAAAGAGTAAAAAAGCTTACGTTTCGAGCGTTAGCCCTTCGTCAGAGCGTTCTTGTCTTCTTGGGTGAAACGCTTTACTCTCACAGTGCGTCTCTCCACCCAGGAGTGTAAATGGGAATCAGTGAATTTTCAGGGAAGCCTGATGAAACCTTGCAAGGGACGAGCATCCCACCCGGGGGGAAGAGTGATACTCCTATATTATCTTCCCATTATCAGCTCCTCTATTCCGTTTCCATGGAAGATCTCTCAGGGAGGTGTTGAAGTTGGTTATGGTCTACTGTAGCATACCCTTTTACTTGCAGACGTGATGCCTGTAGCAGATCATGGTATTCTTTGAAATGCCGAAACTGCTATTTTCATACATGGGCACTCATGTAGTAAATAAAGGAGTAATCCCCTTTTCAAATTTTGTGCCAAGGGTTTATTCGGCCATTTTAAGCTTTATGGGTTTGATTCGTAGAAAATAGAAACGAATGCGTTGTCTCGATTATTCCTCGTTTGAGCCTATGTAAAAGAAAGAAAATAAGTTCTTCTGTGACAGTAAATTGTATGTGTATATTTTTTACGTGACTGTCCCTAGGCATTTCAAGAAGCCTGGCCTCGCATCAAGGATTCAAGGAGAGTAGTAATTCATATACCGTCCTTAGGTAGGTATTATTTCATCGTATTTCGGAGACAGGCAGGAGAAAGCCACACTCGACTGAAACCTTTGACGAAAAACACACCTTATAGAACTGCCCACATAAATGGGTGGGCTTTTACGAGAGATACTTGCTCAAGATTGTACTTCTCTTTATAATTATCAATACATATCTTTGAAAATGTTTAATGAGAATACACAGCTTGAGAGTGTTACCTTGATGTAAAACTATAGACTCACAAACAATCTGGCAACAGATTTATGCCAGCTTGGAGGATGAATTTTCTGATAAGACCTTGGAGGTTATTGAAAAGGTCAAGTTTAGTATTTTAGCCAGCACATGCTGTGAACTGTATCACAACCTACAGTACTCTAAGTTCTGAAAAGTGAAGGAATTCCATTGCTCTCACCTGAGTGATCCATTTAATAAATTGTTTCCATGTTGCCGTTGGACTATTCGGTATTAAATTACAGACTACGTCAAAATGTGGTAAGGACAAAAAAGTGACAAACGAGGCGCAGTCGAGGGTTCACTGATGTTCTTCCCACATTTTGACTTCTTCTGTGATCTGTTGCTGTACAAAGCCATAACAACATAGATCCCACTTGTTTTATAGGATAAAAAAGGCAAAGTGTTGTTAATGGTGATGTCTTACATGCGTCTGTCCTCCAATAGATCATTAGTGAGAACAAATCAATATGCGAGTAAAAGTTAGCTCATATATAAATTTTGACCCGCATCTGGTGACACTGTTTGTTCCTTTTCATTTTGTAGGATATGCCCAGCACATTCGAGATGAACTGAGTGAAATAAAAATTTTACAAAATCTCCAAATGGCCAGACTGTGCGACATAGCCGGTAAGAATAGGTCCTACCTACATACAGAAAAGCTTAGATCAATTTCAGTCGCAAACATCTAATGAGCATCTTTTTATTACGTAGATCCCAAAGTCGAAGTTATTTATGTTAGTCCTGTGGAACTAAATGACGAAGTCTACCAGTATTACTCGAAACTACTGGCAATGAAAGCGCGGAGACTAGACAAGAGCAATTCCGAATCTAAAGGAAATGGCGACGAGGATGAAGACATTGAAAACCGCTATAAGATCATTGTACCGGATGCTGTAGACAGATTCCCAGTGAGGCACTTTCCACTCTTTTGAAACCTTTTATTTCGTTGTGATCTTTACGAAAGAAATATTTTACACGGCCCTGGAACAACAAATATATTTTACGTACGCTGAATGTGGAATATTTCATTATCACTTTGACAAACATTGAGTAAAGCAAGTAAACAGAGCAAATGTGCTTTCGTCTAATATGAGCGTTTTCAAGGGAAACAATCGTGCGTTTTCAAAGCACACTATACAACTGATGTTTTCCTGGCAAGCCCATTCTCGTAAGAGTAACTAATTACCTGATACCATCTGCGTTTTCCGCCAACCTTTTTGGTACATAGTTGTGTCAGAAACTCGCATCTCTGCTCAGTTCTTGTTTTCCAACCCATAGATCTGTTTTGATGTCATTTGTAAAAAAACTGATTTCTTCATTCGTCCAACAGACTCACAACATGTGCCTTTCATCCATTCTAAAGTACAGTCCACGAACGGTGAAAAGGTAAGACTTTTTTGTTTTAATTCTTACTATAGAAGAATAAGTTATCATTATTATCAGTGGGTAAAAGGATCCATTTTTGAATTTGTCAGTACTTAAGATTGCCATGCTAAGTGTTTTCCGCATGTAATCCTTGCTAGGCTGAGGAATTTAATCAAAGGTCGTGATGCATATATAGTTCCTGGTGTCCTTCATAAAGATGACATTTACCTGGCTGATTTACTCGGTGAGTGTGACAAGTTGTTTCACATGTACATGTAGTGCTAATATTGTGTAAAGAACCTCACGATCTGTAAACCGCACATCGTGATAGGATCCTTGTGTGGTGTTCCATCAAATATCAACTGCACAATGGAAGCATTGTTTCGATAACATTTTCCATAAGCGGCTGCCGATGCTGTAAAAGGCTGCTGTATCATGCCGTAAGACGAAACCTAAACACGAGGCTAAACAGACGGTGTTAAAACTTTTTACAAGCGACGTTAGGCCGCCGGTAACCAGCTTTTCTTGAAACCCCTGTGAAAGACACTCATTCGGATAAGTAACAGCATTGTAACGCGGAAAGGGACAATCACGTAAAGATTTGAGGGTAATCGGAGACCATGCTATGCGCTGAGAACATGCGCACGGCAGTTTGGTATTGCGATTGAATGTTGTCTTCTTATCTCATCAGATATTCCGGTTTTGAGCCCAGAGCCCGAAGTGGCCACATTATACTCTACCAAGTCAGGATCCAAGAGGATTTTTCTCAGCGCAAAGGTTGAAATTCCTCCTGGCCACTTTGATATATACAGTCTTCCACAGGTTTGTGCAGAATTTTCTGGGCCCATACCACATCTCTTTCTCTTACGTGACTTGAGGCACACGCGTTGAAATATTCTAGTTTCATGTCTTTATGTATGGGGTGATAAATATCTGTGGAAAAGTCTCGGTTCAGCCGGGAGCCGGACCTTTTATGAGTTGAGCAAAGTGAACATGAAGTGTATAATACCTTGAATTAAGTTCATGACAAGTTTGGTGTCTGAATCAATTAAGAACGGCTATTTTGATTTCAAACGGCTCTGCCCTTGTCTTCCCGCACAGCTTGGCAGAGAAATTCGACTATGGCCAGAGTGGCTTTGGTTCAGACACCGACCGTATCATAATCATACCAAACTTAATATATTATAGCGTATTTTTACTGAAAGTGCTGGAAAGCCTGGAATTGTATTAAGAGGGGCTAAAGAACGGTCAGTCAAGTTAGATGTGTGAATCAACAGGTTTACTTTTGTTAATTTGGGTCGGTCTAAATTTCGATCGAATTCGGCTTTGGAAAGTTTGGCGCCTGAATCGGGCAAAAAATATCGCTTAAGTAGTTAAAAGTTTTCTAATAGGAGGACAGGTAGAAAATCAGTCATTGTATTTAGCTTTCATGGAATCTCGCTCTTTTTGTTTCAGCTTCACGAAAGTCTTGCTAAACTGGTAACTGAAAACCTCCATATTAAACGATGGCTCTTCAAAATGGACAATGAATTTGATGGCAGAGGAACAGGTGAGCATATACTGATGTTGACACATGCTCGAATGCTTTGGAGGTAAAGTGTAGATTTAAGTGCTTGCTCTCCTTGCAGCATTCTGTGATGTTACGCCTTATCTGAAGTGCTACTCGTGGGCCGTGAAAGAGTGTCAGCGGTACGGCGAGAAATGGAACAAAAAATGGGCTCACGAACCAACCTTGATCAGAGTCTCAGCAGAGATACCCGAGATCATGGCCCACCATGCTACCCCAGTGAGTCACGACCTCTACCCTACCTGGGACAAGTTTCTTCAGGATTTTCTTAAAAGAGGTTTGGGAATCTTTTTATGCTCTCAAGCTGTTTAGCCTCGAGATTTCTGAGCTTGTAATGTTAATTTGAGAGTCTTCTCGTCCAGCCATTGGCCAAACATGACCAAGCTCCCTGTCAAAACGGAGTCATTTTAATAAGTGTTTGCTATGTCGAGACTATGTACCATCTTAGTATCTGCTATTTTGAGATTAATGAATATCTTTTATCACATGTCATTATCAGCAGAGATTTTTCATGCGAGACTGAGTCGCAATACCTGTTGGAGCCTCATCCGTGTTTCTGTGGAATGAGGGAACTACGAGTACTGCTACCCGTAGTGCTACTCCTCCTAGATGGGATTCTAGTCCGCTTTAGTGAGCCACCCCTTCCCCTTAGCTTTTCTTCAGGCTTTCTGAAGAACTTCCGGTGGAGAGGGGTACTGTAAGAGTATTGTGGCCTGCCTAAGAAACTCAATACTTTAACCCTCCAGGACTCGAACCCAGACCTTTCGATTATGTGTCCGATGCGTTAGCCGCCGGGCCTCTCGTTTTGTAATATACTGATGGTATTATGGTTGTTGTTGTTGTTGTTTTTTCCACTAAAGAGGTTTCCACTAAAGTAAGAGGAAATCGGTGTGAGTATGTGCTGTTCACGAGTTGTTATTGTACAATCATGTTGGTTTTTTCCATTTTTCAGGAGGAGTTATTGAAGCTTGCCCTCCGTCTGACAGTGTTACAACTCTCAGTGTCGATGTGTTAATTGAGCCGACTGGGGAAACAACAATCTTGTCCATGGCAGACCAGGTAAGTTAAAAATTGTGACGTCAACGTTTTCAACTAACTCAGAAACTGAGGTCTTTTTATTGCAAGGTAAACATAAAGGAGACAAAATATAAACAAAACAACCAGCTGCGTAATTTTTTACGTTCACACGAGTAGCCTTCACCACTGTTAAATCAACTTATTCTCCTTAGATTCACGCCACGTCACCGTTCAGATGTTGGGGATACTCTGTGCCCCAGACCTCAGTGGATCCGCCAGTACTTTGCACGGCCGCTGATGCTGTATCAAATGCCTGTAAACTGCGGGGAATTGTGGGATATTTTTCGATCGACTTTGTAACGTTTATTGATCCTAAATCGGTAAGTATTGCAGTAGAGTGCGATTATTGTTAGATCGGATAATACTAAAACAAAGAGGCTGAGAAACAATTATGATCCGACAATCTGGATCTTCAATTCTTCGATTTACAGACTGATTTCAGGCGAAGAGTCGGTGGTTATGAAATCGGAAGGAGTGCACAGTCATAGACTTCCGTTTTAAGGCTACCCTTCATGTATCGTAAAATAACACAATAGAGTTCATGTTCACGGGCATAAATGTGTTTTGAGCCCGACTCAGAATCATTTTGGGTCTGTCACAACCTTCATGCATACAATCTTGCTTTACTTGTTCAGCTGAAGCAGCTTGTGTGGGCTGTCGACCTGAAGCTGAGGTACAGTGACAGTATGGCTATGACAAAACTTATGCTTTACGTGTCTGGTGGAGAGTTTCAAGCTCCTCAGTCATCGTTTCTGGTGCCAGTTAAAAAGAAACGAGAAGAAAGCGGAAGGAGAAGGAGACGAAAAACAGTGGAGGAAGAGGAGGTGAGATTCTCAGATGGATTTATCGTAAAAACTTTATTATTACGTGAACACTGGCGGGTCTATCCTCAGTGTCCGCCTAATGTAGGGTGTCAGCACAGTTGAGGCTTGGTAAACTGCGCATGAGCAGTATAAAAAAGAAGGGAATGAGTGAACAGCCCTCATTGAAAGCGTCACAAGTTCGGTCAGATGTGAGAACACTCATGAGTAATCATCGGAATAAACGCCAAAATTGTAATCCTTATCTGTAATCAGACGAAAGAAGTCTATTGAATGCAGCGTCTTGTTACTAAAAAGATGGGATTAAAAATTTGGGACCTAGGCTCGTGTCTGCCATCTAGCGGGCTTCTGCTTGATGCAAGCTTCGCTATAACATGTCTAGCTGTTATGTGTTTGTTGGCTGAAATGTTGATTGATCGTGGATATTTTATTTGGTTAGCTAGAGGCTTATGATGTTACGGTAAACATTATTTTGTTCTCCTGAACATTCGATTAAAGGAACTCTAGTCGTTTTAAAGAGAAGAAAATTTCAGACCTTTCTCTAATCTAATTAACGAACGATGAATATTTATCAGGCCAGATGCGAAGTCAGTGAAAAGTTCACGAGGGAAATTGGCATGAGATCTATTCACAGTACTCTCTTTGGGTTTAGGAGTTTCGCCATTGCCTAATCATTATGTGTGTAAATTGTATTTTTATTGTTTTACAGCCACCGCCGAATCCTAATCGTTTCGCCATTCTCAGCACCAGACTGCTGCACAGTAACTTGAGTGTGATTCATTACAGCGTTTTTTTCCAAATGTGCCGTGCGCATGGTATTGGTTTTGATATGAAGGTGAGGAAACCGTTCATCACGTGGTTACAACGTGCTTCGGTCCGTGGCTACTGTGACACTCTTTTTCTACGCTGTTCTTTCCTGCTTTAACCTCGCTAAATTCTTCTTTCGAAAAAAACTAATTTCTTTAACACGCAATATTCTGTTGATCTAAATTACAGTAACTGGACCACACTATGTTGGTTTTACAGGAGTGAATTGTTTTTGCTTTTTGACGTGAATTCATCCGTTTGTGATGTTTCTCTCCTTGTAGGAAAAAGCTGGTACAATTTTCACTTTGGTGGACAGCTCAAAACGAGAACATTTAGGAATGTTGTAAGTTGTTTTGCCGTTGCCTAAGATTTTCATTTTTGAACCATCTGTCTGATATCAACTGAAAAAAACAAGTTGTTTGGCATATTTAATCCGAGTCTGTTATCCTAAACCCAAGGCTATGTATGTCGTGATTGCACTTTGGTTCTATCACATTCGTCGATAGACCATCGGGGGTATATTTTCATGACCACCATCCTTAATCCAAGGCAAGGCCTATGTAAGGCTGACTTTTTTCTCGGTCATGATCGTGTTTTGGTTGACATCAGCAGGAGAACGACGATCAGCAATATATCTTTTTTTTTTCCTAATTCATTGCACGCAATCATCATCCTTTACAAAATTCCCGTTCAGGTTTTACTTGCCTGTCCTCACTTGATCTGATGGAGAGCAGCAGGTCACGGACATTTAGCCCGTATGTTTTATCATTTTGTAGATCACCCCACACAACTCCATCTTAAATTCTAATACTTTGTCGCCATTTTTTTTTAGTGTTATGAGTGATGACCTACAAGGCTCCCTGTCAACATTTGCTCGTAACCTGTCAGTAATTCATCAGGAAATCTCCGCTCCAAATATGCAGGGAGAGAGTAACTTTCAGGTCATTCTACCTAATTAATACCAGACTTTGATGCACTTTAAATATTCCTCAGTTGGAAAGGAAACTTTTGGGATCTCGGACGGACAGTCAGTAGAAACGAGCGAAAGAACGTGTAAACGAAAAATTTTGTCCTGCTACCGCCATTTTTTCTGGTAGACTGTGTGGAGCGGGTAATTATGTGGAGTAGCATTTTCCGAAACGCAGTTTTTGGATCTGTGTTTGGTAACTACTGTTAACAACATGTTTCTGTAATTTCTTTCAAATTGATTGAAATTTTTCTCATTTTGTTTCTCAGGCAGCCATTGATGACATTGACTCCATCTTGGGTACAACTGAAGAGAACAAACAAAATCCTTCCATCCCTTCCACGAAATCTCCGCAACTGCACGCCCCGCGGCCCAAAGAAATGCAGCGAATACTCCAAGAACATCAACAGCAAATGCATGCCATTGAAAAAGATAAAAAGGAAATGGAAGAAGAGAAGGAAAAGCAACGACTTGCCGAGGAACATAGGAGATCAAGTCAGCTGGAGGGGAGGGTACAGACCGGTCAAAGTAGTGCCCCTCCTCCCACCCCTGCGGCTGCGATGTCGCCAGTTGGCTCAACATGCCTTATAGAGGAAACACCAGTCACTACCCGGGCAGCCTCTGTTGTTAGTGGAGTATCGAATGCGTTAACCTCTTATGAGGCTGCTCAGACATCCTCTGGGAACAACATAGCAGCTGAAAGTGAGAAAGTTTCGACCAACCCACCCCATCCCTCTGAAGATGTTTTGAATGATGGTAAAACTATTTCTGAATCAAAGAAAGAGAACCATATTGCAAGAGCTTTACCCAGTCCATCGGACCCGGCACCTAAAGATGATCCTAAGGAGAAAAAAAGAGCTTCTTCTGCAAAAACGAAGACGAGTAGTAGAACATTATCCCCTATGGAAGATGGAAATGGCAAACGGAGTATGTCAGCCAAGAAGTAATGTCAAAATACATTGGTTGTTTTGATCGATCAGTGATGCACAGTTGTATTTATTTCTTTACAGGATTAAAGTCGTGAAATAATTATTTGACAGATTTGTTGATTTTCCTAAAGAATATCTATGTGAGTTTCAATTGAAAACAAAAGAAAGAAAAAGGTAATACGGAAATTGTCGTCCTTTTTACGACATTTTCGACCTAATTTAACATTGGATATGCAGACAAGTGAGGAGGGTGTCCTCATCGAAACTACTGTATATATTCTGTGAGGTGGTATGGTTGTGTATGGATCCGTGAAATTCTTACTAATTGTTCATATAGGTAATGTTTTGGTAATGTGTTTGCGAAATAAACAACACTATGAACACCAAAGAAGATTTGTTATGTACCATCTTGCTATTAATGCCTCGAATTGTTTTAAAAGTGATGAAGAAACTTTATCAGATACTTAAACCCATGAAAAAGAACTGAATATCATCTCGTCCTTAGTAAATTGTCAAAGGAGGATCAAAATCTGGATCACAGTCTTGTTTCCATGAAAAACTCGCCCCAGGCTTTCTCCAGTAGTAGACGAACCATGACAGCGGTTGCGTTTGCTTCCCTTGCGCTAATAGGAAATGAGTCTAACAATTCTTGTATCTGTGGAACGAAAAAGCACGTAGAAAACAGCAGTATCACCCTTTGGCTACTTGATAAAACTTCGAAAGCAAAGCAGTTGTGGTAGACAAAAAACTCAAAGCAAGCGGAAAGTTTTTCGCACTTAACTTACAAATGATGCACATAGCAGAGAGCAAACCTACCTGTTGGTTGTCATCATTGCATCGCTGAGCCATTTCTTGGAGCAGATCACCAAAAGACCTCACGTCATTTGCATGACTTGGTCCTTTGCATGCACGGTCAAAGTTCATCAGCCTTGCTTGCCACTGAGGGATCTGAAACAAAAAGCGCCACAGGCTCGATGAGAGAGCTCATAATTAATTGGTGAAGAATAGGACGATCGAGGGAGAGGAGAAAAGGTAACAAAAGAGTGAATGAACTAAATTACGGAGGAAGGAGGGAATAAAAGGAAGGGCTAAAGAAGGGAATCAAAGAATTCACGAAAAAACGAATAAACGAACGTAATGTTTAAACAAAGTGAAAGAGTTAGGAAACAAATAGACGAATGAATGAATGAATGGACGGTTGGATGGCCTAGAAAATTATTGAGCGACTTAGAGAATGGAGGAATTCCCGAGGAGAACAAAGGACTAAATAGCATGAATGATATAAAGGACGCCATCAACATAGTAGTTCCGAAGTGTGACAAAATGTATTTGTTACATGGGAAGTGCCATACTCACCCCCGGATTCTCGGTTAACAAGATATTTGCAGGTGTAATGCCATTATGATTCAACCCGTTCTCATGCAGATACTCCAAAGTCTTGATGATGTCAAGGGCAAATTGATAAACCAGAGTGAGACAGATGGATGTGCGGTTCTTTTCCATGAAATTCGAGAGGGAGATTCCGCTTACATACTTGTAACAAAGCAAGCTGACAATAAAGTACAGACAAGAACAACATCAGAGGGTGAGTTTGATGATTAAAAATAGCGTCTCTTAGTAAGGAAGAAGAGCTTTAAAAGTTGTAAATTTAGAACAAGGGATGGGAAGCTTTTCCTTTGCCATTTTTGAATGAGGCCGTTTGATCCTTCTTACTACAGGCTGAATAATCGCTTCCTTTTGAAGGAGAGAGAGATTTATATATATCTTTACATATTTGCTACTCAAAAATGTTGAATACGATGTTACTGACGATAATTGAGGCCAGATTTTTGGAGATGATCTCAAAGTTCACATTTATAATGACCATCATCTACCGGATCAGCACCTGTACACTTTTTACTAATTGTAACCAGGACTGTCGTTATTAATACCTAGATCATAACGTCATCCTTATCATTTCGGGAATTGTTATCATTATCATAAATTCATATTCTCTATTGGACATTTTTGAATGTTGAAAAAGATGCTGAGACTGTGAATTTCGGATGAGTATGAAAAAGCTCAATTTTTGTGGAACCAAATTGATTCTCAGGCACACTAATCTCATTCATACCTCATATTCTCATTGGGTCGCGGAACATCTTCATTCGCACAAGATATTTCCAAAACGTTTGCTGAAGAGGAAAGAAATCATGCACTGCAATTCTGGAGAATAAGATTGAATTGATTTTGCTCTTTGCTTACTTAAAGTCGTTAAAAATAGATAGAGAATAAGAACTGTTTTAAATGGAAAACAAACTGTTGTGTTGTGTTTGGGAAAGGTGACAGGTTTTCCTTCTACTTTTGAGTTGGTGACCAGATACACTTGTTACATTCAATTTCTCTGCTGCTCGTTACATAACAGAAACATTTCAAAATTCCCCATGTAATTATCTCTATTTTGGCCACCTTTTCTTCTACATAGCTATATAACTACGTAACTATACTTTTTACCTTCCGAGTACCACTGAAGAGCAGGAATGTCATTTCTGACCGCGCTTTGAGGTAAACATTTATACACTTCAAGTTCGTTCTCAAAAGTACTCCTTTTTCTCCAGCTAAAGCATTTCAGCAACACCTTGAAATTATTTCCTTTTGTCATTTCCTTAGCAATGAGATAGAACTATAAAAAAGAGATGTAATTGTGAAATGTTTCTTAACCAGTAACACAATAACATAATAGCCAAGCGGAGGTAAATTTGAGAGCTTCAAACGGGATTTAATTCTGTATTCTACGATGCATGTGCAAATGTTTTGGTCCACTGAGCTAAGTTTTAGATTCTGGTTAAGAAACAAACAATTCGTGTTTGTCAGATGGAAATCTTGCATGCTGCTATGGTAGATGCTTTTTCTGAGGAGCGTTTGCGCAGTGAAGGAAATGAAGATGGCCTTGTTATTCAAGTGATTGAGGAGCTAAAACAGCTAAAATACAAGCAGAAAGGTTGACATACCACATCATCATCTTGATAAAATCCTGTAGCTTTCTCCAGTATATGTAGCTTCCTCCGCGGACTTTCAACTGATTCCATGTGGCGATACTCCGAGACAACTGTATCCTGCATGGATAAACTCTCGGTGGGCTCTCTTTGGTAACAATTGCCGCCTATCAAGAAATATTAAAATTTAATCAGTCAATATGATTCTCTTTATATTCATTGAGCTGACATATTTTTGCAACGATACTGAACTCAATTATCCGTCGTTGCCATATCACTGATTTATAAATATATGATATTACCATCTGGAGAAGCGAGAAGCGAAGGAATGTTGTACTTGAGACAAAGGACACATGTTCTGTGGGAATTTTTCAAGGCTTGTCATGTGCTCTGCCCATTACTGGCAAGTCGGCAAGTGCGCAGTAGTGTGCTTGGTTTTTTTTAAGGGTCAGGTGAATCAAGCATTTTTGAAAACGGCGAATTGAAATTTGCTGTATCGTGTGATCCTTTGTGAAATTTATGTCAAAGTGGACCTTCACAGCAGCCGATGTACAGAATAGGCCACACTTGTTGTAAATTTGCAGTGATACCCGTTTGATTCGGATTGGTAATAAGCTAACGCTTTAAGGACTTCTCCTGTAAAATTTACCTCTATACGGTTGAAATTATGAAACCAATTCTAGCTCCCTACTACTTACGACTGTTATTCGGTTAAGACTCAAGGTGGTCTTTACTTACAGCTGAACTTTCCGCCAAATCTCTTATTGAATGCAGATCTTAATTTTCTTCGTACTCCTAGAGTGGAGAAGGTGTATAGGATTGGGTTGATGGCAGAGTTGACGGGCAGAACAAAAACTGCTATCCAAACTTTTGCTTCGTGTTTCGGATCATGAAAATTTCCACTTAAGGATAGAATACCGATAATGATAACTGGCATCCAGCAGAGAAAGTCCGTCAAAACTATGAAGAAAAGTCTTCTGGCTCTGGTTGACTCAGCTTTCAGGTGCTTTACTGAGGAAGAGTTAATTAGAGTCAAAGCAGTCCAGAATATTAAGGCATAAGCAGTCAGAATACACAGTAACACAACGGAATTCAAAACGATGAAAAATGCCGTAGCATATTCCCATCCTGCAGGTTTATCCTCTGAGAACTGAAGCGGCAGGCAAACTGCTGAACTTCCAAAGAAGCCAAAACTATGGAATTTGTCATGGAAATAGGATATTCCTGTCCAGGGGATAAACGATATAATGATTCCAATTATCCATATACAAGAACAAATAATACGCACTGATTTCAATGATAAGGACTGCAGTCTCAGGGCAAATACGACACTTATAAGCCTGTCTATTGTTATAGTTAATAACATGAGAACAGACACTTCACTTGAAAGCATTGAAAGTGAGCCTGCGAATTGGCAGAGGTTTCCTTTTCTCCATGCAACGTCATGTTTGAAATATTTGCCTTTCCACTGAAGATCTTGAATGGCGATGATTAACAGGTATACACCCATCAAAAAGTCTGCGCAGGCTAAGTTAGTGAGTACAAAAGACTGAACTTTGTTGTCATCTCGAACACGAATCCTCCAAATGATCACCAATAAGTTGCCGATGAAGGCAAGCAATCCAAGGATCCAAATACACATGCGCAGTCCGTCGTTTTTCATTAAATCGTCACAAGTCGAGAACGCTCTGTCAGGTGACTGGCATTTAAGGTTTGGAATGGTACTCATTGCGTAACAACATATGATGAATTGATCGAGTTTCCTACAAAAGATAATAGTTTGTATATAAAGGTCTGGGATTAAATTTTATGTGACATAATTTTGCTTGTGAGATATAGAAAGAAAACTAACAAACAACAAATTGAGACAAGATATAACAACTAAGTTTACAATTGCAACAATACATATTTTGTTCTGTCGAGAGAAAATGAGAGGATGAAGAGGAACAGTCAGGATGTTCACAGGAGCCTGTCGATTGTATCAAAGTTAGTTCAGTTATGCAAATGCAGACGAATGCAAAAGTCTCTTGTAGTCCACACTAAGAATGCATCTTTCTTATCGACAAAACTAATCTCGTTTTTTGTGTTATGTTGCTTTCGATGAGAATATAGGTCGAGTTAGCTTTCTTGAAGTTCATGATACGGGCGGGAGTTCGTAAAACAGACTTCTGTACGAGAGACAATCGAATACCAATGAGTAAACAAGGTCTGGGCAAGTAAGCGTCTCTCCTTCTCCTCTTTTTTCTTGCTTCTTAATATGGCTTACTGATTTAAGCCGCTCTTATATCGGCGAGTTTTCTCTTGGCAATGAAGATGGACGAGTTGGTAACCAGTCCCAGTAAAAGAAGGCTTTTCAAGTACAAACGAATGTAGGTTGGCTTGAAAAGGTTGCTTAAACGGAAACTGGAAAGGTCTTAAATAAAATGCTAGCCCTGCAAGTACACGTGACCTCCTTCGCAGCCGTTCTATGAATGTCGTGCAACACACCCCACTCAAGAAGCTTCTTTTTCGAGTGCTCTTGAAAATATCCATTTATTTACTACTTTGACGATCAAAAAATTGTCAAAGTAAATTACTCAAGTGTGATTGCGACATTATGTTGTGCTTGTTCCAGTTTATTTTGTTTTATCAATTGAGCTGATTATGTAAATTGACCATCGTAAAGAGTTTGTAAGCTGACGTTTCGAGCAGTAGCCGAATTCGTTAGAGCGAATGGCGATGTGGCCAATTTACATTATCAACCTAGCTGATCAAACTAAAATACCCTGTAACACCCCCACCGACGCAGCATCACAGCTTCTTTAGGAACTTACCCCCTTTAACCTATTATTTCAGTTTGAATGCGTGAAGATGATCTATATTTTCTGTTTGTATAGTTGACTTAAACAGTTGAAATTATGGAGAAAACCACACTAGTTTTTTCCTTACTAGATCTAATCTGCTAAAATGTCATAACTATCAAAAATTAAACAACAATCAGAAGACCTTACAATGTTTTGAGGCTTGTCAACTCGTCGAAGGTGTCAGGATCAAAATCTGACTCTGATAGTGGGTTTCCATTGAGAAAACTGAAGATAGGAAGGAAAACAACGGATTCTTTTAATTTTTCAATAAAGTCATGTCCGGTCAAGTCCAATGAAAAGTGTTATTGAGATGTAAAGTTCCCTTTTTATTTATTATCACGACCCATCATTCCACTATAACGACACTTTACCCTATTGGCTCAATAAAACGAGTATAATATTCGACAGTTTCGCACCATAGAATTAGTAAACTGAACGGACGGAAATTGGACCAAAAAAAAGGCCGCACCAAACGATTCCAACGATTTGTTTACGTCGTTTGGGCACGACATATTAAGCGATGAACTTTCAAGTAAACGGATTTTTTTCTTGTTTTCCATAGAGGACATTCAATGATGTATTTTGTCTTTCGCGCGCACCTTACGCGTTCGACACAATTTTCAGATAATGCCTTAGTATGTATTTCGAAAACTAAAAATGAAAGGCTAGAAATTAAAGTAAGATTGATATAGTAATGATAGGAGGAGATATTTTCTCACCGCTCATATTTTTCCTCGCACGAGGCTAAGAAAAAATTTTCTAAGGAAACTAACATAAATATGAGGAAACATTGAATAAGATGTATTTTTCCAGCCTTGCCTTGCGCGTAAGTGGGAATCTGAGTAACTTATTTAATTTTATTATTTCGATTGAGACAAGAATATGCTACTTACAGTGTCTGTAATGAGTGAAGTCCACTGAATGTTTCTCGCCGAATGTTTGTTAATTCATTATCGTGAAGATAACTAAAATTTGAGGGAGAGATCGAGATATATGTTGAATGTCGGTTTATCAGTTTACCGTAAGGAAGACTGGAGCAAAGTTACATATATAGGAGTTTCACTGCTATGACCTCGTCAGGCCATAAGAACAACATTAAACTTTAAGCTGCTTAGAGCTGACCCGGACTCACGACAACACTTGGGTATATAACTGCTTATCCCTGTTCTCCAAACTGATCACGTTTTTCATGAAACCTCTTTCTTTCTTTCATTTATGAAACTCAAATCTGAAAGAAGATTTTATTTGTAGCAAATTGAAAAGATTGGTATACTCACAGAAAGGTCAAATTTTTCAGGCCTCGAAATGCATCAGCTTCAATTTTGTGAATCTTATTAGAACGCAAACCTCTGCTCAAGACAACACAAAGTTAGAAAATAAGAGAACTGTTTTGATGAGTACTACATCAGAATCGAAATGAAACAAAAATACACATTTAAAGATGTGTAGCTTACAAAACTTTCAACTCTTTTAGTTCTTGAAATACTCCTTGGCGAATTTCACGAAGTAGGTTTGATCCCATATCCCTGTGTTAAGAAATAAGAAGGGTTTTTCCAACCTTTAACTCCTTAAAGTCAGAATTTAAAGCAGTTCTGAAATAGTAATTCGTGGCGACCACAAAGATGCTCTTCATTCACGAAATTGAATGCAAGATCACTGGAAACAAGAAGTAATATAATACACGATTACCACACGTTTAATTCTGACGAGATGCTTTGGTGAATAATGAACACCTGGTAAACAGTCGAATAGTTTGTTTACATAAGATAATTTGTCAGACAACTTTAACCCTTTGAATCCCCGAGTCACACGCTCAGGTCAAGCAAATAAAGCCGGAAATGATCACTAACTAAAGAAACTCGAGCTCCTGATTGCTAAACAAATCCTCCTTGTCGGCACCTTAGGAATCGTATAGAGAATGGTGTGGAGAATATGCACACTGATGTTAAGGTGTAAAGGGTTAATGTGTATCTAACAGCTGTGTCCTCACAGTGTGTGAAGTTTGGACAATCCTATGAAATTCTCTCTTGTCACTTGCTCAAGGAAGTTCCCATTCAGTCTCCTGAAATTTTTAAAAGATATCGGGGTTCGTTAGACATTATATCATTTGTATTTTTGTTCGGGCTTATTGTCTTACATTATGACAACAGGAAACTATGAAGAATTAGAATAATTGATCGAAAACGTTTCCATAAAAAGATACCTATCATTAGTTTTGTCGCCAAATAAACATTAAGTATAATGTAAAAAGGTCAAAAAGGGAGAATTCAAAAGGGCTAACGGTTTGAAATCTGGAGCTTGGTTCCGAGCTCTTGGCATTTGTTGTTTCTTGGGTAAAAAACTTTACTTTCAATGTGTCTCTCTTCAGCGTTTAGTCTCGATAGGAACTGATAAGCAGACCAAATGCTGGAAGCTACCCTGTCCTGGCACTGACATCCCGTCCACGAGAAGTGGACGGGATGTCAGTGCCAGGACAGGAAAATCTTGGAAAATCTTTGATATTAACCCGACTTATTCTGTTTTCACCAAACAGCCTGAAAAAGGAATATTATCATATACTTAGAAGTGTTAAGTACATTACGGTTCGACATGATTTTAAAAATAAAGTTATGCAACTTACAGTGTCTTTAAAGCGGTGAGTTTCTTAAACGGGGAATTTTCCATGTCGAGTATAACATTGTTACTGAGGTCTCTGTGGAGAATTTTTGCAGTTAGTACCCTGAGATGCTAGAGCAAGATAAAGTGCAACAGTAAGATCAAACTTACAAGTATTCCATGAACTGGAGTCTTGGAAAATCTTTGATATTAACCCGACTTATTCTGTTTTCACCAAACAGCCTGAAAAAGGAATATTATCATATACGAATATTAATAAACAAAAACGCGCTCTTGATCAACTTCATCATCCTCTCTTCCGTTCAATACTCACACGACTGCTGTGGTTTCTGGATAATGACCTGGTAAAGAAACCAAAGAGTCACTCTTTACCAGCACCTTGACGTCACTTCCAGGTAATCTCGCACAAGTGCAGCCTCGAGGACAACCTTATAGGAATGTTAAGGAGCCATGTTATTTAGTGAATGTGATAAGGAGATAAAATTGTTCATAGATATTTGTCCTCACCTTCGATGCAAAAGGTTCTTTTTCCTGAAAAATGAGTAAGAAGAACTGCTGTTTTAGGATTGTATCTAATTAACTTGTCATTCAGAGAAATACCTTGCATAACTATAACCTGGAGAATCGGTTTTGACAGGTTTAAGCAAATAATCAGCAATTATAAATCAAGGATCACTATTCGAGTTAGAGTAGCCTTCTACATCTTGGCAAACTCTCTCAAATCAATTAAAGTCACTTTTTAGAATAAAGGGGCTACTTAAAACGCTGGACGTTGCGTATCTCCTCTCATGTGCCAATTAAATCTTCTCCTAAAAGCGTATTTATAAGAATCTCTAAAGGAAAGATAAGCTCCAGAAACCAGAGACAGTCAAACCTGTATTAATCGGTCACCCACGGGGAATGGCGATGTGAACAAATAATATTTGTCGAACGCTTAATAAAGGTTCCACAGAATAGAGGTAATATAAAAAACGGTTCTAACTTTATGCCATAGTTGACCACTTAATTTTCAAAAACACTTCTTACATTGATTTCGGAAGAAAAATATGAATAAAAGTTTGCTTAAAAGATTATTCTTAGTTTCAGTTGAGAAGTTCCGCATTAAGTGATCGTTTATTACAGGCGGAAGACAATCCAACCTTGAACAGGCCGTTGAGACTCTCAAAGCTGACCACGACCGTTTTATAGTGCACGTGGCGACCGCTAAATAGAGGTGAAAATTACGGGGATTTAGGGGAAACAGATTTGTGACCTTGAAAACCGACTGCTTCATAAAGGGTGACCACTTAATATGGTGCCGCTTGATATAAGTTCGACTGTATCCTTTATATCAGACATAAGAGAGTGAAGACGAATTTACGATATTGGTCCTTTAACTCGCATGAGTAACCGCCCCAAAAATTCCTCTTTACAACATCATTACAATACCAATCATACAAGTGACGAGAATGTAGAAAATCCTACAAATTGTAGCAAAGCCAAGAGAATATAAACTCTTGGCAAAGCTCAATGGGTTACGTCTTTTAAACTATCTGCTAAAGTAATTAAGAATAATTAAACCAGTTGTGCTATTTCAGGAAGCGTTTTTTTCCCTCTGGAAGTAACCCTTTCTTTAGCAGCATAACCCTTTAAATAAGGGGATTTTCAGTTGATCAAATACCAAATTCTCCAAAGTTACATCATGAGAACTGTATAGCAGACAGTAAGAATAATTACTAAAAAGATCTTAAGAGTAGAAGGGTTAAAATTCCATAGAGTAACCTAGCCTATACACAAGAGCGAAGGGCTGACGCTCGAAATGTTAGATTTGAAACCCTTTACGGTGGCCAATTTACATTATCAACTCATATGATAAAACCAAATTATCTTGTTTTTACAATTGAAAACTAAATGAAAAGGTAGATCGAATCAACAAAGGATTTTTTGCTACAACCAGAGCAGCAAGTATTTGTAAACTTTGAGCTTGCACTGCCAAGTGAATTGTTTAATTTCAAATGGCTACATTCAGAGTCAAGTTTTAAGAATATTTTCGGACAATTTCCAAAAGATAAAGTTACACTTTAAAATCTAATGAAAGGAAGTTTCAGTAAACTTGAGCATGTATTTTTCAAGCTGAGAAAATACTTTGCGGCTGAAAGAGATAAAACTAAAAGTATGCTAAGAACTACACTGCAAGTCTTACCTGGTTTAGTAGTGTAGTTCGCTTTGAATCCTGTATTTATGCCGGCTTCATTTGCCCTGAATATTATTGTTAAAGTGTTCGAAGATGATTCTATCACTTGTGGGTATGTATGGCCACAGTATTTCCCTATAGTTCGTGACCAGTCATTTCCACCGTCGCGAACTTCTACGTAGTCATTAGCACACGTGGGGTGAGGCTCAATCGCGAATGACTGAAAATGGAGACGTATGGTGCGATTCTCCTCAGTGGTCACGTGCCAACTGCATGTCACGTTGTTTGGGTAATATCCGGGATATAGCGGTGACACAATAAATCCGAAGCTTTTTGCTAGAGTTTGTCTGCAAGCTTAAGGCAATACAATGATAGTGACACTGATATTGATTGTGATAGTAATCATAATAATACTTATACTATTGATAGTAATGATGATGATGATGATGAAAATAGTAATTATAATAAAGGTAAAAATAATGTTGGTATGCAAAGCCAAGAGAATATAAACTCTTGGCAAAGCTCAATGGGTTTCGTCTTTTAAATTATCTGCTACAGTAATTAAGAATAATTAAACCAGTTGTGCTATTTCAGGACGCGTTTTTTCCCTCTGGAAGTAACCCTTTCTTTAGCAGCATAAACCCTTTAAAGTAAGTTGGTATTCATCAATGTTCTGGTTAATGATAAGGTTCACTGAACGACATTTTAGTCAGAGGTTTCCTCCCTCGTGGATTGCATTTTTTCTGGCAGTATAGAGAAAAAGGAAAGTGGCGCCAGTCGATGGAACCTTTCAAAGAGAAATTTCGTGGTTCCCTTTTGATTCTTATTCTTAATTAATGGTCAATCTTATACCTTTCTGAGCTGTTGACGGTTGAGGCGAGCAGTACGTCTCATGTGACATCACAATACCTCCAAAGGCAAGGTAACCTGGCTTTCCATCCAGCTCGCCGACAATACTCAACTGTAAGTACACGACAGGAAAAAAAAAAAAAACCTTTCGTTTTGTTATCATTCGATTCGCAGGCTCTAGCCATCAGTGTAGAGGTGTAGTGACGATTAAAATTGCCAGTTCAAATGAAGAACCTTAAGTAATTGAAGAAATTATTAATTAAGTTTCGGATAATTTTGGTCGAGCTGGTAGGTTCCAGTAGTAAAAAGGCGGCCAATAGGTCTACACATGTAATAGGTAACAACTGGGCAGAAAAGTTGCTTTCATATGAGAATTGCTTTCCTCTTAAAAAGCTCGTTAAAAGCGATATTAGTCCGAAATGAAAGGTAAACTGAGTGAAAAAACTACACCACGAAGAGTAGAAATTGAGGTGAAAAAATTGGTTTTCATTTAGAATCAACGTAGTTTTAAAGTTCTCTGTAGAAACGAAATTAAAGGATCTCTTAAAGGAACTAAATTGCGAGCCGGAAGTGACCTAATACTAAGAAAGGTTGCAGAAAAAAAAATTGAATATTTTTCGTTCTTATTTCAACATACCCTTTAAAAACTATATGCAGCTTTGTATGCAACACCTATGTCACAACAGTTTGTTTTACTTCTTTACTGTTCATAATTAGTTCAAAATGTTATGCTCACCCGAAAAATGGAAGTTGTACTAATTGATGTTTGCCCGTAATGCCAAAGGCTGCTTGAAAATCTAGCTCCTTTGCCGTCGTCCCAGATTGGCTGCCTTTCAAATCCATATTGCGTCTCTTGATAAATCTTAAGCGACTTCACCCCACGACCTACCATTTTGTACTTAAATCTCAAACATTTGCCGAACGCTTTTTCAGACTTGGGCAGCCATGGACTTACAAATGTTGCAGTCTTCTCGCCAGTGACGACAGGATTGCCTCTCATAACAAGGGTTGGTCCTTTAAAACCAATGAAATATGAATTGATAGTCGTTACACTTTCATATAGCGGCATATAAACCCCAGTTCGAAACTTCATGTTTAGAGTAATTTTAAACTTTTGTAGTGTTCTGATCTATACAGGCTTAACATACCTTCATACGCTATTGTATGATTAAAATAATATATTTCATGATGTATAAAAAATATAGAAGAAAATACACAAAAATGACGACTGTACAAGTGTATAGTAGCTTGTATTGATCTGCATTCAGGAACTCAAATAACAATTTTCCTTCATTTTTGACAATTCGATACTCTGTTATTGAGAAAAAGTAACTCAAATCAATTATATTACTATTAGAAGCTAGGAAGCTACCATTGGAAGCTGGGATACATTTTTTCTGGTTTATATTAAACGGATCGCAATTAATAGTATATGTATACTTATTTTGTGCGACATACAGTTAAGTGTACCCCGAACTGAAAGTTAGATCCTAACTCACCGTTATGTTCATTGCATATGGAGGACTTCTCCTCCTGAAATTTTTCCTTCATCTTCTTTCTTACAGCCACCCAAGATAAAATATCGCCCTCGTCTTTACTACACCCATATGACATATGAATTATTTCATCTTTCGTCATAGAATAACTCCAAATATTGAAGTTGCTAATCTTGGCAAATATTTCAGGGTTGTGACTTGTTTCCATCAAGCTGATTGAGATTCTTCCAGAGCCTGTCAAAAACGAAACTTTCAGTAATTAAAAGGGAATCAAATTTGAACTTGATTTGATTTTTAATGTCTTAATAATTTCAATTTAATTTCATTGATTTCATAAGCCTCTTTCTTGCTGTTGCCAATAATTGTGAACGAATCTCACATTTAATCAGATCCATTTAAAAATCATTAAAACAAGACACGGATTGATTCAACACCCTTGAGAATAGATTCAACTGAAAAAAACTTTTTGACTTGCCTCGACAGAATTTGGGCTGAGTGCTAACGAAATACTTGCGTTCATTTGTAGTCGTAAGAATTCGTCCATGTTATTATAATTAAACAAAGAAATATGCATTTGAAGTGCAAAAGATATACTTTCTACATAAATATCTTAGCGTATCATTTCCCAATCACCCGGTATTGCTCTCATAGTTGTAACAGGTTCAGCTTTTATCGTAACTCCTGCTGCTTTTCCATCCTTGTATACATGCCATTGCCGTAAACTTAATGTCCACGTGACGCACAAGTGGTACCACTGACCATAATTAACTGGCAAATTACTTCCTCTGTCATGGGAAGAAAAAGTTTTAATTCTTAGATATCGTGCATGAATGAGATATGATAAGAATAGCGAATCACATATTTATAGGAAAAATATCGAGGAAATACTTGTATCAGATCACAAATCGCCTGTGCAGAAAAACTTTGCTCCGTAGGAATTGGATAGATTTTGCTGACAATCAAATATTGAATTGCATTTAATGAAAGTTAATGTTACCAAAGTAAATTATTCTTTTCATTGTTTTGCATTCAGGATTATCCTTTGACATTGGTAGTCACGGTAAGGTATTATGACAAAGACAGAATTATCGTAGGAGGGAGGGAGGGGATACTCGGGTCACTATTTGCTGGGCTTGTGCCGCTGGCCTCGTAGAAGCCCTACCCTATTAAAGTCTATTCTGAGGCCACTTATAAATCCTATCTTAGTCAATCTAGGGCAAGTTTCATTTCCTTGCTGGCAACTCTATTAAGCATCTATCTTTCCCTCTGACGAAGGGCCCACGCTCGAAACGTCAGCTTTGGTTGAAATTCTTGACGGTGGCCAGTGTACGTTATCAAAATCAGCGTAGAAACCTTTAAGTAGGTCATCCTTTTATCAACTGACACATTTTTTAAATGGAATGTAAAACACGTTACTCTATATAGAAAATGCAACCCAATTATAACCAATCAAATAGTACCACCCCATCCATCCCAGCAGCACATTTCCTTTATACAATTACTAGGAAGTACCCCTCCCACCCCCCCTCCCCCCTCTAGATTTTTCAAATACTAATTGAAATTTCATTTTGCTTACATTGTGGTGTTTTTCATAAACGTAATCTCCAAGGTATTCTTGCTCGTCAAACTTAATCCAAAAACCTTCTCATCATCTGAGGTAACACGATATTCTAACTGCAGACTGGACTTGGTAGCTAACCATAAGCATAATGTCATCGCAGTCAAGGGTGTGTCGTTCTTAATATCTATGTGACTCTCGTCTCCAACTCGCAAGCTGATGACGATGCTTTCTTGTTTTTCTTTAAAGAGAAGAAGTATTTACTTGCTTCAGTACATTCACGTGACTCATTTTATACCGATGAATGAAGGTAAAATATGTCCGAAAAATCTGAACTCTATGATTTATACACCAACTTGAACATTCGAAGTCGTGTAAAAGACGGCTGAAATAACAAAGACAAGTACGAAAAAGTTTGACATGATCGACTAGTTTGTTGCAGGTAAGTAGTTGCAGCTCGATTAGATGTTTCCAAAAGTATTATACTTTGAAAAAAACTACCTCTAATCGAGAGAACAGGTCTTTTGAAATTATAAACAATTTCCCTGAGATCCGTCAGAACTAACGTTTTTAGTCTATGATTTTTGCCGTCATATAGGCGATTGGTTGCATTTCTTTTCTTTTCTATAGTACTTTGTGGTCTTTCCAATTCCCTAACCTATCGCTTTCTTGGCTGAATTGTTCCTATTGTGGTTGAAATCGTCGTCAAGGCGTTTCATCTTATCAGCAGTAAAGAGGTCCCAAGTGGAATGCAGCATTTCATTTTTCCAGCTCCACCATTCATCGTGTTGGTGATGCTCTTTTCCTCCTTGGACAAAAACCAAAACACTTCGTAAACTCTTATTTGCTTATAACTTGATAACAAAAAAAACAACGAAAATGACATTAAAAAGAATGAAACCCAGAAAAGATGTATATAACGGAAACCTTTTCCATCATATCCACAATATCGTTGATCACAATACACAGGAGCAGCCAGTTTGTAAACGAAAAACTCGCCACAGTTTTTTACTTTTATTTTTAGCCGCCATCGACACTTTGTACTACCCAGGACAAAACAGACATTTCGTGATACCACGCCGTCTTCAACGGTTGGGTGAACTCCTTCCATCCATCCAGGATATCTGGCTCCACAACGTCGAAAAGGAACCTGCTTCTCGGGGAGCTGAGTTCCTGCTGCGCCAGTAATTCTGTACCAGCGGTTGAAGTCTAGAGTATCATCACATTTGTCCGCTGTTGCCGAGTAGTTCACCAGTCTATCGGCAGTGTTGAGGGTTAAATAATTAGAACATTTAACAGAAGCTGTAAAGGCAAAAAAAAAAAGCGAGAGTTGAGGTTCGCTATCATAATTTCCTATGATAGCTAGTAAATAAAATTTTAACCGAGAACATATGAATGGAGTTAAGTATATAATCATTCTTGAAGTTTTGATCATCAATTACCTAGAGAAAACCCAAATCGCCAAACAACGGAAATATCGAATACAACGAAATTACAGCAAGCCTCGAGGAGAATAAATTATCTTTTTTTCCAACAAAGTTAACAAACTGTCCTTGCACATGATCTCGATCTTCATTTTCAACTTCAGTAATTATGTATGCAGAAAAAGAGAGAGCATCCTAACTTCTCAGAAATAGTGGCCTAGCAATTAATTATTTTGGTTTGACTTTGACTGTAATGTGATACAATTTTTTTTTTGCGTGTTTAGTTCATTGTGGTTACTTACGTGCAGTCTCATTACAAATCTCGTTAGAAAACGAGATGTCATCGATCTTTATAGTCGCCTGATTTTGCTGTTTTGACCCCAGAAAAACGACCTCAAATAAGACAAAAATAGAAGGAAGGTATTTCATCTAAATTTAGATAACGGCGAGGAAGGCTTCTATTGAGTTAACACTGTATATTACTTCAAGCAAGAGAAGTATAGTTCTCCGCGAGTAATTTGGTATATGATGTCTGATGCAGAGAGTTGGGCATTGAGAAGCGGCTGGTCTTCAAAAATTAAGGTGCATCGCAGGGAAATTAAATGTTTATTGCTTAAATTCTTCGTCTCAAATTAATGCAGACCTCAATAATGCTGAGAGGCAAAGTTAAAATATTGTTAGATTTAGCTCAATATCTTGATCGTAATAACTAGGATTGACCTCTGTTCGTTACCTGGAATTTACTACCGGCTCTTTGTAACGGAAGTTGAATAAACGTCCAAGTTGGAGTTTCTTCGTCGACAGACCAAAGCGTTGACGAAGAATTTGAATCAGAATTGTTTACCAGCAGCTTTAAGGATCTCCTGAAGTATTCTCCTTCACTTTTAAACCAGAATCGAATGCATCTGACTTGAATAGAATCAATGAATGGACTCATCAGCTTTCTGTATAACTCTTTGCTACTCTGAAGAAACAAGTATTTCTCTGTAAAGTACAAAGCAAAGGAAGAAGATGCAGTTAACAGAAGATATCAAAAATGAGGGTGAGAATAACAAGTTTCAAAAAAACGGGTTATCGGTGGTCTGCCACCGCCTCTCTTATCGCTGTCTGTTTAGCCGGCGAGCAGGCTCTCCTGTTTGAGTCTACTTTTCTACATGTGCTTTCACACAAGTGAGTTAGAGCCAGTAAGGGGGTCTTGAAACGACAGCCTCCCCGCAAGCCACTGATTTTTGTATTTCCTGCGTATATTCATAAACGTAGCTTTCTGGCTGGTCAGGAATGACTGTAAAATCACAGAGGTGTGAATAAAAATTGAACAGCCCTCTATTTAATTCTAGAATTCCAGAATTTACGTTTGCGAGCTTCAAGATTTCAATTTTTCCTTGGGTAGCATGCCTTCAGACCCTCCTTAGGGAAAGGAGCCTCACAGCCTCATTTCTGGGCTTAGCTGTCTATTGCACCATCGCCAACCGCTTATGGAAAGAGAAAGCCCTGCTGAAAATGTTCTTAATGTTCTGTTAACTTTATGCTGTAACTTGTTATGATTTTGTCAGATCTGTGGACAGCGAGTGAGTTTATGTTAAGGATCCACGACTAACCTGCACCGTGAATCTTCCAGTCGGGATCTCCAGTCCAGCCACACATATCTTCACTAAAATCACAATCAGGACTCACTGGGAAAGAAGCAAGAAACAGAATTGGACTCTTTTCTGGAGAGTTTCCAGTACGGTTATCAGTCGTTGAGTTGATAAATTTTCGTTTCTTTTCAAAGGTAATTTTTACAGTGAACACACCATACAGTCTTTAGTTAGCTTACAATCACGAAAATGGAAACCAGTACAGAATAAATTACTTGTTCATCTTACCTTGGTTTGATATATGAGTGCAAGAGCCGTCTATTACACTTAGATCGTCCAATGCAATGTCCCCCTCAAGGCCATTACCAACTTGGGCCTCGATCACGAACTGTCCAAAAACAGTCGTACAAAAAGTGAGTGAATTTTACAGTTGAATTGGTGCTCTCGACAAAATTCAAACTATAGTAGAGTTTCGGGCATGGAAGTTTCAATTTATTTCTTCTCTAACTTGGATAAAAAAGATGGTCTGCGGAACATTAAGAAGAAAGTGAAAACGAATGAGGGTCTCAATGAGGTGATGGCTTTTACGGCTAACGGTTAAAATTTTGGCCATTTTACTGCAAACCGGTTGACTTCCTTCTTTTGTGACTCGAAGAGGATTCGTAAGTTTAACTTTTTTAATGACTAACGGTTTTTTTTTTGCCGTTTTACGACTAACAAAGAACAAAACACTTTGACCCGGACAGGTATTGAACCCAGAACACTAGAAACTGAGTCCAGTGTACTAATCATTAAGCTTCCGCATCTCTCTGATCTGTACACTTGCCGTTAACGCCCAAAATCTGATACGTCTAACATAGTTAATCTCTTCGTCATTTGCCCTAACTTCCTTAATTAATCATTACTATGCATGAGGATTGCCGAGTCACGCACCACCTCATTTCCAATACCTATACCTTGTATGGACTGTCATTCTGAATAGTAGTCTGTGCAAAGATCCATCTATCTCCATGATCCCTCGACCCCTGCTGCCAAACTGTTATCTCCGAGCGCTTTGTCTTAAGGAGGATGTTTAAGGCTCCAATGTGTCTTCCGTGCATGTGATACCAGAACTGCAAACATGCAGGCTCTTTTGGTATCAACCAGTCGCTGATGAGTCGAGCTCGGTCCCCCGAGGACCGCTGTGAAGCCTCAATAAAAATGTATATACCTGAAATATTGCAAAATTGTTGGACTGTGTTTGATATGGCATCCGACGAGGATACAACCATGCAAAAGGAGGATAACTCGTTATTTTGTAGCATTCAAGTGTCAGTTTTTAAGTCCGGGTGATTCCATTCTTCAAGTTACAGAGTGACTGATTCGTCTCCAAGATTCTACTCTAGATTTTCTATACTCTGCCTTTTATCAGATTGTTTACTTCCCGTAACTAGATACTCCATTACAAGACATCGACACTGGTGTCAGTTCAAAAACTTGAGACTAACGCAAGTTGAAGGTAAAATTATTTTCTATTATAGATAATCAATGCTAAAGAAATGCTAAAATTTCGCACAAAAATACTAGGTAATAAAGGAAACTAACGTGATTTACACAATAAAACAAGATCAGTTGTTAAAGTAGCAGGAACAGGGCAAATAGGGTTTGTAGACTTGGGCCCAGGGAAGGAATCTATGATACCGACGGATCCCTAATGAAACCCTAGTGAAATCCCTAACGAAATTATACTTTTTTGCTGTTTCCTAGTTGCAAAAAAAGCTGGTTAATGGAGTATTCGGTTTGAAATACAATGGAACCTTTTCTACCCGCCAACTCTAATTTTCACAACTTTATGACAACTCGCTTAAGTTGACAATGCTTTCTATCGCAAAAGATGAAGTCTATAGTATTAAAGGCGAACGTCACAAGAAACTGACTTCTGACCTCTTCTGAAAGTCAATATTTTGTATTTTTGGAGATGTTTTATAATGTGTTTCGTATACTATATGTCACAACAGGCATTTTTTTTCTAAAGTGTTGAACTAGATGTTAAAACGGGTCATATCCCCCTTCAAGGGGAACCTCAACCTACTAAGATAGGCAGGCAGGGAATAACTGGCTACTTGAAATGAAGAGAAATAAAATAAAAGTTTGCATCAATTTTATGTAACGTCCTCTAATAGATAGTTTACCTTTTTTTGAGAATGTGGTGTGATCACTACTGGGACCAGTGTTGAGTGATGGGGTTTTTCCTGAGCCATAACTCCACTGGAACTCCATGCTGATATCACTAGATAACCCACATAAACCATTTTCAAAGCCACAGTAGCCTGAAAACAAATTTTATTTAATAAGACTATTTTTTAATCCTCCTTTCTTTGAAATTTTGTTCACTGACACAAAAAAGTAGCCCAGAACTAAGTATTTTTGGCATCTTCGTGCGATGAGGCTAATGTTTCCTTTTTTTTTTTGAGATTTCTGTAAAACCAAGATAGACTTCACTCCCCAGTTTTAGCGAAGAGAGCCTCACGCGGGAGGTGTGATTGAAGGCGGTCTGGTCAGCCGATTTAACTCGTTGGTTTCAAGGAAGAGAGGATTATTTCTAATCTCGCCAAGAAAAACAAGTTTTTTGCTGAGATAAACAAGTACATATAATACCTCTAAATGAAGAACACTGCCGCTTTGTTTTTCCTTCATGTACCACGCAATTTAGGTTGTTCAAGGGACAGCTAGATGAGCCTGTAACATAAGGGGCATAGGTACTTTGTTTGAACTTTAATGACAATGAGATTATTTATTTCCAGTGGGTCTTACTATTTTTCTGAGACGAAGACCATGGATTGCAATTCTTTAGAATAGTTGTAAAAGATTAAAATGTATGTTACAGGTTGCCGTGGTTCAGAATAGATTAGCTCGCAGATGGCGTCAAATTGTGATAAGAAAAAAAACGTGGTACACAGCCGAGTGTGTGACACGGACAGACACACGAAGACATGAAACCCATTTGTTTTATAGGATGAAAGGGCAGAATGTTGTTAATGGTGAAGTCATCGACGCGTCTGTCCTCCAGTCGATAATAGCAATCAAAATATGCATATATATATATATATATATATACAATTCAGCTTAACCGTCATAAAAAGCAAAATAAGAAAGACGCTATGCTTACCACACACTGCAGAAAGATGCGAGTTGTCGGCGCACGAGTTGTCATCCGTTTTACAAGTGGCGTACCATGGGATGCAGTTTCCAGCAACACACTGAAACTCAGGACATGTCTTCTCTGGAATAATTTATTATTATAATTGTAAGTTCCTCGTAAGATAACCTGTTTAATAGAGAGTCTCGAACTTGAAAATCAAACGAAAACGCTGTCAATCGTTATATCGCGTGGTGGAACACTGACAGAAAAAATGAGTCCTCAACCCTGACTTGAACCTTTGTATTTTGATTTATCTTACGCTCGTGACTAACTGAACTCGTAACAAAATAAAATACTCCTTCTTTTGTTTGATGAACGAGCTCAAAATTTACCACCTTTGATATTCAAAGTACTATATTTATACACACGACACATGACACTTTCTTCATTACAGTATACAGGATGTTTGTTACATGCACCACCATCGAAATCCTTGGGCCTAGGGGTTGATCATCCTCTTCTCTAAACCAATAAGAATTGTTAAGTTTTTAAATCACGAAGTGCAATGAAACAATTTGCAATAAACACGAGCAATGACATACCATTTTCAAAAAGAAAACTAAGACTATTTGAGGATAAAGAGGAAGAGGTTGTCTTTCTTTCCTGCTCCCTTTGCTGTTCATTACATAAATTTGATGTTCCCTACCGCAGTTTGCCTCGTCGGAACCGTCAGGGCAATGTTGAACCCCGTCACATAAGTTGTTAACACGAACACAATTGCCGTTGCCACACTTGAGTTCGCTGGAAAGGCACGCACAATCTCGTTCATCTGAGTTGTCGGTGCACGCCAAGTCTCCATCACATCGTAGAGATGATGCAACACACTGTCCATTATCGCATTCAAATTCGTCGCTGTTACAACTGAAGCCTAAATCGTTAAAAAAAAATTCTTCCGTCTGTATTTGTGACACTGCCACTTCAAAAAATTTGAAAGCAACCATTAACATCACGATGGTTTTTATGTTTCTCGTGATGCAATTTTGTTTCAACGACTTTAAATGGTTTAACGTTGAAGTTTACCTGCTGATATATACAAGTCTCATATAACTTTTCCCGACGTAATTTTTCATCGACCGACGCTCAATTTTACTGAACATCTGACGTTTAGTTACAAATTACTTCTTGGCTTGCCACCTGGGATGGTGCTTTCACTTACATAAAAATGTGTATTGCTGCAAGAGCTAGCGGAAAGGTTGCCCAAGAGGTGTGATGTTCTCATTTGGTACATTGTCCATAAATAGCATAATATTCTTGTTTCTATTACTTTTGTCTGAGTTATACCGCATGCTTTTGTTTTTCTCACCTGGAGAAGAGAAGACTGGGTATACCTCACAGTCATTGGTCGATATTTTAATTTTGCCGATGGCGATAGCAATTTCTTCAACACCGTTAGAGAAGCCTCTGAAGATCAGCTAAAGGACGTTATGAAATATATGGTTACTTCATCATTGTTCTCAACAATTCTTTATAAAAAGCTTCCAGATTATCATTTTGTTACCTTGGAAGTCTGTCTTTCCTTCCAAGGCACTTGACCTCTTGACCATTGGTTCCCATGATACCCAACGAGACTGTACAGAAGCACTTCGCTTTCGTCGTGAACCGACTTTAAATTCACGTTGAAATTTGAAGCAGATTTACTCTGCATCAAGAAGCTAAATGTCAAACATAAGGGGACAGACTCTCCAGCCGAAATCGGGGGTGTTTCTAGTATGACGTAGTTATGAGTGCCACCGGTATACGCGAAGTTACCTGAAAGAAAAAATTAACTGGAACAGGGTTGACAAAAAAAACGCTATTCATTTAATTCGGTAGAAGGTGTAGTTTGAATGGTGCGAAAAAATGATTACAAAGTCGGGTAATATGAATTTAAGACGCTTCGGAGTGTTTTGGTAATGTTATCAAAAGGGAAACTAGTGCGTCTATGATAGAAAACAAGTCAAGAGATTTTTAGTTATTAGTCATTTCTTTAATCCTTTTTGGACGAGAAAGTACATAAATATTAACTATTTGGATGAACTTTCTGACCTATTCAAAGGGTTATAAAACTTTGCGGAGTACTATGAGTCGTCACATCTTTTTAAATTTTAGCTCGGCCTTGCATCATGTGTTCCAATTGGGATGCAGATTGTTTCCGGCCTGAAGCATCATGTAATTATCTTTTCATTTTAACGACTATAAGCAAGTTTAATCGTCGAGACCAAAAAAAAAATTGACACTGAGACACAGTAGACTTCTAATGTCTCAAGATTTAAAGCATTGACCATTTCAACGGTGTAAACTACAAATATGAAATTTATACCTCTTTCACCGGTTCTGTTTGTTTGGCTTGAAAACCTCCACTTCTCACCAGTTTTTCCATCGCCATTTTTCCAGTTCGGGCAGAGTCCTAATGGACTATCGAAAGTGCACTCCTCAATAACAGATTCTGAAAAAAATCGAGCGAGAAAACTGAATTTTCTAATCCATTCCTATAATTAAAAGGTGAATGGTTAATTACTTAATAAAGAAATTTCATATTGGAGAAATTCAAGGAACGAGTTCATGATAAGATAAATGTTTGAGTGTTGTAAGTCTGAAACACTTTTGTTATTGTAATGATACGGAGGCTATGTAAACTAAGTAGAAGTTGTCCTTTACTTGGTTAGCGATTGTTCAGTTTCCTTGAGTATTGTGTTGATCTTCGATATTTTATCCATCATTACTGTGCTAGGATAATTATTTTGTCCTTACCGTTAACAATTATGTATCCCAAGTGGCGTCTTCTGACAGGCGATTCATTTATGAAAGAGTAATGGACCTTGCGAAAATGCAGAAATTAATTTAAGAAGCTAAATTAAGCACGCCTTATAGTTCTTACTTGTGGATTATTGGAGGAGAGACGCAGAGATGACGACACCATTAAAAATTGTTTGCTTCTTTGTTATATGTTATTGCCGCGTAGACCACAAAAGACTTCAAATTAGGGTAAGAACATCAGTGACACCTTTAAGTGCGCCTCGTGTGCCAAGTTTTAGTTCTTACCACATTTTGACGTCATCTGTCTTCTACAACTGCACAGACGCACGGCCGCGTGGAATATATTTGTTTAGTCAGAGATTAATCTTAATAACGTATTGGTTCGTATTGGTCAATATTGGTCAGTATTTAGCATTGGCTATTATTTGTTAGTATTGGTTAGTATTGGTTAGTATAGATGGGAGAAAATTTAATAAAGCTTTGTGAAGCTTACCTTCGCCCCATATCGGCCAGGTTGTACTGAAGCAATTACATCGAAGTCGGTGTGTTTTTCCTCACATGTCATCGTTAGCGAGTTGTCCACAGTGTGATTCTGTCCAAATACGTTAATTCCTAGTGTTATTGTACTATTTGGACACCATATACCAAGACAGCAAAGTCTGTAGAATGCTTTGATAAAGAAACAATAACAATTGAGAAAACGTTAGTGAAAACAAGCCACCTGTGTTAGCAGCTCACTCAATAAAACGAAGTTAATAATTGATTACTGATGATATGGCCCTAGTAATAGGCTCAGAACACACTGCAAGTTAACTGATTTACCAACCTGATATCTGTAAAGTCGATCCAAAAGTCATTGTGATGTCTTTAATGTTCTGTTTGACTCTAAACATTAACTCTCTTTTACCTTTAACATAAAGAAAAGAAATGATAGGATAACGAGATAACAAATCATAATCAGTAACCGTTGTGCTACATTTTGAAGGATGCCATGATTTGCTAGATTGCCGTCCTATAATGTTGATGCCGTAGTAACATTCGTAAAAGCACGCCAAAACACATTAACAAAAGCAAACAACGAGTCACAGATGGTGAAGCGTCAATATTCGATCCCATTTACTAATGAGTAATTGGCAATATAGCTGCGAAAGTGTCGAGAGCAACAATTAATCGACTCTTAATAATAGAAAAAGTAATACAACGTTCTTGGGTAGGTATAAACACGATGTATTAAATCAAATTTTTCTGCTACACTCCATAATTTTTTATTTAAACCTGGATTTGTTCTTTTTCGGAGGGAGAGGGGCGTAATATCACTACCTGCGTTTCCCCAATTCTGGCTGATTATAGATTCAAGTAGGCACCACTGTGTACCTTATGTTTTAATTAGAGGGAATTTTAAACAACCTGGCAGGATCCATGTCGTGCGGTTTCCAATAAGAGGCCTTTCAAAAAGGCTTGTGTTATTGTGAAGACTCCAACCCACGGAAAGATGTCCTCGTCTGTACGACTCTTTTGAGAAACCCTCCAGGAGATAAAACATGCTGCAACTGAGGTAAATCTGATTTGATTTTTGCTTTGAAGTCCTAGAATAAGTATCAAAATATACTTCATAAATTCTGAAATGTTTGTCGTCATTACTGGCAATGGCCATCGAGAAATGACTCAAGAAAACTGATAAAATTCGATTGATTAGAAAAAAGAAAAGGAAGACATATGGAATGTTGAACTAGAAAATTGTTTGCACAAAGAAAAATATATAATGATACAAAGTTCTCGTCATGTATTGAGGCCAGCTAGAAGAGAAATTCCATGTAATATAGGCATTTAGTTTCTACAAGACTCAGTTGAACGAGTGGACCCTTCGGTTACGAGTATGAATGATACGGCAACCTTTCCTCTTACCCATCCCATATCAGATTTCCTGTTCTTGTTGTTAACTTTAAAAGAAGTTCCCCATAATTGTCTCCATCATGCTCATCTCGCAGGGTTGGTTCATCTGTTTTTGTGAGCCACAGTTCGCATTCATCTTCACATGTTATGTAAAAAGTGTACCACCCACTCGCTTCTGGCTAGAATATGAAATTATAGAGAGTATATGGAACCGCGGATATTGCTCGTGCTTTGGTGAAAGCGAAGTTTTAATGTTTCAGTAGAAACGCGGAAGAGATCTCCTCACAGCCAACTGGGCGAAAAAAGAGACTTTTGCCGGCGAAAAAAAAGACCGGCAAAAAAAAGCAACAAAATAAAATACAGGCTCATGTCAGAAATGAAATGAATGCCATGCACCCAACTCAAGCGACTGAGTCTTTAGGCTGATAATAAAGTAAACGTCATATGCGTTAATATGATATTGCTTTTGGGCGCAGATAGAGGTACTTTCGAAGGATTTATACAAGTATACTATACCTGAATAAATGTAGACAACCGCTGCCCATATGTGGTAGAAAAGTTGGTAACAACATGAAAAGTTTTTAGCACTGACAACGTGTCAGCAGCTTCCTTGAAAACTGGATGGTACTTCAGAATAGGATCATCTTGTGAATTAATACCTTTAAACCACACCTCCCTCAAAATTCCAGTGGACTCCAGAGAATTTTCTGAAAATAATAACAATCAAAAATGCTTCTAAACATTTTCCTTGATTACTTTGAACTATTCCGAGCTGCACGCTGTCGAGATATTAATGAGATTTACAACAATTATTTTTGTCGTTGCTTTCGAACACTAAGGGCTGACTATTTAGTGGAGAGCGTACTTGTCAGGCAAGGTATGTAGTTCTTTACTTTCAAAACACTTACCAAATGCAAAAACTGCAACTTCGCATAGCACAAACTTGACGTTTTCTGTTATCATGGTTGCTGTTACGAAACGACCATTGGCTGGAGGGATGCAGCGGAACACACGGAAATGTTTTCTTGGTAAAGGACTGGTCTCTTTGCATGAATGATCCACAGGGTGATTCATACTACTTTCAATTCCGATGTCCACAAAAACTTTTTGAAAACTCTTTAAGCCAAGGAAGACATGCACAGTATGTATGAAGAAGTTTTTGGATAAATCCACTTGGAACCAATTGTCGACTGCCTGAGAACCAAATGAAATGTATAGTTAAAGTTAACTTATCCCTGTTTCCATAGCATGAAGCGACCTTCCAAAATTTTCTTATGCTAACGGAGTTGTAGGTTTTACCTGACTGAACTCCACGCATGTGTTGAACAGTCCATCAACTGCATAGACTGCATTAGCTTGTGCCGTTGGATTAGACTGGTTTACGGTCATGTTCAATGCAATATTATTTGTTTTAACTGAAAATAAAATATTTAAAAGAAAGAATGAATGGAAAAGACAGAGAGAGAGAAGAAACCAGGGAAAAAAGTGTTCACCCTTGCATGCTACGCAGCAAAAAGCAAATGAATATACGGGCTTTTGTTCTCCGATTCGCAACGGAGCATTACACAGAAGGTAAATGGCAGAAAATTAAGGTTTTATTAACTGTGCAAAGCTCATTGAGAATTATTTGAACAAGTTTTACTGCGCTACTCTCTAGGGAGTCTTTGTAGACTAATGCCACTAAATGATCCACACGCAAAGGTCTGTCGTTCCTTTACATCTACAGGTCTCCTAACCTTTTGACCCCGTTAGAGTGACTAGCATCTAATTTCTCCTCACGATATCACCCCTGAATTAAAAATGGTGGTCACGAGACTGCAGTAAATAATCACCAACTAAAGAACCTCTTGATTGTTAAACCAATTCTCCTTGTAAGCAACTCAGGACATGTATAAAGAATGGTATAGAGGAGATGCATACCGATGTTGGGATGTTAAGGGTTAACATTGGAAAAAATTAAAGTGCTTAGTCCTTTCTTGACGGGCCCATACCCTATTTTCTGCCATGTACACAGCCTTTGGAATTAAAGAGGTGCTATATGTAGCAGAGATACCTGATGGCGGTCCACAGACAACCCCCGAGTCTTCCAGATGTGCACAATCTTTCACTCCCAGATCTGCCCTTTTACAATACAGCAATGAGCTCTCATTTCCAAAGCATTGAACATTATCCATCCATATTGGACCTGTGCCTTTCCCAAATGATTGTCCCTTTGTAGCTGCAGTAGCCTGAGGAAGTCCTAGCATGCGACACACGACATATGCGTCTTCAATGCTCCAGAAATCGTCACATACAGTTCCCCAGACTCCATTGACGGAAATTTCTACTCGGCCTTCATTTGGTGAGCTGCCTTCCGTCAGGCGAACCTCAAAAGCTGACATAAATCATGGTTAAATTATGGATCCCTCAATCTTCCCACTTATTTTTTTTCCTATGTTAGCCTCAATAACGTCCCTCTTTCGTCTCTGATTTTCTTTAATAACAGATCAAAACTTTCATAATAGTTTGTACTTACACTGTTATTTTTTTTAATTAGCTCTTCCTTTAATGCCATTGTGGTAAATCACTGGTAGAAGAATGATGCAAAGGTATCCGGTTTTCGTTAAATTTCTTTTATGACGCTTATCTTAAAAGAGTCGCATTAGATTTGTTCCTATTCGAAACACTAAATGCTTTTAAATTAATGCGTACAGCCATGATCCAACCACTGCTATGAGCTCGGAATGTCCGCAAGTATAATTAATATAAATCTGTAATTTTAATCCTCTCCTTTTGCGAATAGTCCCTAAAGCATACTCACAAGTAATATTTCCGCAAATTACTCCTGCGTCTTCATGATGATTACACTGGCTAGAGGCACCCAGACCTAAATGGCTACAATCGATAATTGACGTCTCACTTCCGGTGCAATCTACCTTGTCCAACCATATTTTTCCGTTCCCTTGGCCGAAGCTGGAGTCTCCGGGAGCTGCGCTTGCGTTGGAAAGACCAAGCATTTTGCAAATGACTGTTGCGCTGTTTAAACTCCAATTATCATCGCAAATTGTTCCCCAAATCCCGTTCACTCCAACTTCTACCCTTCCTTCCGTCAAAGAACTACCTCCGACCAAGCGAATTTCAACTGAAGCGAAATATTATACTCATATTGGTATTCATATTAACCCAATCGACCCATTCCAGGTAACGCAAATAACACCAAACTGACAGACAGAATTTTTTCCGTTTTTTTTTTCCCATTTGCAGTGTCTGAGTCATCAAAAAAATTGCGATTGCATTTCTGTTACTTAGAATGAGCTTAACATTGAAATTCACATACAATAAGTTTAACGCAGTTTGTGGCATGTATACGTGTTATTTAAGGGGAAGATAACGCTAGCCAATGGATAAATTGCTATCCAGTGGATAAGTTTTAACAAAACCTACTGCTCTATCCACATGAATCCGGTTGTTTCAACGGTGGATATCGCTATCTACTGTAAAAATCTCTATTCGTTAGATAGCGCATTACGTTTTGTAAACACTTATCCGCTGGATAGCGATTTATCCGCTGGATAGCGATTTATCCGCTGAATAGCGATTTATCTGCTGGATAGTATTATTCGCTCTTTGAACAACTGGGCCTAGATACCGCCACTGGATAGCGTTATCCACCCCTAATTTTTCTGAGTCCAAAATCCGTTTTTTTTATTAAATTGTAAGTGATATATTAAGTGGGTGAAATAATCTTCAATTATTAAAACCTTACTTCTCACACAGGAGGGTAGAGTGCCAGACCAGGCTCCAGACCTCATGCATGTTCTTGTAGAGGAACCAGTTCGATAGTACCCTGCAACGCATGTTACGTTACAATGACTTCCCACTAGATTTCCATTGGAGCATATTGCAGTTCCGTTGGGAGGAATTGGAATTATCGAGCAGGAAGAAACTGTTGAAAGAACGAGGAGATATTAATGAGAGCGTATAAACGCAACGCGGCAGACGGCAGAATTAAAATTGATTTTACCAACTTATCCGAACTTAAAAACAGGCTCTGAAGAAAGCGAAAATATATCATTCACACCATGTGCAAGTAGTTCCACTCCGGTTTACAAAGTTTATGGATAGACAATTTCGATTGTACCGTTTGTTGAATAACCTTTACACTAACCAAAAAATTATCTTTGTTTTTCTCTTGCCTTACAGTACGTATCAGCGAAGGAAAGAAATGCCCACCCCAGAAAAAATAAAACACGATTTAAACCGTCCCTTAAGATATTGGTATTTGTAACACACAGAGAAACAGTACGTTATGTCGTACCATTACAAAAACTTGTTACGGATACGTCGTCCAGTGAAAGATCTCCCTGGTCTCCAGCGCCCATCCTCCCTTCAAAAGTTAGCTGAAACATAATTTTGTGCATCTTAGAACGACAATGATCGGGTCCTGACGTATGTATTGCTATAGACAAGAGAACCGTAGTATCTATGCGGGATAAGTAAGTGTTACGCAAAGTTTCTCCCATAGAAACAAAGTAAATATATCTTTCGGTGTGTAAAATTATGTAGCACATCAATCCATATCAAACCACGCTTCAGTTTCTCTCTGAATGTTCTTGCACGGTGCTTTTCAAAGGCTAAGCCAACAAAGTTGCTGATTCAATTTTCTTCAATACATGACTTTTCCCGCATTTTCGTATTTGACAGCCTTGAATCAGGAGTTTTACTTAAAGTTACCATAGTGTATCTGTTCGAAGTGTTTGCAAATGGTGTTTGTTTTCATTTCTTTAATGGTCGAACAACAACCCAATCTCAGTGAAATCTGGAAGTCACGATTTACTTTAACCTATGGATTCATTTATAGCCATTACCTTGCTGTTTGATCCATTTACGAATACTTGGGCTTGTATCCAGTCAGATCCTTGCTCTCCACTTATTTCAAACACGTTTCTGTCATCAACTGATAACCGTAAGCTACCCACGGCAGCTCCATGCATGTTATAAAAGAAGGAGAGACAAAAAGCACCAGAAAAAGACGGTGAAATAAGCTGAGCAAAGTCATTTTTCTTTCTGGGGTAGTCAGCCTCAGTGAAAAGATATTTCCCTGCAAAAAAAAAAACAAACAGACAAATAAACAAAAAATAAAATTTCTTATTTGATAGTCGATGACATGCTGTAGCTGTATTGGTCTTGGGTGATGATCAAGATGGAGATCATTCGCGCCACCTTCTCATTAATCAAGTGGAAAACTGATCACAACTAAGTCTCTCGAACTTTCTTTGCCTCCAGCATTGTGACCTTTTTTTTTATCTTTTTTTTTGCTGCGAGCTCTCTTTAGTTACTCGGATACTTCCTTTATTCTGATTTGCCGTTGGGATACTTTTGCACTCTTATGAAGAACTTAGCTCTATCTCTTATTAAATATACCTTTCCCCGTCGTGTGATCTCCGTTACTTGGCCCCGTATCTTCAGTAGGAGTCTGCCCAGACTGCAGGGTCCAATCAAAGTTGTCTTTTGAAGACTGTTGCCAACCACATAAGCCGGCGTCAAAAGAGCACGCAATACCTTAATAGTAAAAGTCCAGAAAATCCTGAATAAAGATTAGCTGCACCTGCGAATGACGTTTCAATTAAGGGACAGCACATGCAAATATTCCGTTTAGGTTTGAATCAAGGGATTGATTGTACATGCATGTAAATGTTCATTCCACGTCTGTATGTTCAAAACTTAAGCTGAGCTCCATGAGTAACAAAATATCGTAACCTATTAAAATCCAAGCAGAGGAAACGACATCTTCCTTTTGTACCCTCTTGATATAGATAATCATTTTGGATCTCCAAAAGAAAAGATGATATACTGTAGACCTCTTTGATGATGGCAGACATGATTGCTATTCTTTTACGTGTACGTTGAAAAGGCCAAGAGGGCTAAATTTCACGGAAATAAAAAGTACACCGCGCTTGGACCCGCCACGTACGTAAGATGTCTATGCAAAAGAACATTAGAATCCAAAAAACAAAGAGGAAAAAGAAACTTGAGGTCAAAGTGTTACAAGCAATAAATGTAATTCTGAATTCTCGCCGGGAAATGCTTCCTGACTTTAATAGGGAGATACCCAAGACCCGTTAAAAATGGATTTTTTGCGTTGATTTCTAAGTATGGTTTGACTGAAGCATTAATTTTTCAAACACATAGACTGGATTGTTATATGGCTAAAGCAATATTAATTTAATGCATGATAAAAAAACCCTTAATCATCTAAAAATTTATCGACTCAAGACTTTTTCTAAACGACATCGAGCATTCCATGCTAATGTTAGCTATAGCTTAACCAACTATTTCTCGTTGATTGTAAATCCGTTTCGAAAAAATTATTTCGCAATCCATTGGCAGTTAAATTAGAGAAGATTTACCGGGAAATGCGATGGATGAAACGAAATTTGATGGCTTAAAATGAAGAACGTAATAGATTTGAATACTCGTACAGTGCGGTAAATACTATGCCTAAGTTTTTGATATCTCTAAAATGCGCCCAACTCTCTGAATCTAACCGGACCAAGGATGCAGTAAATGACATGGAAGAAGGTTGTCTAAGTAACGATACATACAGAGTGTAATACTCTTTTTTTATTAAAAAAAAAGGAGAAAAAAAATTTAACAAACACCAAAGGCTACTTACTTTCTCTAGTGCTTGCATGTATGTTGCGTGGGCCTCTCCAGACTGAAAGACACAGGAAGAGGTAATTAAAAGCGTAGCAATACATCAGCTTGCGAGGAGACTCGGGAGAAAGTCTTTTCTGCGTCAAACTGTCTTTTTTTCCTGAAAAATTGAAAGATGCATAAAGCTGTAAACAAATGATAATCTACGCAACAAGCAAATGCTGTCAGTGTGATAACACAATAATGGATTTTGGGGAAACGTTTGAAAATTATAACCAGTTAAAACATGGTAAGCTTTATGAAATATGTTACACTGTTTTCATACCCGAAAACTTTAGCGCTAAAAGTTAAGGAAAGGTAGCGTCAGGTTTCTGATGCCTGAAGTTTAATCGGCCATATACCCTATTATGCAAAACTGAAATGTTTAAGTTGAATATTCATCAAAAACTAATCTAATAGATATCTGTTTAGGGTATTATTATGCAGTTTTCGTGCACCTGCAAATTCACCGAACAGAATAAAACCAGCATGAATAATTTATGTAACATTTTTGTTTCTCACATGAGAAAAACTGTTTTTATGCTCTGCTTTAAAAATGAATTTTTGTTTTACCTATGAAGTTTTTCCGTGTCATTTTTCAGTTTGGTCCGACCCCAACACTTATTGCCTCACTAATCAATTTTCTCCAAATGCATTCAGCATTACAAATGAGGTGTTTTCGAAAGAAAGTTGATACAAAACTGACAGCTTACGGTCAAATTGGAACACAGAACACCTTATTTGACATGCACCTGAAAATCTTCAAGTGACAGACCAAGGAACATCACGAAATTGTGGAGATGTCTTTATTGCAAAAAAAAGGCCTCATTCGGCTTGTTTTCTAATACATAACAACACTGTCCAATCAAAAGTAAGCCAAAAAATTATTTAAAAAATGAAAACAATCATGTTGAGATCATGATGGAGATCAAAGCGAACTTTAATTCAAAATTAACATTTTAATTATCCTGTGAAATAGCTTTTTCTTTTGAACAAAAGATGACGTGTTAATTATAGGACGACTTTAAATCAAAAAGCGATATTTGTTTACTTCAAGCACTTTTGTTAAAATAGAACGTTTCATATTATGATATCCAATTGTTTAACATAAAATTGTCGAAGCATATATATAAAAAAAAAATGATTTTAAATTCTTTATCACTGAGTCGGTAGAAAAACATTTAAGGAGTGTGAAAATACTAACCACGAAGAACGATTATTAACTTTAGAGTGAGGTTAAGGTGAATGTTTTTTTCCTGAATCACCTCAGCGGTGAGAATCCTTGGTTCTCGACTTTGATGAGCTAATGACGCGTTAGCAGTCAGTCCTGTTTATTTACGAACGGAGCTTAATGATCTGATTTGGACATTTTGGGTCTCTTTCTGCCGATGAATTTTTAGTGAATTGTCAAGCTTTCGCCTTCTTGCACTCTTCAATTAACGACTCATCTCTGCGAGTTAACCTCAGTTAACCCTTAAAATGCATTGAGACAGACCATCTGGATTTATGTTTAAGTCTCCTGCTGTTAACTGAAAAAATAAGTTCTTAGTTGTCTTTTCTCAATATTTAGGGGACGTGTGATGCTTATAATTACATACAGAGAGTAATTTCTATTTTCCGCAGGCTGTTTTGAAGTAACTATCTTTTTTGCGGTTTTCTATTGAAGTCTTGAAACCCTACAAAGTCATTTTTCTATACAAGGCATTAATATTGATTACGAAATAAAATAAGACGTTGGATACTTGCCTATGTTTAAAAACCCTCAAATATCACCCTCGGTAACAGCAAATTTGCAGATATCTTGCTTTCGACAAGGAGAAAGAAAGTAAGGGATGATTATCTGGCTAAAGCACTCTAGCTCAGAATAACGACTTCTTTTAACATCATATAGCTGCTATAATTTTTTTGTCGTGTTTCTCCATATCCAGCTCTGAGCATAATCAGTGTTACACTTTTTTTTTTTTTGTAACTTGTTTTGAAAATTTAACGTTCATTTTATGGTGCATTAGTTGATCGATAATTCAAATGTTAGACTTTACTTAAGAATATTTCAGAATGCAAGTAATTTACCTCAAAAAGGAACACAGATTCTGGGCTTGTTGATTCCGTTTTCCACGTTCACAATCTCGCTAAGTAAAACGCTCCACAGCAGAGGGCACTAGAGCTAATATCAATGCATGAATTAGCTTTATATTCTCGAAATTTACGTCTATCTTACATTAAATGCCGGTTCCTAAAGCGGAAGCAGTTGATTTTATGGGATAATTTTGACATGTTGCCCCTTTTAAACTTTATTACTTCGGGGGTTTACCGTCTGTATTACCAAGTACTGTAAAAGAGACGTATACCTTATAAAAAGTGTCCTCCTCCGCACGATGGCTACTAAACAAATCTCTATATCTATTTACTTAGTAACGTGTTTATCGTCGTAAGTCACCGACATAGCGGCACGTGTCTAAAGGGACAGTTTGAATAACAATTACTTCCGAAGAGAGAAGTTTACTTGAAATGTTCCCGAAGCAAAAAGAACACGATTCGACTTTCCCTATACACAGACCGCCGCATGTACTCTAGCATGCGTTTCTTTTAAAGAAAAACCTTACTGTGAGTCACTTTAATGCGTGCGTGAGTAAAGTAAAGTCCTTGAGGATATCTGTCAAAGAGAACGCTCCGGAGTAGCAAACCCTGGTGTCCTCTTCATGTAATCTACTATTATCTTTTAGAAGTTTGTCTTTTTTAATCCTCTTCTTTAAAAGTTGATAAGTAATTATTTGGAAGAGAGACTTGTAAAGTAAAAGTACTTAATTTTTTTTATTTCACAGGGCAAAGGAGTACCTGCCAGCGTAATAAATCCTCGAATTCTGTACGAATAAAGAGTTTCACCGCGTAAAACTGCCATCCGTCGAAATTACTTCTTAATAAAGGATTTCGAAGTAAAAAACTATCGACATGAATTTTATATTATTTCCTTTTCAATTTTACTTTAGCTTGTCACAATTAAAAACACTGGGTCAATACATATTGAAGATGAAAGCTCTTCACTTATACATGTTGGATACAGTTGCCTCCAATCCGTCACCGTGGGTAAATATGTCTCTTCATATTTTATCTTTTTTGAGTTTACTCGTCCATCATAAGAAAGGAAACCTTTTGTGGAAATGAAAGTAGAACTGGGGAAAACCTCTTATAGCAAGCAATCATGAGATAATATTTCGCCCCTATCAAAATAAACACAGACGCAATTGATTACAAATTTGCTAAACGTACTTATTTTCTTCTTCAAATAAAGTTTGAAATAATACATCTTTTTATTTCCCCGGAGGTAATTTTTCTCTCGCGTAAAACAAGCTTCCTGAATCCGTAAACTGAGTGTGCGAACGAGATCTGATTAAGTTAAGGCCATGACTTTACCATTCTGCCACCAAATGTGAATTTTTTTTTTTTATTAACCTTCTGAGTATGCTCCCACGAGAGAAGAAAAACCTCTAATTTTGCGCCGACGCTAGGCAAGACGAAGAAATTATCCGGCTTAAGTCTTACCCGCCATGCACGAATATAGATTTTTAAGCCCAAACCGGGTGTCGAGTCAAAGTGTATTTTTTCCGAACTGTCAGCAAGGCGCCTGTCATCTTTCTATTTCAGCAAGTTTTGGGCAAGAAGAGGTTATCATGTTGTCTTAGTATCTGTTTCAGATTGTCAAAACTGCTCACAAAAACCTCGCTGTATATAGATAATATTAGAAAAACTTTCTTCTGACTCTTTTACTCCGAATGCAACGGGGCATTCAACGCGACAAATATCAAATTATTAACTAAAATGCATGTTTGGTCCAGCTGCTGATTAAAACCTCAGAAGGAGAGGTGGCTTGTTTTAAAACTGAAGGAGAAAGAATTTCCTTTGGATTCTGCTCTGACCTTGAGTATGGCTCAGTCCAATCATTTGATGACATAGAGCTGTTTGAAAATTGAAACAAGAAGAAAACGTAGCGAGAAAAAAATGATCATTGTGACGCCTATTTTATTGATGCCATTTTTCTAAATTATAATTCACTAGGAAAATTTTCATAATACGAAAAAAGAAAAAAGGATTGATGTTGCGTCTTTAAGCTGCCCCTCTGGCGATGCAATTCCTTTCCTGGAGAGGCCTTAAATTTTTAATACTAGACAATAAAAATCAAGTGCACGAAAAAGAAAGACGGCAATTTTCGTGGGTATGAAATTGGCATTTGGAAATGCTAGCTATGGCGATCAAAAAGGAAAAGCATAATCAATTGCAATTGCGAAAGGCGATCTCATAGTTATGGATTTTTATGCCACATTTATTGGAAACTCCATTGTGTATCAAGAGGAGTGAGTTGCGTCGAGTTTACCAAACAAAAATTGAATATTCATTTTGAAATATATTACATCTCTTTTTCTAACCAATCACATTGGTTAGAAAATTCATTTGGAAATAAGTTAAATCTCTTTTTCTAACCAATCACACTAAAAATACTAACTGCCCACTAATCTTCTAGGGCTTTTCCTCGTTATGTGCAGTGATGTATCCGCACTCTAACAGAGTCGGTTAATAAAGCAAAACCTGGTTTCCTTGACCAAAAGCGGGTTTTCAAAGATATCGGCGGTAATTGATATCTCAATGCCATTGAATATCAAGGGCGCTTAATTTCTGAAACTGAAAGATCGAGACCAAACTCACCTGTTTTAGTTAAACTTATTTCCCTGAATTCGACTAGTGAGCGTTCATGTTACACGAAGCTTCAAAATATCAAGTACGCACGGAAAATCATGCGAGGAAATTGTGTTCAAAGGCTTTAATCATATGCAACGCCTATCTGTGTTCGGTGTAGTCAGCTGCACTCACAGACATCTAACTGGAAAATTTACTTTAAATTTCAAGGCGTTGAAAATTGTAACCTTTCATAGCAAGCAAAAACAAATTATACAAGCGACAAAGAAATACAGATTACATACAACCACGCTAAGCGTGATAAATACTTTCTTGTGTCGTACGACTCCTACAATAATTACTCAAAATCTCTCATCAAGCCAATAAAAACCTAACTTTAAATTATTTATCAAGATCTAAGAAATACTTTTCTTTCATCATTTGAAAACTCTTACCATTAATTGCAAACTTGATCGTTCAAACTTTCACAGTCCGGTAATCTATGAGGGAACGATGTTTGCTGCAACAAATTTTCGAACTGTCCGGCTGCGCCAAGGAAAACATCAAAGTATAAAAATAGCAATTAAAGGTGTCCTGATTGAATCAATTCTCCTTCCGAGCATTTTGATCAAAGGAAATTTTTTTTTCCAGCATGCAGGTGCCATTGCATATGTTGGAGCTTTTTTCACTCCAATAAGGAAATCAATAGACACAAGCTAAGAGTGAGTATCCACTCTTTAAAGCATAATATCGTTCATAAGTTCAATATTCCCTTAAAGCGTTTGGATTGGTTCAGATAAATTTTGCATGAAGGACGATGTCTTTCATTTCCGTTGATTTTAAATTTGATAATGTAAAATGAGAACATAAATGGCAATCGTGTACTGTTTCCATTAAGGATACCTTTCTTAACCAAAAGTGCTGTACTGAAAGATATATTTCATTTCTCACAATAACCTACAGCACTGCCGAGTGTTGTTACGAGTCTCAACACTCAACCTCGAGATTAATCTAGAAATTCTACCAAGCCTTAATTTAACATCTTTAAATAGTTTTGAAAATGGAAAGTGACTTCTTCTCCTAATTTCTGACTTTTATAATAAGGAAACAAGCAATTAAACTCACCAGAAGTGAAGAAAAAAAAGCCAGTGTGTAACCAAAAAATACAGGTGACTATAGAAAACTGAAACCCTCGCTAAATCGAACCATGCGTTAAGATCAACCAAGATCGATGATCGAAGCAGTTGCGAGTTCTTTGTCTCTTCTTGAGCATTACACAAATCGTGCCAATCCAGTCATATTTTCCTGGTTGAGGGAATGCCTAACAACTATATACCACACAGATAAATAGCGCTTTTCCCGCAAGCTGATTGGCTATTTCGGAAGTGATTAGGAAGCATTTTTCACCTCCGAGGAGGCAAATTCGCGCATCAAAAAGTTTGGTTTTCGACCGTTTTTCGATGTGTCGACAAAACTAAACATTCTTTTTTTCTTTTGTTTTCTGTGAGGCAAAATTTTATAATTAAAAAATTATTTACCTCAGTGTCGAGAAATATCCCCTATTACTCTTCGTGGATAATTTTTAACTGCAGCGTATTGTATCTGCTAAAAACATTGTCACCTATTTACTTTTTTTTTCTTTTTTTTCACACGAATTCGCAGAAGTTATGACTGGATTTAAAGAAATGTGATTATATGAATGGAAGACAAGAAATATCGTTTTCTTCGGTCGAACCTTTGTCCAACCACAATATATAAAAGCAAGCACATGACCAAAAAAGCTAGAAAGATCATAGCTGATATACAGCGAGGGAGAAGTCTTATATAGGCAAGCGGGAGATTTCTCCTTTTTGCCTAGTCGTTTCAGTCAAATTGTCATGCAGTTTACCTCTCAAATATCAAAGCAAAGAAGAGCAAAAGATAGGTCTTTAAGGCAGGCAGGTGATTGTTTTTGCCAATTAAAACTAGATAATAAGTAGCATTGCAGTTTTTTAACACGAAGGTCCATTCGTGTGATTTCCACTAGTGGCGACCTTGATTACAGACGTCGCGACATCAGCCGGAACCGGTAAGGTCAAAAGAGTATAGAAGGCTTTCTACTCAGTGATATAAAGGGTGTTTCTTTTCAATGAAATTAAAGAGTCGTCGGTTAAACGGTCAACATTCAAGCCTGCTCATGTTTCCGTATTCAAGTTAGAAATTGCTCATCATAGGTGGTATTCATGGAATAATTTAGGCAGCCCAAAAATTAACGTTAATTGCTGCGGCTTGTAATCCTCGGCTGAAACAGTTTCTTTCATGTACGCCTTATTAATCAGCTCCGTATTTCGGCGAAGAGCATTGTTATTTAGCATATTCGTAGGTTAATAGTGTGTTTCTCGCGCAGTGATTGACCACCTCGGCCTTGATTCAGATTAGTTTGTGCTATTCACCTCCGAGTGGTCGTAGAGACAAACTCGCGCTCAATAGTTAAAAGTTTGAGAATTTTTTGGTGTACTGAGGGAAATATAATACCTTCTGTTTCGTGTGTAACATATCCTAACATTTAAAAATTTCCTCATCAGATAACGACATGATATATATTATTTGGTCTCTTTTTAAGGGGGGCGAGTTTATGCAGGTGCACCCTCACAAGTGGGGCCTTTTATGATGTCTTTAACACAAGGATTGGTTTTTAATATGGAAGAATAATGAGGAGGTTGTATTTACAGTTTCTTTATTTGTGCCAAGCTTATTCTCTCCATCAATAGTTCGTTTGGATTCGAAACTTATTTCTGTAAGTGAATTTAAATTAACTAAGAAATGATGCAGTTATAATTCATTAGGGATTCATAACAACGGATAGCACTGATATCGATTAAAATTCACGACAAATCAATATAAAGTGGTGATAGGAAAAACTAAAAAATTTAGCATTTAAATCAATGTGAATTTATCCTTTGATTTTTTGTTTACTTCGTACGTTTAACTCGCCAGTTAAACGTTTGTGACTGAAGTACCCCCCTCTTCTTCCTGATATCCAACTCCACGGTCGCTCCCCGCCGATATTTTCTTTAAATCAAGGTCTTTGGAACCGCGGAGCTCTTTACACACTTGTAATGACTTCACTTTGCAGAGCAAAATTCGACGAAACTCGGCGCGGAATGAGGGATTCATGCCAGCATATATAAATGGGTTTATAGTGCTCGAGAAGAACATCAAAAAGGGACAAAGCAGTTGGATGTTACGTGGAACGACGACATCAGAAGCGAAGCGCTGTATCACCACAATGATCCAAAATGGAATCCAACACAGTGCGAAGGCGAACACAACAATGGCGAGCGATTTGGTAACCTTGATCTCTTTGACGGTCAGTCGATTTTCCCTGTCCTCGGCTTGGGCCGTTGAAGCCATGTTCAGATTATGATGTTTTATTTTCTTGAAGACCTTGAAGTAGGAAACTGATGCAACTCCAAGTGGAAGAAGAAAGAAAAAACAGACAACGATGCTATAATGAACTGTTTTCATAGTTTCTGTGGGTTGCACAGTTGTGCAAACGGCATACCCAGCAAAGAAGCCATATTCGGTCCAGCCAGCCATCTTGGGAATTGAAACGTACCCGGCGACAGTCAGCCAAACCGCAGCGACATATATTTTTGACCGAGCATCAGTAAAGATTTGTGGGTAGTGTTGAGGCTTAGCGACGCGGACGTATCTGTTGAAGGCCGTCAGTCCCATCGTGGTTGGGGATACGTAAACAGAAAACAGGGTGAAGAAGGCGTGGAAATCGCAGACTGCCTCGCCGTATGGCCATTCCCCTATAATAAGGACACCCACAGTCAAAGGCATTACGATGGTAGCGTTGATAATATCACTGATAGCTAAAGAAATCAGGTAGATGTTTGTGGAGGTACGAAGCCTTTCGTTCCTGTACACAGCTGTGCATGTCAGGCAGTTTCCAATCAGGCACACCATTGTCATTATAACAAGGATACATGGCTCCAAGATATTCAGAGCCAGGCTTCTTTGTTTGAGTTCCGAATCCATTGGTTTTGGTCAATCTTACTTTTTAGTCAACCGGTGAGCTATGATTAATCGAAGAGCAAGGAGACTTAATCAAAATTGTCACGAATGTTTCCAATTTTGGTTTCAAGTTTTCAAACAGTTCGAAACTCCTTATTTGAGTATGGGAGAGCATGCATAAACAGATAGGATACTGAAGATAACTAGCGTCAATCGCACTTTAAGCCAACCGTTGAGCTTTGGTTAATCGAAGAGCAAGGAGGCTTGAATCAAAATGGACACGAATGTTTTCGATTTTAGCTTCAAGTTTTCAAACAATTTTAAACTCCTCATTTGAATATGGAAGTGTATTAATAATTAATAGGATATTGACGACAACGGGCGGTCTGAAAAGCTGAGATAAATGGTGTTTTCGATGGTCTTGTTTCCCATTCTGTTTGTGCTCTAATCAATCGAGCGTCAATTTTATTAAAACGATTTTTCTCAATTTTAATAGAATGTGGTTAACTTCCTTGATAGCTTTCGAATAAGCGGTCTTTTAAAGAAGTTTGGCGTTCAGTACGGTTTGAAACCAATAAATTTGATGGTCGAGACTAATATAAATCGAGACGTTTTCGTCACGAGCTCGTGGCGGGCATAATATTGAAGGTCCTCACGGATATTTCGCGTATCAGAAAACATGAAGAAAAATGAGCTAAAGTAGTAATGACTGTGAATTTTGATTTGTTTTCAACAAGCTAATGGGATTCTGGGATCTAGGACTGTTTCTTTCTACAAGCTATGAAAAAAAAACTTAATCAGGATACGTAAACACAAATTACTTAGTTGAGGTACGAAAGTAGACAGTCATCAAGAAAGATAGCAGACAAAAAATTGTGAGGGCAAAATCGAAACATAAAGGTAACAGTACTTTCTAATTGCATAGACTAATTTCTGCTATCTTTTTCTTCCTTTTTATATTAATTTTCAAAAAGTGGATTGAAAACGCGGCTACAAAGCTACATGTAGATTCAAGTGACCGCCCAAATTCAGAATTATGATTTTCATAACAGCCTTGTGACGTTTGGAGAAAAAAATGCTTATAAAATATGTTCTATAAATTCGTATTTCGTAATTGTTTACAAGTTTTAAGTCATCTTTTCTTTAGGGGGAGATATTACTTTTATGTATTGATTTGATATATTATCCTACCATAGTCACGGATTTTTTACCCTAAATAATCAGCTCTCTGTTGGTTTTAAGCCACAGCCACCAGCATCTCACCCGAACATCTTAAGAGCGCCTCGGCGATGTTTGTGAGATAATCGGTTTTAATCCTTTTTTTTTTCGAAATGTTAGGTTTTTCTGAAACACGATTTACACCTCAATGTAATATTATATAATGCATTTTGAATTATCAGGTTATGGTATGGTGACTCATGTTCGTAATTCCTCTTTTGGAAGCTGAGTGTCGCAAATTTAGTAAATGTAGCAAAATTTTGATTTCTGCATGAGAGGTGATTTAAAAATTGATGAAATTGGAAATAGGTATGTTGACACCAGACATGATTGTTGAGGCTATTAACAATCAGCCAAATAGACAGTTGAAGGAATTTCTTGATAAACTTGAAGAGATAATGCATCCGGCTGGTGGAACCGTAACGTAACCGTCTTAATCCTGGAGAAATAAATATTATAACACTTGTCAATAATACTAAATCAAAATAATACTTAAACTCAACAGACGACATCCGAAGGTTCCAAACCTCTGATAATTTAGGCCACCAGGATTGCTGAAAAATTCGGGAAGTTTTTGCAAATCAAAATAAGAATTTGACAAAAAAAATCAATTTTTATCTGATTTAAGAAAGATTAATAGGTCATTTTCTATACATTAAAATTCTAACGTGGCTCCGAGGCTATGGGAAATACAAAAAAAATAAATGTAATTATTCATTCCCCAACCTCGATGTGATTTCCTCTGTTTTATTCCTCCAAGCCTCAGAGCCAAGTTTGAATTTTAATATCTCGAAAATGGCCTATTGGTCTCCTGTATTTTAAGCTGCTATAACAAATGAGAGTTTAGTGGGTTTCTACATATCTTTAATACCATGAGCAACGAACAAGCTCCTCTCAAAACGAAGGAAAACCAAAGTAAATCAAATAAACCTTGGATAACTAAGATTATGAGATGCTGCTATGGCTTTTAAGTGCCTCAAAGGTCTAGCTCCATCGTACTTGAGCGACAGGTTTATCATTATATCAGACATCCACGGCTGCAACACTAGAGATAAGAATCTGTGGCAGATTCCGAAGTGCTGCTCATCTGCATGTCAGGGCAGTTTCTTGTATAGAGCAGTTACAGTGTGGAACAATCTGCCCGAGAGTGTTAGATGTATTGACTCTTTTTAAGTTTTAAACTGGTTTTATAGAATATTTTAAAGGAGTAATGATATAGTTTTTAAATATGATTATCATATGCATTATGATATTACTACAGTTTTTTTTATTCTTTAAATATAATTTTTTTCATTGTAATTAAAATCTGAAAAGCCTTAATAGGAATGTTAAATAAAGTACCTTGGTCAGGGACCGGGCGGTCAACGTTCGAAATGAACCAAAAACGAAGGATATTCATAAAATAATATCAATTTAAGCGATAGATTTAATATATAAAACGCACTCTTGGATCACCACGCCATTACACATGTAGACAACTTCTTTTAAAGCCTAAAATATTAAATATCTTCAATAACTACAGATGATCATCATGAATTGAAGCTGAAACAAAAACGTATCTACTTTTGGATAGAGAATAATACGGAAAACTACATTATTAAGACACACGATGGCAAGATTTTTAACATCAGCATAATTTTATTCAGTAATTACAATAGCTACACGATCTGCAAAATACAAGTCATCACGAACGAAGATCAATACTTGTCGTTGGCTGTCCTCGATGTTCATGAAACATTTTAGTTTCTTTTTCCAAGGGTATATTCTTCCAGCCTATATGCGAGATAGAGATAACAAATTATCAAAGCAACGAAAGAATCGGAGAAATCATTTCAAAGCGGTACTTGTCCACACCAACGAAAAAACCCTTGTATCAACCAAAAAGAGCAGAAACTTCTGCTCCTCCAAAACAGCACATTAGGAAAAAAGAAAAAATGTAAGGATATACTAAGATCGTGAGGAAATAAAAGTAATCGCTTTGGTTTCTTGCAAAAAATTCATTTGAAAATGAATTCTGTCGTGGCAAGTGTTAAAAATGTTTAAACTTGGTTGACAACTTCACTGAGTGTCCCTTGCTACAATTAATAATTAACAATCCCTCAAACTAAGAAAGTTAAAACGTAATGTATTTGTTTATTACTGAACTAATCAATGCAACGTTCATTCATTGAATGTCTGAATTATTCAATTAACAATTTATAACATAGCTAGTAAATTTGTCTACTCAAATTCAATTCCGCGAGCGTGCTTATTCCTATTATTTTCCATCGGGTTGAAAATGCTATGAAACAATTGGTTCATACGTCAACTGAGCGTTCATCAATATATGAAGCACTCAAGAAGCTAGAGTTGCTCTCGGCTACGCCTCGAGCAACTCTTACGCATCTTTCGTGTTCTCCAAACTTCCCGCGTGCTTCATATCTTGATGAACGCACGCTGACGTATGAACCAATTGTTAATTGTTATCTGCAAAGTGTTGAGCTGAGTTGTGAGTTCTACTACAAATACATCTTAAGTAAGTCTTCGCTAGTCCGTTAAAAATGGACACTTCTGTTGTATTCCGAAAAAGAAACTGGAGGAAATCAATGAATTCACGTCCAAGAAAATCTGAGCATAATAATCTTAAAGCATGCTGAACGCTGAGCATTTTCCACAGATAATTCAAAAGCTATCGAAGAAGTTAACAAAGAATAATCTAAGCAAATTAGGAAGAACTATTACGTTTTAATGAAATTAACATTTGAGTGATTCGAACACAAGTGAAATGTAGCAGATGCCTATTGAAAGTGCCATTTAATATCCCAGCTTTACAGACCGCCGCTTCACAGTAATCTTATTTAATTCACTCCTTACCAAATGATACTTGTACTTCTGTCGTCATTTTTTATGAAAGCTTCCTTGCTCTTCCATTATTTAGAACTCAGCTGTTGGCCAGAAGCAAGAAAAAAAAAATCTATCGACGGAAACCAATGGATTCGGAATATTTGGAGCCATGCATCCTTGTCACAATGACAATGGTGTGCCTGATTGGAAACCGCCTTATATGCATAGACGTGTATAGAAATGCAAGGCTTCGGACGTCCACAAACCTCTACATTATTTCTTTAGCCATCAGTGATATCATCAACGCAGTCATTGCAATTCCTTTTACTGTGGGTGTTGTGACTATAGGTTTTCGCGCATTCTAACTAAACTTCGCGGGAAACTTACGAAACGGGGGAATTAACTCGGTAGCGACCACCCGGCTTGCGAGAACGGAGACTCGTCACGATTTCCCGGCACACGGAGATATACTTCGAGCGAGCTTATACGGACGTCAAGGATGAGACAGCGTTTTGGTTCCACAGCAGACTTTTATTCGAAGAGCACTCTGACACACATCATGCCAGAGTCAAAACTAAAATTGTAATCGTCACGCGGTCGTCTGTGTAATCGGCACGCGGTCGTGTATGTAATCGGCACGCCGTCATGCATGTAATCGAAACAGCTTTACAAAGTACTTGCTTAACTATGAACTGGTGTGAGGTTCCATTGTTCTCTAAATCTACCATATTTGAACAGTATAACGAAAGAAGCGGAAAATGTTTCCTTGAAATTAAACGAAAGCTACTTAAATATTCCATCTGTTTCTATGACGAAAAGAATCTCAAACTGAAAAGACGGATGCAATAAACTCGAGGCCATCAGAAATAGGAAACTTAGGTGAGAATTCATAGTACTAGTAAAAATATACCCATCGCAGTCATTGTAATGCCTTTTATTGTGGGTGTCCTTATTACAGGGGAATGGCCTTTTGGTGAGGCAGTCTGCGATTTCCACGCCTTCTTCACCCTGTTTTCTGTTTACGTATCCCCAACCACGATGGGACTGAGGGCCTTCAACAGATACGTCCGCATCGTTAAGCCTCAAAACTACCCACGAATCTTCACTGATACTCGATCAAAAATATATATCGCTGCAGTTTGGCTGACTGTCGCGGGGTACATTTCAATTCCCAAGATGGGAGGCTTGACTGAATATCGCTTCTTCGCTGGATACGCCGCTTGCATCGTTGAACAACCCACCATAGCCATGAAGATAGTTCATTATATCATTGTCGTCTGTTTTTTCTTTCTTCTTCCACTCGGAGTTGCATTAGTTTCCTACTACAAGGTATTCAAGAAAATAAAACATCACAATCTAAACATGGCTTCGACGGCCCACGCCGAGGGCAGAGAAAATCGATTGACTGTCAAAGAGATCAAGCTTACCAAATCGCTCGCCATTGTTGTGTTCGCCTTTGCACTGTGTTGGATTCCATTATGGATCATTGTGATGATACAGCGCTTCGCTTCTGATGTTGTCGTTCCACGTAACACCCAACTGCTTTGTCCCTTTTTGATGTTCTTCAGATTGAACCAAAGCAAAGGATCTCAGTAAAAAGATATCAGGTAGAGGTACGGAGCCTTGCATTTCTGTACACGGCTATGCATATAAGGCAGTTTCCAATCAGGCACACCATTGTCACTGTAACAAGAATACATGGCTCCAAAATATTCAGAACAAGACTTCTCTGTTTGAGTTCCGAATCCATTGTTTTCCGTCCAGTTTTTTTTCCTTGCTTCTGGCCAACAGCTGAGTTTTGAATAATGGAAGACCAAGGAAGCTTTAATAAAAAAATGATGACAGAAATACAAGGATCTAACTATTATTTTCTGACTTTGGTTTCAATTGTTGAACGGTTTTGGAACTCCCCGTTAATTTATAAGAGTAGATGAGAAAAATAACTAGTTTTATTCAAATAATTCAACTAATGAATTCAAATTAATTCTAATAAGTTAAATTGTATGTATCAATTGAGACCTTTCCCTGTTACTGCCCCCTGTAAAGAAATTTCTCCTTTTTTGGATGTATGTGCACATGTGGTGACGAATGAATTAAATAAAATGACTGTGAAGCGGCGGTCTGTAAAACTGGGATATTAAATTAAATTTTCGATAGGCATCTGCTACATTTTGCTTGCGTTTCAATCACTCAACATATCAAACTCTTTCCCCAGTGCGACGAACATTTGTTTTTCTCGGTTCCAGGTGTACGCAACCATTAACCCCACCTAATGCGCATGCTCTCCGTTACGAATTTTCAAAATGGCAGACAAGCCAAAGAGGGAAATAAAAAAAAAAACAAAGCGATTTTGCAATGAATACTCAACATACACCCTCGTTAGAAAGGCGAATCCACGGAATAAAGATACAAAACTGTATGATCGATATGATACTAAATCGATACCGAGGGCCCGTTTCCAACTTGCTAAGAAGTGCATTTAATTGCCATCCGCCACGATCACTAGCTTTCTTGACAGCTTTCTGAAGACAGTTACTTTCTTTCTGAAGACTTCTGATATGCGGCTATTGATTATTACACCTCGTATACCCGATTGCTCAAACACTTTGTTTACGATTGTTGAAAGGACCGACTCATGGTTCTCCGTCTTCGTCTTTACATTGCTTTGAAATAGTATAGATTAGTAAGCTGAAACGAAAAATTAATCAGGGAAGTTTACGAAAAATCCAGCAAACAAGCTTAAAAAAGGCTTTTATTTAGACTTTATACTTCAACGAACTTCACAAATCTTACTTGTTTATCTTGTAAGTAAACGATGGCAGGTTAATTCCCGAAGCGCTTTCTGAGTTTCCCGATTCCTCTCCTACTGCTTTCACGCTTTACAACATACAGCTGTTTTGAAACGCTATTTGACGAGGGTAAATCTGCTTTTTGTCCAACACTTTACATATCAAAACAAAGGAAATTTGTTCCTCTTTTTGATTCTGGTGGTACATTTTTAATTTGCGCCTGCGTAAAAGAGATATCGCCCGAGGCCCTTCGCTCGGTCGTGTTTTGATCAAAAACGCCTTGTTAATTTCAAGCAACCGCTCGGAGAAAAGGTAAAAAAGACGAGGGAAAAACTTTACCTTCAAGTTAGAAAATTAGCGAAATAGAAAGCCACAATATTATAGTTTAATATTTCAGAGGTACATTGAGCGCTTTTTCCGTAGAGAATCCACACGATGGTAAAACATTCGAAAATTACACTCGATTTGAGTGGGGTGTTGAAGTGGGCGTGGTCACTACATTCATGTTAAGACTATTTGTACCCCATGAGTTCGATATGTGTCAATAAAACAGTTATTCTCATTTTCTCAGAGTATTCTTTGTTAACTTCTTCGACAGATTTTGAATTATCTGCGGGAAATGCCCAGTCTTCTTCCCCACTCCGTTCGTGCTCTAATCAGTCGAGTGTTTTATTAAAACGATTTTCTCAATTTTAATAGAAAGTAGTCAACTTCCTTGATAGCTTCGAATAAGCCGTCTATGGAAGATGTTCGGCGTTCAGCATAGTTCGAAACTATTAAATCTGATGATGAAGACTGACATTTTCCGAAATCGAGACGTTTTCGTCACGAGGTCGTGGTGGGCATAATATTGAAGGTCCTCAAAGATATTTTGCGTATCAGAAAACATAACGAGAAATGAGCTAAAGTAATGGTGACTGTGAATTTTGATTTGTTTTCAATAAGCTAGTATATCCATGAATTCTGGAATCAAGGACTGTTTCTTTTCATAAGCAATGAAAAAAAAACTTTATCAGGTTACGTAAACACAAATCACTAAGTTGATATACGAAAGTGGAAAGTCATTAATAGTGATAGCAGACAGAAAATTGTGAGGGCAAAATCGCAACATAAAAGGTAACTACTTTTTAATTGCATTGTCTGGTTTCTGTAATTTTTTTCTGCCTTTTCAGATTAATTTTCAAAATGCGGATTGAAAATTTAGTTACATATCGATTCAAGTGACCGCCCAATGTCGGAATTATGATTTCCATAGCAGCCTTGTGAAGTTTGGAGAAAAAATACTCAATACATGTTCTATAAATTCGCATTTCGTAATTGTTTACAAGTCAAAGTGATTTTTTATTAAGAGTAGATATCATTTTTTTGTTAAGGGCCTACTGTTCGAGCGATCCTGATTTAATAGATTATCCTACAATAATCATGGAATATTTACTCTTAATAAGGAGCTCTCTGTTGTTTTGAAGCCACACCCACCAGCACTTCACCTGAATATATTAATAGACAACTTGGTGATGTTTGTGAGATAATCGGCTTCAATCACTCTTTTCTTTTTTTCTTTGAAATGTTAGCTTTTTCTGAAACAAGATTTACACCTCAATATAATATAATATAATGCAGTTTGACTTATCAGGTTATAGTATGGTGACTCATGTTCGCAATTCCTCTTTTGGAAACTGAGTGTCCCCCTGCATATAGCAAAATTTTGATTTCAACATTATAGGCGATTTAAAAATTGATAAAACTGGAAATAGGTATGTTGACACCAGACATGACTGTTAAGGTTATTTACAATCAGCCAAATAGACAGTTGAAGGAATTTCTTGATAAACTTGAAGAGACAATGCATCCGGCTGGTCGAACCCTAACTTAACCGCCTTGATCCTAGAGACCTAAATATAAGCACATTTATCTCTAATACTGAATCCGAGGGTTTTAATCCTCTGATAATTTAGGTCATCAGGATCGCTGAAAAATTCAGGAAGTTTCTCTTGACCATATTCATTCCAATTTCGCGTCTTATAGTATTGGTGGTAGTATTGCGAAATAATAATTTGACAAAAAAATCAATTTTTTAATTGATTTAAGAAAGATTAATAGGCCATTTTCTATACATTAGAATTCTCACATGGTTCCAAGTCTTGGGGGAATAAAACAAAATAATTTTAATCATTCATTCCCCAACCTCGATGTGATTTCCTTTGTTTTATTCCTCCAAGCCTCAGAGCAAAGTTCGAATTTTAATATATATCGAAAATGGCCTACTGGTCTCCTGTATTAAAAGCTGCTGAAACAAATGAAAGTTCAGTGAATTTCTACATACCTTTAATACCATAAGCAACGAACAAGCTCCTCTGAAAACGAAGGAAAACCAAAGTAAATCACATAACCTTGGGTAACTAAGATTAAGAGATGCTGCTATGGCTTTTAAGTGCCTCAAATGTCTAGCTCCATCGTACTTGAGCGACAGGCTTATCATAAGATTAGATATCCACGGCCGCAACACTAGAAATCTGTGGCAGATTCCGAAGTGCTGCTCATCTGCATGTCAGGACAGTTTCTTGTGGAGAAGTTACAGCGTGGAACAATCTGCCCAAAAGTGTTAGATGTAATGACTCTTTTTAAGTTTTAAACTAGTTTTAAACAATATTTTTAAGGAGTACTGATATAATTTTTAAATATAGTTATCATAAGCATTAGGATATTACTATGGTTTTTGCTATTCTTCAAACATCATTTTTTTCGTTGTAATTAAACCCTGAAAAGTCTCGATGGGTGTATATATATAGGAAGTCTGTGTTTCGATGTTTCCCCTTAGTAGAAGTAGAGTGCGATGTACACTTAGATAAGGAAAAAAACAAAGGGACTATACTTTCATCCTTAGAAGCCTGTTTCGTGATTACCCTCTCACCAGGGGATTTTATTGTCAAGAATATTCGTAACCATCGTTTATAAACTTTACAGATTTGCATAATAGGCGTGGCGGTAAATTTAGATGCTATGTTCAATTGTTACGCGGTAACGCGTTGTTTCTGTGGCTGCATGAAGACACGAGTTCATCACGTTTATTGAGTGATGATATTGAGTGGTGTAGGCTATGTGAAGGGCTGGTAGGTGCTTTTATTCAGGTTGAAAGTGACGTCTCGGAAGTTGATGGTCTGTTTGTTGGTTTCGATGGTGATCCGTAGTCCATTATGATTAAAGATGCGGCGTATTTCCTTTTTGATGTTTTCTGTATCTTTCGGTGTGGCGTTGGAAATGGCCAGTCCGTCGCCTCGGCAAAATCCGATGTTGATGTTGAGGTTTTGCAGTTGGAAAAGGAGGAAACTTCCTCCTTAGCTCGCATGTTTCAGCATCGTCGTAGCTGCCCATTGTGACGTCAAATGTTGTATCGCCCTTCTTTTGCCGAGGTTGCTGTTTGTGCATAAGGATCGAATATTTTGCATGTATTATGATGTTTCTTTCGTCGTCAGTGATGTTGTCTTGAGCTGAGGCAGAGTCGAAGAAGTAAGCTTTCTAACGTATTCTGCGTAAAGACTGCTAGGTTTTTTCAACGAGGCGTGGTAAGAAGTCGTTCTGCGATGGTGGAGGAATATTCTTGGTTGAGGAATATTCTTTGTGGAGTAACCAATATTGAATTTTCCCATTGCGGATTATCGTAGAGTGCTCGAAAAGTCTTAACCTGGAGCGAATTAATAAGTCTGTTTCGATTTTCCAAACACATCGATGACACCACAGATAACACCAACACCGTGATCGACAGCAAAACTTGCAACTGCCGACAGAGAACACATGCCCGCTTAACGGAAGCTGCGGCATGAGGACACGAGCTCATTACGTTTATTGAGTGATGATAATTCGGGTCGGCGAATGATGAGTAATTTTTCTTTGATATAGAGGTTGCATCTTTAATTTGCACTGTTGTAGGGCGATCTTAATGAACGAATGCACCATGAAATATAGTGGTCAATGTTATTTTCTTTAAGGGTACAGATATGCTTGCAGAGTTCGGTAGAGTTTTTAAGTTTTGTGTGTTGGAATGATGCGGTGTGGTTTCTGTCCTAGTCTTGAAGTCATTTTCTGTAAGTCCGATGTATGTTTCAGTGGTGCTGTTGTCCTTACGTGTGACGGTGGCTTGGTAGATTAGTGATGATTGGAGGCAGTTTCCGTTAAGTAGGCATGTGTTCTTCTGTCGGCAGTTGCAAATTTTGCTGTCTTTTGTGTTGGTGTTATCTGCGGTGTCATTGATGTGTTTGGATGAATTTAGAATGCGTTTGTTGTGGTTGTCGATGATCTGTTTAGTGTTATTCATGTAGCTGTAACTGTATCTTGATTGTTATACGATTAAAAATTTTCTAAGTTGTGGTCTTTAGGGAAGTACTTGTCTATTAGGGCAAGGAATCTGTGTCCGATATTAGTGCTGACGTTTTTGCTGAATGGGGAGTTGCACCAGAGAATGTTGTTCCTTTGTCTGTTTTTCCGGTTGTTAGTCGTGCGTGGTTCGTAATGTAGAGTGTACCGGTATCCGCATTCGTCGAGTGCTTTTTGGTACGGCGGAGCGGCTTGGTCGAAGGATGCTTTGTCAGATGAAAGGGATGACAGTCGTTTGTTGATGCCGGCGGGTATGTTCTTTGTGGTGGTTGGTGGGTGGTTGCTCTCGCAGTGGACGTATTGTGGTGTGGTGTTAGGTTTTGTGAAGGGCTGGTAGATGTTCTATTTCAGGTTCAAAGTGACGTCTAAGATATATATATATATATATATATATTTATATTTATATATATAGGGTGGTAAATTAAGGGTGGCTTATTGTACTCTTCGTCTCTCTTGTCTTAACTGTAAAACCGAGACATGCTACAAGCTTTCGTCCGACTGTATTTTTTTCATTTCTTCAAGTTCAGGTAAGGGTGAAACTGTTTTAGCACTCCATTCGAAGACAAAGATTTGTCGTTTAGTTGAACTTCTGATTAGGACATATTTTCGAAACAAAAATAGGTATCATTTAAATGTATCGAATACGGCGTTACTGTTGACACTGAAACTTTCACATTTTCTATTAGCTTGTCCTTAACGTTGAATACAACTTCTTCCTCTTTTTAGAAAACACTCTCTTGAGAAGGTAAATACAGTTTAAATTTCAAGTGTTTCTTTAATTTCTGTTATTAGTAGACTGTGATAAGTCTATTTGTGCACCTTAAAATCTTTTGAAACCCAGTTGGTTGAAATTTTTGTCACTTACGTTTCCATTTGCGTTTCTTTCTTCTTCGGCTGGAAACATTTTTCTCCTTTTCTGCCCTTGAAGAATTTTCTTTGCAGAAAGCCGAAATTGAGGTTGAAGTAAGGAATTTCCTCAGCCATAATGGTTAACCAGCAGAATTTTGGTTTTCTGCGTTAGGCAAATCTTGGTGAGGTAGCTTGCGTGCATAAGCTGCGCTATCATGCATTCTGATGAAGTAGGCTGCGTGCTTTATGGAGATATAATGAACTCGTTTAGACCAATTAGAATCACTGTTTAATTTTGGCGATATTTTAAAATACATCTTGTGAATATCATAGACCCACGTCAGTCCTTTCTGTTTTAAGAAAAATATTTGAAAAATATATTCGTAACCAATTAGTATTCTTTGAAACTATGGAAGACCTAACAAGATATAATCAGTGTGATTTCACGCAAATTAGGGCTACAACTGATTTCTTGCAATTGGTTGAACTTTTAGATGAAATTAGTACCCCACTTAAAATGAATCATTATGCACTCATTTTATTCTCGGACCTTAGTGAGGCCTTCGATACAGTTATTCATTCAATGTAAACGAGGCAATGCATGTTAAATGGAAGAATCCAACTCCACTACATCTGTTAAAACACTTAGATTTTTCTCTTTCTTTTTAGTTTAAATTCTCAATTTTTTCATATTTTTTCATATTTAAAATAGTCTGTCATTATTTTACTTATTTTCACTTATTAGCTATGTTTTCGTTTTTCCTGGTTTACTCTAATTACCAGCGTAAAGTAATTAACTAAAATTTTTCTAAACGAGCATGCACTGAAGTTACATTATGAAAATGTCGAAACATGTTTTGTAAACTAAAAATGTTGCTTGCTTTTTATGGAAATGAGGAAGTTGTTTTTATAGTTTCATCATTGGTAATTATTCTTTTCATTTCGATTATCTTTGGATTCGATATTTGTCACTGCTCATCTTTTTTGGAAAACAAAGTTAGACAAAGTTATTTATAACTTGAAATTGACGTACTAAACATTCTAACGTCTAGTCGATTAACAACGGATATCATTCATCATCAATTAAATCAACAAGCAATTGAGTAACCAATACATGAATGATGCTGCGATAGTAAATATATTAAATCTATCGCTTAAATTGATATCTTTTTACTAAGATCCTTTGCTTTTGGTTCAATCCGAACGTTGACCGCCCGGTCCCTGACTAAGGTACTTCCCTCTTCTTCCTGATTTTCTGTGCCACGGGCGCTTCTCGCTAATATTTTCTTTAACTCAACATCTTTTGGACAACAAGGCTCCTCACAGAGTTGTGATGACTTTACTTTGCAGAGCAAAATTCGACGAAACTCGGTGCGGAAGGAGGGATTCATGCCAGCATATATAAATGGGTTTATAGTGCTCGAGAATAACGTCAAAAATGTACACAGAAGTTGGATGTTACGTGGAACGACAACATCAGAAGCGAAGCGCTTTATCATCACAATGATCCAAAATGGAATCCAACATAATAAAAAGGCGAACACAACAATGGCGAGTGATTTGGTAAGCTTGATCTCTTTGACAGTCAATCGATTTTCCCTGCCCTCGGCGTGGGCCGTGGACGCCATGTTGAGATTGTGATGTTTTATTTTCTGGAAGACCTTGAAGTAGGAAACTGATGCAACACCGAGTGGAAGAAGAAAGAAAAAAAAGACGGCAATGATATGCTGAACTATCATCATGGCTGTGGTGGGTTGCTCAACGATACAAGCGGCGTATCCAGCGAAGAAGCGATATTTAGTCAAGCCTGCCATCTTGGGAATTGAAATGTACCCCGCGACAGTCAGCCAAACTGCAGCGACGTATACTTTTGATTGAGAATCAGTGAAGATTCGTGAGTAGTGTTGAGGCTTAACGATGCGGACGTATCTGTTGAAGGCCGTCAGTCCCATCGTGGTTGGGGATACGTAAATAGAAAACAGGGTGAAGAAGGCGTGGAAATCGCAGACTGCCTCACCGAATGGCCATTTCCCTGTAATAAGGACACCCAAAGTTAAAGGCATTACAATGACTGCGTTGATGATATCACTGATAGCTAAAGAAGTTATGTAGAGGTTTGTGGACGCACGGAGCCTTGCATTTCTGCTCACGGCTATGCATATAAGGCTGTTTCCAATCAGGCACACCATTGTAATTGTGACAAGGATACATGACTCCAAAACACTCACAGCAAGGCTTCTCTGTTTGAGTTCTGAATCCATTAGTTTCCGTCAATCGGTGTTTTTTTCTTGCTTCTAGCCAACAGGAAGCTTTCATAAAGAGTTATCACAAAAGTACAAGGATCTGACTGATTAGTTTCTAACTTCGGTTTCAAGTGTTGAACAGTTTGGAACTCCCCTTTGACTTATGATAGTAGATGAAGAAATAACCACGTTTATTCAAATCATTCATTTGTTGTTGATATTACTGATAGCTAAGGAAATGTGGACGTTTACGGAGCCTTGCATTTCTGTACACGGCTAAGCATATAAGGCAGTCTCCTATCAGGCACACCATTGTCACTGTATCAAGAATACATGGCTCCCAAATATTCAGAGCGAAACTTCTCTGTTTGAATTCCGGATTCACTGCTTTCCGTCGATTAGTCTTTTTTTCCCCTTGCTTCTGGCCAACTGTTGAGTTCCGAATAACGGAAGAGCAAGAAAGCTTTCATTAAAAATGATTACGGAAGTACCAGGATCTGACTTTTTAGTTTTTAACTTCGGTTTCAAGTGTTGAACAACTTGAAACTCTCCGTCAATTCATGAGAGCAGATGATATAAATAACTATGTTTCAAATATTTAAACCAATAAATTCAAGTTTTTTAAAAATAATTTTCAAATTGTATGTATCAATTGCGACTTTTTCCTGTGCTGCCCCCTGTAACGAGCTTCCTCCTTTTTTGGATGTATGTGCACATCTGGTGACGAATGAATTAAATAAAATGACTGTGAAGCGGCGGTCTGTAAAGCTGAGATATTAAATAGTATTTCTAATAGGCATCTGCCACATTTTTCCTGTGTTCTAATCACTCAAATGTTAGTTTCATTAATTTGGCAAGTTGGCAATTTGCTTAGATTATTCTTTGTTAACTTCTTCGATAACTTTTGAATTAGCATTCAGCGTAGTTAAGATTATTATGCTTAGATTTTCTTGGGCGTAAATTTATTAATTTCCTTTTGCAGAATTCAATAGAAATATCTATTTTTAACGGACTCGCGAAGATTTACCGAAAGTTTATTTATAGTAGAACTCACTAATCAGTAGTTACTTTGTTGAGTGTTGTTAATTAAATCACAAGCGGTTTTTAGGCTGCGTGTTAAGTTGTCTACCCGTGTTTAGACATTTTTAACATTCGCCACGACAGAATTAATTTTCAAATATATTGTTTGCAGAAAACCAAAGCGATTATTTTTATTTGTTCACGATCTAACCGCTTCTTTCCATTTTTTTCCGTTTCCTAATGTGTTGTTTTTTAGAAGCAGGAGCTTCTGTTCTTTTTACTTGGTAGCCGCAGGGTTCTTTTTAGTTGGAGTGGACAAGCAGCGCTTTGAAATGATTTCTCCGATTCTTTCGTCGCTTCGATAATTTGTTATCTTTATCTCCCTCGACATATAGGCTGGAAGAATATACCCTTAGGAAAAAAACTAAATTGGTTCATAAACATCGAGGATAGCCAACTACAAGTGTTGATATTCGTTCAATGATGTACTTTGCAGATTGTGCGGCTCTTGTAACTACTAAATAAAATTATGCTAAACTTAAAAACTATGCGATCGCGTATCTTAATAACATTATAGTTTTCCATTTACTGTTTTTCATAATGCTCTCTATCCGGAAGGAAATATGTTTTTGTTTCAGCCTCAATTTATGATGATCATCTTTAGTAATTGAAAATATTTTATTTTTGAGACCTCAAATGAACGGTACATGTGTGATGGCGTGGTGATCCACGAGTGCGTTTCAATAAAAGTTACAGATTTTTAAGTAATACGACTCTGTTATCTACAGATATCATCAGCTCAATTTTCATACAACAAAGAAAATTTAGCGCTTTTTAACACATGTAAGATTTGGGCTTGGGAAGAACTGGGAACAATTGCTATTTCTGATGGCCATGATTCGAGGCGAAAGCAAACATTTGACAACTTTACATGCTTTAAACTTGAGTAAATTCTTAATTACTTGCGTTAAGAAACTTAATATTGATAAATTAATGCAGATATGAACTCATTGAACAGCGTGAAAGGCCTGTCACAAACTTAATCATGCCGCTTTAGTGGGAATCTTTGCAAAATGAAAAAGAGATTTCCGGTTGGTCGAGAGGAAAGTTTTGCCGATTTCATATCGCACCAGAAGCGCGGAGAGAGCGCTCGTGCAAGTCCTACTGCGCACCACACATTCCAAGAAGAGCGTACCGCTCGTTTCACCGCCCAACCTTTCTCCGCCCTGGTGTGGTTATAACTAGGAAGCGCCTCTGTCTAACATTGTCCGACTCCTCCATTTCCCGAAGGAAAGTTAATTATTCATGATGTTCCCCTTCATGATCATATTACTCCTTAATGTGTTCAGCTTGATGTCTTGAAATTTCCCGTTATTGTCTTTACCTGTAAATTTCTCTTTGAACATCTGAGTGAGTCTAAATCATCTAACTTTGACTTCCGTTATGTATCTGAGTAACATAATAATTACATAGAAGTGTTGAGCTACAACACTTAAACCTAACAAATTCTATCGAAATTCCAGAAAAATGGTGAGACGTTTTCCCCAACTGTGATTGGGCTTTTATGTTTAAAATAGTGTCCCTCTACTAATTAGACATTTCCCATTACCGAAGCATTCTTTTAATCAAGCGTTGTATCCTTATATCTTGCTCAGTATTCACCTCTTTTTTCCCTAGTATTATGATTTCCGGTAAAGCTTAATTTGATTGTCTATAATCTTTTAATTGCGTCCGTATCTGTTTCTCTTTTATTTGTTTATTATTTATTTTTACGCTTATTTATACTATATTACAAACACCCATGATGCATCAATCACACAGGAAAAAAAAGACGCTTTCAAAAGTGTTACTTACACACTTGAACACTTAAAACATGATACAGCTATTGTGTCTTGTATTTAGTCTCAGTCATAATATCTGTAACACGATTAAGGACTACATTAAAGTTCACAAGGCAA